ATGCCTATCATAAGTAAATTACTTGTGAATTGATAAAATTCCATTCAATAAAGAAATTCACTAATAAAATATTACACGCCTTTGTTTTATAAAATTAGCATTGTCACAATTCGTAAGCATTTAAAACGCGCGATCTAAGAGAAGAAAATTTTTGTTAAGTTTAAATAAAGCACTTGAATGGTTAAAAAAACGATATATTTTACACAAACGCGCGTTTATCGAGAATATTAATAATCATAATCTATTTATTCAGCACGTACAACTAATTAAGTAAATGTACAAACTATTTAATATCAATATTTTAAATACTTGGCAATTTGACTTCGTTTTTATAAATAATCAGAACCATTTGGATAGTAAATACTAAACGGATATCCGGTATCCGGCCTATCCGGCCATTATTTTACTATTCGGCCGAATACCGGATAGTTGTGCACTATAGGTTTTTTTTAACTTATCAAAAAATCTCATTTAAAGTATTTAAGAAATCCTATGATCAGCATTAGGTATCCATTCAACCAATCGTAGCGTATCGTATATCAATAAAAAAAAAGTGTTACCAAATACCAACCGCCGCCAACCTAAAATACATAGGTATCGTTTGGCCGGCCGAATATTCGGGCCGGGGATAAGGCCGAATATGCGGTATTCGGTATCCGGCCAAACAACTATCCTTTGCATCACTAGTAAATACATATGAGTTTCGAACCTTACAGAACGCATAGAGACAAAGAAATGGACAATCACTGATTACCAAGAAACACTGTGGACTTTATCACGCGATAAAGTAACGATAAGATTTTTAATGTAGATTTAACTATTTCCTATTCGCTTGTGTTTTCTTTTCGATTCCATATAAAATCTCCTAAGATTTTATATGATATATATGACCTTTTCACTAGCCGAGAGATAATACATAGTACCATTCATCAATACAAGTGACTTGAGATTTTTAAAATATACATGAACAAAATCACTGTCTCATTGATATAGTGGTTAATAGTTCAACCGTGTTGATCATAACCAGCTTTTATATGGGCATTTGCCCAGGTTGAGGCGGTTATAATCAATACGTTAAAGGAAAACATACCCGCCAACTTGTGTTGGAACGACGTGGTTGGCTCGTAAAACGCGTAACACAGTACCTGTGCCCAACAGCATTAAAATAACGGGGTTAAAAGGAACGTTGCAGGATGCTTTCTAAAAAAAATATAGCTTTCACTTACTTTGTCAAATTGCTCATTTATTTCCGCTATTCAAATTACGCGTGTTTGTGCGCTTGCGCCGAGATTTCGAGCAATTTTCTCGGCCTGATTTCGATGTTAAATAGTCTTGTCTGATCTCGTAAATCGTTCTATTGTTTTTATCATCGTCATTACGATCTTTTATACTTTGTATGCTACAGCTTTCGCATTTCTGCAAAAACATAAGAACTATATTAATTAAGTCGTTCAACGAAAATACAGAAGGTAATTAGTAATTACATAAAGTATTAAGTAGAACAATAAAATTTACATCGCTTATGTTAACCTTCTTTTAAGCTTACTAGGTCAATCTTCTTATTTCAATATTTACAATATAGTTTTAAGCTGAATAATAATATATATTAAATAATATATATATGCTTAAGTAGGAAAAACAGGCTTTTACTGTAACTAAATGTGGACCTAAAATTTTAGGTATTCTTAGTTCTTAGGAGATTTACAGGTCTGAGTTTTTCAATAAATAATTTATTCTGACACCAAATAAAATCTTAGTATTTAACAAACAAATTAAATTGAATTATAGGTAACTTTAAAGCAAAGAAGAAAACAGCGGTATTTTTTCCGGCCCTGGAAACCCGCATAAGGTTCAGTAAACACAGACACAATATAAACCCCTAATGAACTCTTCAAGTGTCCTCCCCGAACACAGTGGGAAGTCATACAAGACCACTTAAACACGCCTGCGTCTTGTTTATCAACGAGCCAGTTGTTTAGAACTCATGCGGGAGCGCATTTTGAATTTTCATTTCCGGACGCACTAGCGGAACGGCTCGCCAACCGGACTACTTTATTTGGTATTCCGTTTCGGTCGTGATAAACCTTTAATTTTGTATCTCAACTCACATGTATGTACAAAATTGCCTATGTCACCGCCTCTATAGCTAAATGGTTAAACGAGTTGCCCAGCATGCGTTAGACGCGAGAGGTCCTGGGTTCAAAATTAAAATCCCGGGAAAACTAGTAAATTGTTTCGGTCGGGCAGGGGGAAGTCTGATCATGAATTCTTTCCTGTAAATAAAACCGATCAGTGAAACGGACACAAATATGTGTTTGCCCTTTGCCGCACGTGGGGAAACGGGACTTCACACACACACATTTGTCACTGTTATGAAAATAGAACAATATCTTTTTCTTTCAAGTTAGCGACTTGGGGTAAAGTCTTGTCGCATCGGTATCAGCTTAGGACCCCGTAAATACGTAAACGGTGGTAGTATTATATATTTTATCTTATTCGCGTTGCTAAAGACTCCGCCTTTCACTTCTAGTACAGTACGGAACCCGCGATTTATATCAGCCATATTGCATAACACCATATATCTCAGTGATTAGTCATGAAAGCGAACTACCGTGCCTGCAAGTATACCGTTCCGCTGTTATTTTATTACGTTATATTTTATAGTTACAACATGTTACGTAATTTTATCTGCAATGTACGAATTCCCTCTAACTGCAGACTGTGTTACTAGAATGAGTATTATTAAAAAAATTACCTTTTTTTCGACCAAACGTTTATTTCTACTGAATTTCAAGTAAAAATTCGGTTTCAAATTAAAGTAAGTAGTTAGTGTACGATTGTACAATTACGGGTTGGAACGACTCTATTAATTAATTCATTCATTAGTTTCGACCAAATTTGATTACCGTACTACCGTAATTTGATACTTTATCTTAAATCATTCTTTCATACATATAGTTTGGTTCCTTGGACCGTTTTTTCAGCGCACGCAAGAGAACTCCATAGAGATTAATAATGTTATTTTTTCGCCCCTTTTGGTCGCAGCGTCATATTTCATAGACTAAAGCCGTTGTCGATAAATGCTCTAACAACCAAAAATAATTTTTCATTTCGAAGCACTAGGTCCCGACATTACCTACCTAGCGCGTTCAAACGAACACATCCTTATAAGAATCAAAAAGTAAGATATACTCCTAAGACCGTAACTTCAAAGCAATCGCATTTTTATTAATGGGGTTTTAATGAGTATCTTAGCATTTGTATAAACGATTAGCATTCCTGACTTCAATGCATCCAGACAGTTTGTCTTGATAGCTTTATAATTATTCGTGACAGGTTCCAATTACAATATTTAATCGATGTGCCAATGTGTATCGCTTATTTACTTATCGATTGGCATGTTAATTACAAGTCGAATATTTGCAATAGAAATAATAGGTTTTCAGAGACTTGGAAGTAACTTTTAATGTTCTAAGACGTCTGTGGTTTAAATTTTTTTTTACTGTTTAAGTAGCGCTATATAGTAGTTTATTTCAACGGATTCATACATTATTTAAACTACGGCGCGACGTTTCGGCTCCCCGTGACCATAGCTGCTTCAAAGTATCCGTAACGTTATGTAAATGTTCTAAGACTTTAACTTGTAGTGCACAAGGTTTTTGGGTTTTTGCGCTGACAGCAGATATATTTTGCTTATGTTTCATGTCTTTATTGGTCACTTTTATCGGTTGTAACAATATTGGATTGTATAATATATATTGGTAAACTTATTATTAAGAAAGCATCGAAATGTCGGGTCGTAGATAAAAATAAGGCAACTAATATTTATCGCGGTGTAAACCGTTACAGGTGTTCTATTTAAATTTGAGTTACCCGCGTTACCTACACAGGACAGCAATGTACTTATAGGTGAATATAAATGAGAGTTAACATAAAAGTACGATGTGTAGATTTTTGCAAAAAAATACTAATATCGGAAAATATTCTTCGACTTCGATTTTTCTCGAAGGTCGTCGGTACATTTAAGTCATTATCAAAGATATTTCACCGCCTTCGTAGCTTCTTTGAACCGGTTTCACAACTGTAATGCACTTGCATCGGGCACAATAGAGGAAGGTTATAATGACTCACACGTAATATTATATTTTGCATTGTAAAGTACCATTGCCACTTGCTAGGTTATTTAGGTAGGTAGGATGTAAGCTTATGCGCTGATATAAGGTTATATATATTCAGTATAGAACTATAGCAGTTTATTTAGTGTCATATTTCTTACTTACGTATTGATATTATTCATATCATATTGTAAATTATGCATCTGACTTTGTGAAATGTCGAATTTCTCGATGTTGTAGGTATATAAGTATTTCATCTGTTCCATCGTTTCTTGTTATATCTATCACATAGTGTGTCTATTTTTAAAGGCATTGTTTTCTTTTAGCTCCTTCAAAATACGAATGTGGATCAAATTTATACCTTTTAAATTTATTATTATTTTATTTGTCTTAATGCCAGTGGTCAATAAATAAAATAAAAACAAAAGTAATTTATATTATCATGCCTTGTCGTGCCTTCGATAGACACTGGGAGGATCCAATTAGAATGGGTATACCATCAACAAAAAAACAAAACAACAACATCAACATAAGATGAAGAAGAAATATTACTTACTGCTATTTAAATACTGTCTATAGTTTACGCGAGTAGTACACATTAAAATAAAACACTTTAACGGTTTAAAACGCGATATATTAGTTAAACTTATTTGGATATTTTTATATAGTTTTATTTACTGCTATTTGTTTGCGCACATAGTTTTCAAAAAAAGTGAAGTAGCCATTTCGCATTAAATTACTAAATGTGACTCCTAAGTTCCAATTAGTACTTTACTTTTTGTATTTTTCTCAAATGTTAACTTAGTTAAAAATCACATCAAAGATCCATCCATTTTAATATTTTAACCAATTTAAAGCATTTGATGTCTTATTTTTTCAGTAAATATGACGATCGACAAGCAGCTGGTATGGGTGCGGGACCCCAACGAGGGGTTCCTGCTGGCTCGGCTACAGGAGCTGATGGGAGAGGAGGCAGACGTCTTCCCCGTCGACAACAAATACCCCAAAAGGGTCGTCAGCTTCGATGACATCTTTCCAGCTGGTGATCCGGCTAAGGATGTTGATGATAATTGTAAGTATTGCACTGCTTCAAATGTTTGCAAGGCCTTCGCTTAGCATGGGCAAAATATATAGTTAAACGACTTCCTTATGCTGAGCTCCATGTAAGATTTTGTACTAGTTGAGAACTTCGACATTTATCATACATATTTTTTCAGTATCTATATCGATAAATGCCAGTGCCGAACTAATAAAAATTAATTTTTCAATTCGAACCAGGGGTTTCTAAGATCGCATTTAAATAAATAAACTCTTTAGCGTTATACTATTAGTGTAGATACAATATATAGGTTCTACGGACTTGTTACATATAACTTCCATTTCTTTTTCCAGGTGAACTAATGTTCCTAAACGAGGCGACTCTTCTTAACAACATGCTAATACGATACAAGAAAAGGAAGATTTATGTAAGTAGCCATATCGCGTGAGTCACCTCACCTTGAGTACGCTGCAGATATCGATTGGGTCGCGGTTACAGTTGACGTTGGCTAAGGCCGACGTACACACGATAAAAAATCTTCTATATGTCACGCGACAAAGCATAAACATTATAATTTTAATATGGAGTTATGGTCATACGTAGCTTGACGGCATTGCTCATGAACTAGTACAATATTGTACTAAACTACCTACCTAGTCGATCTGTGAAACTGAAATGTGTTCGTCCCATGCCCTACAATGAGAAATGGATTCTCAATCGTTGAGTAAGACATGAACGGTGGTACAATTCCAAATGTATTTGAATGTGGGGTCTTTGCAATTTTACTTTGTCACACCAGTTGACTGTGAAGATAGATGACAGTCGAACAGGTTCATGAGTAAAGTTGGTCCAGTTTAATGAGCTCGCTGGTGTAATGGTAACAATGGCTAAGAAGCATCGGGTTGTGAATTCGATCCCCACCGGGTCCGACATGCTTCAAATCAATTTATAATTTTTCCGAAATAGTTTCTGGTTTCAAAATCTGAATATTAAATGGGTAGTATGTAGGCATATCGAACTCTCACAGATTAAGATGGAGATTCGCGTTTAGTCTGTGGATTTCGGAATATCCAAAGCCCAAATAGGTCGATAGCGCATCTTGTTCTGATGCCATATGATGTATCTGATGGCTGAAGTATTCCTTTCATCAAGTAGACCCCATGCTTGTCTATCCTAAATCATTTCAATAAATCCCAAAGATCAGATCAGATGTAATTTTTTCTTGTGCTAGTGCACATAATCAGTATCATTGCTCTTATGTAAATTAGTAGATTTTATGTGGGTTATACCTTGCATAATGTCACCGTAAGAATCAAACGAGTGTGAGGGAAATGTATTGTTTGTTTTTATAGTTTGCACGTTGAACTGTAGTTTGAGGAAAAATCAAATACCTAATATAGTTACAATGGAAAATTGTATAACTATATACTTATGACATTACATAGCACTTAGATGTACTTGCACGTAAATGTTTTTTTATGAAAGAGGAGGATAGACAAGCATGGGGGGTTCCTTTGATACGTGAAATACCCCCACCATATAACATCTAAACAAAATGCGCTGTCGACTTATTTGGCTTTGGATATTCGGAAATTTCCAGTCTGCAACCGGAACCCAATTCCACTTCACGGCTTTCCGTAGATGTAGATTGTAGATTTCCGTTCAATATGTTTCAGGAAAATTATAAATTGTTTAGAAACATGTTTGACCCGGTGGGGATCGAACCCGAGACCCGTTAATTATCAGCCTTTCATTGCTAACCATTAGACCAAGCCTGTCAAAACTAACGAGTCTCCCATGTGGCGCTACATACAGTGTACACAGTGTGTTAATACATTTTTTTTTTCAATTACAGACCTACGTAGCCAACATCCTGCTAGCCGTAAATCCCTACGAAGACATTCCAGATATGTATTCCCCTTCTACTATTAAGAAGTATCACGGTAGATCTTTGGGAGAACTGCCGCCTCACGTTTTTGCCATCGGTAAAAGTTCAGCCTTTCTTTTATACGACTCAATTTCATAATTCTGTATTTATTTCTAGATTCTTACTTGATGGAAAAATATATATAAGTGTTATTCATAAAATTTTAACAACGTTTTTGGACATCTAAAATTATTAATCTGAAACCATTTATCAAGCTGCCGATGTTATTTAATTACCATGATACTAGCCATAATCTCGCTTGCGTTAGCTCGGCTTATCTTGAATGCCACAGAATTCCAGTGTTGGGACATTTGTCCCAACGTAGTGGACTCCGCTTTAAAAGCAACTATATTACTATTATAATTTATTATATTAATATATTTTAATTTAAATATTTTATGAGTACTTACATCTCCTTATATTTGTTAAAATAGGTTTCAATTCTTCTGTTGTTTCTGAATAAATGTATTTCCATTCTAATTGTACCCAGTTCGAACCCAGGATCTCACGCGCTCGCTAGGCAACACGTTCAACTATTTAGCTACAGAGGCGGTTCCACATTATTCATTTTGAATAATTATTTTCAGCGGATAAAGCATTCCGAGACATGAAGGCTCTGAAGCAGTCCCAGTCCATTATTGTGTCCGGTGAGTCCGGAGCAGGGAAGACTGAATCAACGAAATACATTCTCAAGTACTTGTGCGAGTTATGGGCGAAATCTGCTGGTCCTGTCGAGCAAAAGATTTTAGATGGTGAGTCATTGTAGAATCTTATTTTTCCAAATACCAATTACGTCACACCAGATGGCGTTAGCGTAGCAATTTTTTTTTCATATTAGGAACACCCTTAATCTTAAGTCTCCTAGTTGCTACGGCTACTGCAAAGCTTGCGAAAAGAATGAGTTAGCTTATATACTTCACGAATTAAACTTAAGTGTTTTATTTAAATGTTTATTGTTACAAAATACCAGTTTGTGTTGTTACTACTATAAAGTTTTTATTTTCAGCTAATCCAATACTAGAGGCGTTCGGTAACGCGAAAACAACACGCAACAACAACAGTTCACGTTTCGGGAAGTTCATGGAAGTGCACTTCAACAACAAATACCAGGTAGTGGGGGGGCACATCTCTCACTACCTGCTAGAGAAGTCGCGTATATGCACACAGAGCAGTGAGGAGAGGAACTACCACGTTTTCTACTTACTATGCGCAGGCGCACCTCAGGAATTGCGTGCTGCGCTTAAGATAACTAAGCCAGATGATTATTTGGTAAGTGTATTTACACAAGGAAGAATTACAGGAATAATAAAAATTTCAAATTATTAAAATTTTTCACATGGGGTGTATGGTTTTTGTAGAGGTGGTAACTTTTAGTAGACAAAACTTGAAGACATGGAAGAACGTTCGGATAACTATTTCCTAATAAACTAAACTCAGTCATTACGAAAAATAGCCTAACTAACGTGATATATGTATTATTACAGTATTTAAAGAACGGTTGCACACAATACTTCACAACACCGCAGTCGGGCAAGAAGATAAGCGCAAGTCAAATGAGCAAGCAACATCAGACGAAAGGAGGACTTCGAGATCCCATTCTTGATGATGTTGAAGATTTCCAGAGGTTGCATTTGGTATGATGCTTTACTTTTAGGCAAACCATTTTAATGCATGTATTTGAGTGATATAAGAAGTATTTGTATCGGAACAAGCAATCATACCAATAAATATATGTTGAGGTAAACCACTCAGCTTTTGTTGTACCTGGAAGTAGACACAACGCCAATTTTCAGTGATACGCTTATATTTTAAGTAGAACAGTACATAAACTAAAACATAACACAATTCTTACATTAAAACAATTATAATAACAAAAACATAAAATATAATAAACATTAGACCACAGAAATACATTTATTTTTCTTTTTTATAGGTTTAAATATACGCGACAAAAGCAGCCTCTGAAATTCCCCTGCTAGATTTTTTTTTATATCTTAATTCAAAAGCATTCAGTGCAGTGAATTTCAATACAAAATGACATGAGTATAGTATAAACTATTACATACATTTGTTTTTATTCTTCAACTAAACTAGAATTAATGTGTGAAAATTTAGCTTTTTTTTAATGAAAATATAAACAGAACTTATATTGGTTTAACTTTCCAGGCGTTATCCCGAGTCGGTCTTACAGAAGAAGAAAAAAGATCCGTATACAGCGTGGTAGCCGCCGTTCTTCATCTTGGTAATGTAGAGTTCGAGGAAGAAGGCGGAGCTAGAGGTGGTTGTCGCGTCTCGCCCCACAGCGAGGGGGAGTTGCAAGTGGCTGCTGGGCTGTTAGGAGTTGAGGCTGGAGAATTAAGAATGGCGCTAGTTTCCAGGTTAATGCAGAGCTCAAGGGGTGGAATGAAGGGCACAGCTATCATGTAAGTGATAATATCCACGTTATATAAAGCTTTAAAGTTTTAATTAAAAACGAATGAATAACCTAAAAATACATTCAACAAGAGATAAAAGATCTAGAAATTGTAAACTAAATATATTTTTTTGTTCAGAAAGTCTATACGTATGTAGATCATATTTAAAATATTTGCTAAAACGCATTTGTACTACAATAATGTACAAAAAAGTAGACTAAACGCACACACTCATAAGATATAAGAAAATGATTTGGGTTTTGTCTTTATAACTTATACTGTAATCAGCAATTATTACGTAGCTAAAAATATAGCACGTTAACTTGTTTAAGTTAGTGATTAATGTATTTTAGATTAAGCACATTTTTTTATTATAGGCACGCATACCTCTTTTATTACTGAGTTTTCTTTTTTCACCACGATTGCTTGGAAGACATAGCTATTGAGCTAAAAAGCCACAAATTGTCCTTAATTTTCTTAAAGTCCTTAATGGTTTTGAGACAATAAAGAGTATTTGTATTTGTAACTATCGAATGCCATTATAAGTTGTAAACAGCGCCATCTACCGTTGATTGTTAGAATATTTTTATTTAATTATCTAATTAACACTAAACTAATTAATTCCAGGGTTCCATTGAAAACATATGAAGCGCAGAACGCCCGCGACGCCCTAGCGAAGGCAGTGTACAGTCGCCTTTTCGACTTCATCGTCCACCGTATAAACACCAGCATCCCGTTCCAGGCTTCATCATATTATATCGGAGTGCTTGATATCGCAGGATTTGGTAATGAATTGCTATTACTAGTTCGAAAACTAACATTTACTAAGCTCTCTTAATACCTCGTGTAGGTTAGACTGCTAATTTGAAGTAATATTTATGAATAATATTGCAACTTAAACAAGTAAATGTTAAAAATCGATTATAAATTGAAAAAAAAATTACGACCCGGGCAGGACTTGAACCGGCTTGAATTAATACATGGATGAATTTTGCAGAATACTTTCAAATGAACAGTTTCGAGCAGTTCTGCATCAACTACTGCAATGAGAAGCTGCAGCAATTCTTCAACGAGCGGATCCTCAAGAATGAACAAGAGCTGTACAGGCGCGAAGGTCTCCACGTACCGGAGATTCGATTCGTGGACAATCAGGACTGTATTGGTAAGCGTCTTTTTGTTTTGTTATAATTATTCTAAATATGAATTAAGCTCTTAATAAAGCTTAATTTGTGTAGCGTCTGTTTTGATTTTGTATCTAAATCTATAAATATATAATCTTTTTAACTCAGTTCGTAAGTTCGGTAATTTACCTTATTGTAGCTTAAATAGCTTATAACATGTTTGTGTACCTAGTTAGCGAGCCTTATTAAATAAACAAACACTGTTATCTCAGGGTACAACAAGTAGGGACAAGTCTGATCAACTACTTGCCTGTAAATAACACGGACACAGAATTCTGTTTGCTCTATGTCTCATGTGGGGAAATAGGATTTCGCTTTTATATGATACCAAGACAGCAATAAGCATATTAGACGACAACATTTGAGCCTGAACTGTGTAAACAATCAGATGTTATATGAGATATATAAATAAGAGCTATGTGGAACTGAACTGTTCTGATAAGATATCCAAAAAAGGTTGACAGCTCGTCTTGTTAGATGTAATGGCTGGTGTATCTGTATATGCTTATTTGTCCTCCTCTATCATAAAACAAAACACAACGGTGTTCAAAATAGCTCCTCTCCATTTACAATCTACTAATCTAAACAATTAGTAAAAACAAAGTTATTTTCTTCCTTCAGATCTTATCGAAAGTAAGAACCACGGCATATTCCACATACTTGACGAGGAATCAAAGTTGCCAAAGCCCGAATTCAGTCATTTCACTCACGCCATTCACAAGGAGCTTGGCGCCAATAATTCAAGGTAATTTTTATTTATCCTACGTTATCCATGACGTCCTCGGCGTCCTGTCGTTTTTGGGGATAATCTAATCGTAATCTATTTCGCGTTATTTAAAAAATAGTCATTATTTCATATATATTTTTGGTTTCTTGAACCGGTCTCGCAGCGCACCCAAGGGAATCCAGGATAAATAATTTTCTCCTTATTTTCCCCATTTTCCTCTGTTTCGTTAATACTGGTATAATTTTTCAACTCGAACCAGTAGATCCTGAGTCTAGCACGTTTTAACAAACTCTGCAGATTTATAATATAACAACGCCATTAAAATATTATTTTTTACAGATTACAAGTACCACGAGCTTCTCGTCTCAAAGCGCACCGAACACTTAGAGATGATGAAGGATTTCTTTTGAGGCATTTCGCCGGGGCAGTCTGCTATAATACGGTACGATATTCTTTTATTTTATTTTACCAACATTTATTATTAACATTTGCCATTGGATAGTAAAATATGTATATGATCATTGTACTTTTTGCTTTACTGCTATTCCAAATTCAAATACAACTAAAAACTTTGCTTATTAAATTCGTCACAAACTATTTTTATTCATGTGTAATTTAAAAAATTCCGTTATTGTTTCAGTCTGTCCATTCTTGCTTTTCATATCCTCGTCAAAGTTAATATTTTTAAGTATTTTAAATTTTACGTTATTATATGTTTTAATCAGAATCAATTTAAAAAAAAAAAAACGGGAAAAAAAGGGATAAATTAGATAAAAAAAAAAAAAAATGATTGGTGGGGTCGGGTCGGGGGTTTTGGGGGGGCGGGGGGGAGGGGGGGAGGAAAGAAGGGGGGGGGGTGAGAGGGGAAAGAAAAGAATGGGAAGGCTAGCGCCATCTGTTCCGTCGAAGTTGGTTTTTGGGGAAACTGGCCGGGTCCTTAGAGAAGAACAATGATGCTCTGCATTGGCTATCCTTAGAGTTTCTAATGCCAGGAGTCCCCCCCCCCCTTGTGTTTTTGGGTTTTTTTTTTTTTCGTTTCCCCCGCGGGCCAATCGGGGGAAAAACGTCGCGGCATTTTTGTTAATCGTCTCGTTCAACAACTCTTTGAGACCATCTGACAAGTAATAATGCCAAGATGGAAAACTGAACTTTATATCAGCTTAAATTCTGTTTGAGAAGCACGCTTTGTTTGGCGCTAAGTTACCAAAGTCAAATGCAGTCAGTAAACGCCTGCAAACGTCAAACACCTGGGATCCCATATTAAAAACTCTGGATCCCAATAAACAGCATACCAGCAAACGCGAAGACACCGTTAGTCAATTCTGTAAGGACCCGGCCAGTTTCGCCAAATACCAACTTCGACGGAACAGATGGCGCTAGCGTAGCAATTCTTTACTTTGAGTCTGAGACATCCTCCATCTTTACTCCGTGACCACGAGGGGGGGGGAAAAGAACCCGAAACGTCGGGCCGAAGTTAAAAATCATTTTCAAATTATCGAGTTTTAAACCTTAAAGGATTTTATTTAACGTATGTGGGGGGCGCGAAAAAAAAAAAAAAAAAAAAAAAAAATAATTTTTTAAAAAAAAAAAAAAGGGGGAAAAAAAAAGCCCGCCCGGCCCCCCCCAGGGGTTTAACCCCCGGGGGGGGGGAGGGGCCCCTTCCCAAAACCCTTGGGGCCCCCGCCCAAAAAAAATCCCAGGGGAAAACAAAACTTTATATCAGTTGGCGCTAAGTTCCAAAGTCAACTGCAGCAGCTTATGGATAAATTGAAGGAAAACGTATGTAGTTATAATTATCATAAAGAAACTATTTACTAAAATATTACATGTTACCTATCTTAAATTTTTTTAACAGAAATTTTTTCATTAAATTAATATATCTTGCTTACTGTGCATGGCTAATAATCAAAGGGGTCATGAGTTATATCCCCACCGAGTCCAACATTTTTCTAATCAACTTATAATTTTTGGACTTCTAGAATATCTAGATGGTAAATGGTAAATGGTGCAGGTCACGAATCAATGTCCACAGTTGAAAGAGCTGTGAAGTTTAAGTTCGTTTCGATTGCCATGCTTGCCTGTTTTCCTCTAACATAAAAATCTTATCTATTTCTTCTTAATATAAGTAAAACTACTTCTTCAACTTAACAATACGTACCGGTTTTTGTCAGGGTACAAACTTTGTGCGCTGTATAAAGCCAAACTCCCGAATGGTGGGAGGTGAGATCGAAGGCTCGTTGGTACTCACTCAGCTACAGTGCAGCGGAACAATCTCAGTATTAGCCCTCATGGAGCACGGGTATCCTTCACGAGCCCCCTTCAACGATCTCCACCAGATGTATAACCAGTATCTCCCGCCAAAGCTACAAAGTCTGTCGCCTAAAGTGTTCTGTCAGGTACTTTGTGACTTTTTAGACCAGTTGTCTAGATATATTTTAAATATCCCATATGTAGTTTTAAATGAAGTACTTTAATAGATTAAAAAAAAACAATCTTAAACAATTTGGTACTTAAGTTTCATCCGGTAGAAATCTTTTTATTTATAAATTTTTCTACAAATGATAACAAAAAACGATAGGTTTTACGGTCTGAGATTACTTTGATATAGCTTTTGAAACATTAAAATCTCTGTCAAACACTCAATTGAACAAATAAAACTAATATTGTTTTACGTCGTTTTCGGTGTACACGTTAAATATATATATTAACTTCTTACAAATTCTTCTTGACCACGGCTGCTGTACAGCATCCAAAGCGTCAGGCCATAGCGTAAATTAATAAAACCAAATCATAAAACATTTATTCTGTTGGTAGCGAGGTTCACTTATGAAGAGTTCAAAATTTAAAACTCTAAATTTACATTTAAGTAAGTTCCCAAATAAGGCCGTAAAACAAACGAGAAGAACTGGCAAGAAACTCGCCGCCACTCCTTTTATCGTAGTAGTAGTAGTTTTTGTTACAATCCTTACGCACTTGAATTACTAAATTGTAAATAACTTAAGTAATAATACTTTTTAGGCGATTGTGCACAGTTTCGGTCTATCCGACAAGGACTACAAGTTTGGTGTGACGCGTGTGTTCTTTCGGCCTGGGAAATATTCCGAGTTCGACACTATGATGCGCTCTGACCCCGAAAACCTGAAATCCATAGTCGATGCTGTCTTGGCTTGGCTTGTGAAGTCGAGGTGGAGGAGGGCTGTGTTCTCAGTACTCTCAATTATTAAACGTAAGTAAAATATAATAAACCATATAATGCGACTTCTTAATCAATAGGTAAAATCTTAATCTATATCTAGAAGTACCACCAAACAGGAAGTACACAGTTACACTATTTTAGACAGTTGGAAAACTTGAAAATCGATTATAAATTGAAAAAGTTTATGACACGGGAAAGACTTGAACCGGCATCCACAGCGTACTGTGCTGTTACTCTAACGGCTAACCAATTAAGCTACCGAGTCCTACACGTCATCATCGAAATTTCTCAACCTCTCGCGCAGTTTAATTTCAACCGTAACCCTTGCGAAAGGTGTAATGATTTCGAGTAATTTAATTAGCAGTAATCTCCTGTTGTAATTTTTTTCAAAGTACAATCTATTTTTCTTTGTATATTTCCATCATGTGCAGAAACATGTGAGTTTTCAAAAGCTGGAAAACTTGCTTAAAATGTTGTTAATTTCTTAAATTTCTAATGTTATTGTCTAAGCCAGGATAAATTGTGTGTAAATGATTTTTCGCTTTGCCCGTAAGTTTTCATTCGTTCTCATTCCTTTTTAGTGAAGAACAAGATCCTGTACCGTCGCGAATGTCTAATTACAATACAGAAGTCGGTCCGCGGGTACTTAGTGCGTCGCGCGCACCGACCCAGGTACAAGGGCATAGCTAAAATACGCGCTTTGGAGAATAACTTGAAAGAGATGGACAGTGTTACGGCTCAGCTTAAGAAGGAAAAGGACAGCGCTAAGAAGAATATCGAGAATTTGAGGAATAGTATTAGAAGCGCTTGCGCAACTATTAAGGTATTTATTTGTATATGATAAGTGAAATCCCGTTACACCCCGTTGTAATATCTGGCCTAAGAATTTGTAGTCCAAGAGTAACCATTTCATTTGCTTGCACTTCTAAATGCTGTTATTCGTGTATTTCTTCAGGGTAATGCAAAGATAAGCCGCACGGAGATTGACCAGCTTTACAACAAACTTACAAAGGAAATCGAGAGTCAAATGGCAGCATTACAGAAGTCTATGATCGATCAAAAGAATAGGTATGTAAATTAAAAATCGATTTTTGATTGCAAACAATTTTTACGATACGGGCAGGACGTAAACCGGCATCCATAGCGCTCCGAGCTGTTACTTTAACGATTAGAGTCTAACCGAACCGAAAATAATGGTAATCAAAATGAGATTAATTTAATACTGTCTATAGTTTAGGGGGGGAGTAGTACACATTTAAATAAAACACTTTTACGGTTTAAAACGCGATATATTAGTTAAACTTATTTGAAAATGATTTTTAACTTCGGCCCGACGTTTCGGAGTGCTTTGCAGCAGCCGTGGTCACGGGGAGATGTCTCCCCGAAGTTAAAAATCATTTTCAAATAAGTTTAAGCTAATATATCGCGTTTTAAACCGTTGTTTATTTAGATGAGATTAATTTGTTAAAAAAAGTGTCTTTGTGAGTTAGAGTCAGGTCAGTTAGTTATCTATAAGAATAGAAAACAAGCTTTGTAGGAGTAGAAACTAATTTTGACGACTAGGAAATTAAAATGGTTCTATTTGCTATGTTTATAGAGAAGAACAAGAACGGTTGAGACGTTTAGAAGCAGAACTACGTCTTGCAGAAGAAGCGAAACGAAAAGAAGCTGAGCGCTTGCGGCAAGAAGAAGAAAACCGAAGACTGTAATTATATTAATGACACTAAGATAGATTGTAGTTTGTTAGTTACATTTTTTACAGTTATTGTTTGTAGATTCCAAAACAAAACCTTTAGTTCCCTTAACCTTTGTTAAGATTAATTTTAAATGAATATGCCTAGTAATAAACCCCTAAACAATTTGATGGATTGAGAATCTTTATCAGTATACATTGAGATAATATCAGCACGTCAAATTGGATATCGTGTTTAAGTTCAGTATTATTGTAGTAAAGCGGAGATGGAAGCCCGTCGCAAGGCAGAAGAGGCAGAAAGGCTTCGGCAAGAAGAACAGGACCGGCGTGCAGCTGAGATATTGCAGAAGCAAATGGAGGATGCAGCTAGAGCAGATCTGGAAAATAGAGAAAGGTATTTTTTTTAATGATAGAAAGGACAAATAAGCATGGGGTTGACTTAATGAAGTGCCCCGGCCTATAGCATCTAAACAAGATTTGCCGTCGACCTAGTTTGGCTTGTCGTGTTCGGAAATCTACAGACTGACACCAAAACGTGAGTAACGCTTTTTCATCTGTGGACGGTGTTTCGTGACCCGAACGTAATTCCTACCACCCAATTAATATCCAGGTTTCCAGGCGAAGATTATTAGCTTTGCTACAATTACACCAACGAGACAAGCAATGATAACTAGCAGGGAAATGATTATTGTTTTCTACATAGCGTGCCATTAAAAATTGCATTACCTAACACTCAAATATTTAAGTGATAACCAAAGAACAGATTAGCTTTATTATAACTATTAGGTGTGTCCAATGTCCTTTGAGACTATTTAAAGTATTATAATAGAATATTACATATTATAAATAGAAATTCTTCAGTAAAACCCCTTTTCCAAAGGTTGGAACAAGAGCGTCGCGATCACGAGATGGCAGTTCGACTCGCTAAGGAAACAAACGGACACGTCGAAGGTTCACCACCTCAATTACGAAGGTATGTCCATATACAAACATAAAAAATAGTTTGTAAGGAAATTGTATCATAGAAAGATGTTTCAGCAACGCACTCGCAAGTGAATTTATAATGTATTAGGAAGTAATAAGATTTACTTTTCCATGGTTCAATGATAAAAAAATAGGATTCTTTCTAGGTTTGAGTTACACACAATTGGCGCTTGGTGCTTCTTACTTTTTATTAGACATTCAGGTTAAGTAAAGCCTAATGTTTCAATAGGTTATACTGTTTGAAAATGCATTTTATAAGTTATTAGTCGTAACAAAAACTACCGTGTGATGTAAAATAATGTGTTCTATAGTAACTTTTAATGGTCGACAAACAATTGCACATTTTCTTGCTTTTGTACATACTTCGGTGTCAAAACCTTCATCTGCCTACAACTGAAAATAATATTGTAATATGTTTGCACAGTTTCCCAACAATGGACTCAGTGAACGGAGAAAATAAATTGAACAGGTATCGAGTGAGACAGAATATAGATGTTTTCTCTTTCGCATGCATTTGTGTCCTCTTTCAATATTTATAACATATATTCATAGTTTAGTACTCGTTCAACGTCCAAGTTGAGTATTTTCATGATTTCAAAAAAATAGGATTACACAGGGCGGGAATTGAACAGAAATCCACAGCAGTGTGTGCTGCTCTAACCAAGTTGTTTAGTTAGTGTCACATGCTAGTGATGTGTGAACCTCTCGCGTAATGTAATTTCAACTTTATTGCTCACATTTTAAGGTTCAAAACTTGCAGATTTTCTGTAGTTTCTATTGAAAGAGGACAGTTACAACAAAAACTAACTTAGCTAACATTCGGCTATCGCTTAACTCTTCTTGCACGTTTGAAAACTACGCGTAGTATCATAACTAAATGTAACATAGTAACTAAATGTTTTATTGGCTGGGATTGACATTTTCAAGATTTCTTAAAATATGTGTCATTATAGTATTTCTAGTAGTCATAGTATATGTAAATAACATAGTTTTAGAATATTTTAATATTTATAATGGTAACACTAACTGATGAAAATTTTACCCATAAGTTTTGATTTTTTTCAAAAAGTCTTTATTTTTTTGGTTTGAAAAGTAACACTAAATCTTATTTCCGTTTCTTTCTATCACATGTTGTATGATAAATAAAGGGAGATAGGAATACTTAACTTACTTTGTAAGAGTTATATGGTGGGTTTTTTAATTAACGAGATCGAAAATGCTGTTGTACAGATCAGAACGCGTGCGCATGCAACAAGCGTTACAAGGAAAACAAAAATACGACCTCTCCAAGTGGAAGTATTCTGAACTACGGGACACTATCAATACATCGTGTGATATTGAACTTTTAGAGGTAAGATAAAATAAAAGATACTTGAAAAGAAATATCTTTAGTTAAATATAACTCTTTAGCACCCGAAATGTATTAGTTAACTTAATTTAATATAACTCGATGGGACCACAGTTAAAAGTGTTTAATGTGTGTGCTACTTATACATATTAATACGTTTAAAGCTTAAAAATTGAGAATAGGTAATTGAAAATGTAGTGCTGCTTTGATATTTAAGCAACACAGATTCAATACCTATAAGTTAATTTTAAAACTTGTATTTTGTGTAGCATTTATCAATATTGGTTTTAATCAGGCGTGCCGACACGAGTTCCACCGTCGCCTAAAGGTGTACCACGCGTGGAAGGCAAAGAACGCCCGCAAGAGTACCATGGCTGATCAAGAGAGGGCGCCACAATCGATCATGGATGCAGGTAAAATTCGTTTTAAATTCCGTTTGAATCCAACAACATAATTGTTCTACACTGGTTAACTGGTAGACAACATACCCTGAGATCAATGATTAAAGGTTTACAGTTCCAGTAAACGTTTGTAAAGTTTTTTTTTATTAACACTCAACAGCTAAAAGTCCTCGCGTACAACAAAAGGGAGAGATATTAGGCGCAAGGCACCGTTACTTTCGTATTCCGTTCGTCCGAGCTGGTGACGGGGCGAACGACAAACGAGGATGGTGGTACGCGCACTTCGACGGCCAGTATGTTGCACGCCAGATGGAGCTACATGCTGACAAAACGCCTGTGCTGCTACAAGCTGGTAATTCAGCAAGCATATCTTAACTTATGTGGTGTTTAACTGTAGGGTTTTTCAAGTTACTTCCAGGGCTTTGTACCCGAATCTTGAACCCAAGATCTCTCGTTTAACCCTCGTACATGAATAGGCTAGTTTTTAAATTACTATCAGGCATAGCACACAACAATCATACATTTAGATTTAAGTATTTTGTAATGCCACTGTTAGGTTGACTAGGTGTGGTTTGGATTTAAGGGAAAGTTAATTTTAAACAAGTAAAGTTATTAGAGGAAACAGTTCTGTTATTTAATTTCTTTTTTTAATAAAAAGTTATGACACATGAATAAGTGCTTTCTCGATTTTACAGGAATCGATGATATGCAAATGTGCGAACTGAGTCTGGATGAGACAGGATTGACTCGTAAACGTGGAGCTGAAATACTTGAGCACGAATTTGAACGCGAATGGGCCAGACACAATGGACCGCCCTACAGACCTTCGCACTAGGTGATTATCTTTTAATAATTTCTTTTTTTCGTCATTGTGAAGGTCAATAAATTTATCAAACCATTAATTGGTCTTAATAAATAATCAATTTGAGTATTGTATTATTTGATAGTAAAATAACACTTCATAGTAAAAAAGAATGGTCTTTCGAGCCGGTCTTCGGGTTGATATATACGAGACTGAATTGATTTAATATTTATTATATGCTTAAAAATAGAATTCAATGTTTTTTGTCATTGTTCTATAATGTGGCATTTTTTTACAGATATCAGGAGGTTTTAGTGTATAAGGTACAAAATGTAGAGCTTTCCGACGTGCCTTATTCTTAGTTAGTGCAATACTTGGTACACCGCGAATGTGATCGTAAGAGTACACAATTTAGACCTAATCGCATCGAAAATTACACTACATAATACAAAGAGTTTTATATCTATCGTCATAATGGACGAATAAAATGTTTTTAAGTACTAAGATAGTGACAACTGTATTACATTTTATATTTTCTCTGAGTCTTACTACTAAGCCATAATTGAATTCCTAAACATACGAAAAAGACACAGAGTTCCCTCCAACGAGTCAGAAATTTTATGAAAAATGGAATTTTAATATAGTAAAATTGTATAGAAATATCTTGCAGTTTAGATTTTACGATTTTAGTTTCAGTTTTTAAAAGGTAGGTAGAAGGGTTGTTCAACAGTAGATGACATGTTATTCTAATTATCTTTTCAGCATTGTGAAGTTGTCGCTTTTTGTGTGTCTGTTTTTACTTATTCTTATGTTATTTTTGACTTATCATATTATGGTCTCTTGCAAAATGTAGTTTTAGAAAAATCTATTTACTTAAAACTTTTGTAAATATTTCAGTAAGGAAAGTAATGAAATTGAAATTTTTATTTATAAAAGACAATTTGACTTGTTTTCGCGACTGCTACTGATCAAAAGAATTGACCAATCCATATCTCTATAGTAGATATTTGTTGTATTCTTTCTCTAAATGAATTATTTTTACACGAAATATTTATTATACCTATACTTTAGACGTTATTTACCTTAGATATATTACGGTTTAGTAGTATTTCATATTGTGAACACTTGAATTTTAAGCAAAATCCCTCGTCGAAATTAAAGAAATTACATTAACATTCCTGCGTAACTTAAGACTGGAAGTGGCCGTTAAATTATACAAGTTTTTCAGTATTTAGATTCACGTATTTTAACAGTATTTCATACATTCCTATTGAAGGTTGCAGTTTAATGTAATTGTAGAAGAATTGTAATTTACTAAGTACAATAATGTAATAAAGAGTGCCTTTCATGCCGTAGAACGTGAATTTGTGTTATGCTTTACCAAATAAATATAAGATTTTAAAGAGTGTTTAATATTACGACGAGATTTCCTTGATATCCAGAACATTATAAAAATGTAGTTTATATACAAAAAAGGCAGTATGAAACCCATACTTTTTCGAACTTTTGGACAGTTATAATTATGTCGTATATCGTTGATAAAAAAATGTTTTAACTTTCAAAGCGAGAAAAATATATCATATTTTTTTATAACAATAATGTAACTATTTACTTATTTCAATAAAAAAATCCACGAAACATCTTAAACACATTTTGCTCTTGTTATTAGATACAATCTAATTTTAATCATCTTACCTTTACGCAAGTCGAATAATCTGTGCATCTTCCGTTTAAGGTTGTAAGTAGTCTGTATTTTGTGACAATTGACTGCTCAGATTAAAATGTCAAACTAAAGTCAACCGTCAATCGAATATCAACAAACAAAATTCTATTTTCTCGCATAAAACATGAAGAGATATCAAATTTATTTTTAGATTAGTGAAAGTTATAATAATTAGCCGTTGAATAATTACAACGGAATCGTTTTCTTAAACGGAAGCAATTTCTAAACTGTTGTTTGATAGGACGAAGCTTGTTTGTCGCATGTAGGCTCGTAAAAAAATTGTGTAACAATGCGCCTGAGTTTTCTTGCGCTTTTTTTTGTTATCAATACAGCACATTCGTTGCCCTATGACGGTAAGCTTATCTCTAACTGGTTTATAATTTGGGTTAATGTATGAATTTTAAGATTATTATTATTTGACAACACCATTATGTTTATATTGCTTGAATTGTATTTTAATGTTAAAATCCATAAAGTAAAATGACACGGTTTCTTTTTTATTTAACAGTGCATTGGCTTGGTGGGCCGACGGTAATAGAGAGGGATATATCACCCACAAAGCAAACCGTAGATGTTTATTGTTATTCTGGAACAGCAAAAAATCTTTTAGCACTGTGGCAAACTGTTAAGGTAAGTTAAGGAATAATCAAATGTGAACCTAACCTACGTAGGTCATTCACTTAAATCAAGATCATTGCTTCAATTAATGAAATATTAAGGTTAGTAGAGTAGGAAATATTAGTCCTTGATGTCTTAAATAGTAAAATTTAATCACAGCAATTTTATTGTCTTATTTGTTTTAGGAAAATGTAACTAACAGTGTGTGAGAATGTGATAGAAATGTTAAAGCAACCATTCCTAATGTATAAATAAAAATTAATACTTAATTTGTAAAAAACCACATAAAAACTTTGTGGTTGTTACACAGTTCCATTTATTTATAAATGACTTTTTAAATATAAAATATTTGCTATTTTCAGTTTAATATAAAAATTAAGACAGATGAATTCAGTCAGTATCTGGGTGAAAATCCTGAACAAGTATATAAAGATTATACAGAGGATAGCTATGGCTGGGCTGTGGTCACACCATTTCAAAAGAAATCATATAGAAGTGTGTCCCTTAATCTCTTTACACCAACATGTATGGCTATCAATACTAAGCAAAAACATAGTATTGAGTTACAAATACAGAGTAAGTTATGTTTTTTGTCTTATAAAAAAGCTACAAACAATATATTGTCTGGAGCTTTTTTTATATTTCAAGGATATTCTTCTTCTTTCAGCTCTTGTTTGTTTGGGAATTTTATTTTTTATTCTATTATGAATTCAATATCACTTGCACTTTCTTGAGCTATATGTTATGACCTATTAATATAGTTTCAGTACCAACCATGGAAACTGCTAAGCAATTTGTTTTTTTCCAGGAGTTGACCTCTGGCGTGTATTGATAATGGCTGGTGGGATCGCTCTCATATTTGCATCCCGATCTCTGAGTGGAAACCCTGTATTTTTCTATCTGTGTGGTATTGTGGTTGGAATATCTGCATCTTTCATGGTGATAGTTTATTATGTTAGCAGATTGTTGCCAAGAGTAAGTTAGACCTTAATAATCATTCTTTTACATTGCTTCTCTTTATGTAAGTTAAATATTCAACTTAAGTATTTATGTAATATTGTAACACCATAAGAAATACTAATAGCATATTTGTAATCGTTTTAGTAAAAAAAACTTATATATTTATTGCAAGAAATTTGAGATATGGGCGGGATTAAGATAATGCTATTATGTGGAATGTTGAAAATTATTAAGTTTATATATTTTAGAATAAAAAAATTACTACTTATATATAAGTTATATCCTTCATGAAATGGTGTGTGTGATAAATTCAAACCCACCTATTTATGCAGATAAAGATATTTACACCGATTGTGAGACAGTTATTAAGAATATATTTAAAAAATAAAATTACACTTCCAGAAAACTCTAACTTATGGAATATTAATTGGCGGTTGGACTGTCGGTGTGTACATTTTTCAACAAATCTGGGAGAACACTCGAACTCTATTGCTCTCTTATCAGAATTACCTCTTTTGGTACACATTCTTGGCTGGTTTTATTAGCTTTGTGGTGTGCTACAGGATCGGACCACCAAAGAATGAACGGAGCAAGAATCTTGTTATGTGGACTTTACAGGTTAGTGAAGTATGACTAATAATATTTCATTCTTATGTAGGCGATGTATAATTGATACTAAAACAAACCAATTATATTCATGTTAAGTCCAGTTTGCCTTATGTTGCGCGTTTTGCAAATTTATTTCAAGTCAGTAGATATTTGTACCTTGCCTGCGAGAAAATTCCCTTTATATGTTTACCCTTATGGGTAATGAACCCAGTACCCTTCGCACCTAACGTGCTTGCCCACTTAGGGAAGAAGGTGACTAGAATAACTTACGTACTATAGAAATTATATTTTTTACTTTGTACTATATATTGCTTCCTTGTGTTTACAGTTAGTGGGAGTGTTCGTGACATTCTTCAGCAGTCAATACCAGGAGGCGTCTGCTGCAGTGCTGATATCAGCCCTCGTCGTCAAATACTTCCCACGGAGCTGGCTCTTTAGGATACAAGGATATTGGTATGTCTTTGAATTTGTTATAATATGTAATGGAATTTTAATAATTTTTTAAGATGTTAATTGACTGGGCATTTTTTTACTGGGAGGCCACTTATTATGCAGATCAGTTCCCTTAATTCCTATACTATTTTTACCGTAATTAGTAGTTCGACGGTTTTCGTCGTTTCAACCTAATAATGTCCCAATGCTGGGCTTAGGTCTTCTATGGCACGTGAGAAGGTTTTAAGACTTGGACCCGCCACCCTACAAGATTATTGATGATAACCGAGACCGACGGTTTGACGTATTCTAAAGATATAAGTGTACCCGTGATGTTATAGTTTTGGTGTCTTTATTATAAAAAAGTAGGTCCGTAGTTCACTCAAGTATGTGTAACAGGCGGAGGAAATTCCCCCCTAAACCCCGTCTTCTGACTAGCGAGGAGTACTACGAGCAAGGCGCGAGAGAGACGAAGCACTCCCTGGACGAACTGCGCAAGCACTGTGCGAGCCCCGACTGCGCTCAGTGGCGGGTCATGCTCAAGCTGCACGACGCTAAGAGGTTAGCTAATTTTCTGAAACGTATTCTTAGTAAGTACCGTGATGTTTTAAGGCATATTGGTTTCAGTGAGAATTTCAAAATGGCCAAAAGCAAAATAGAGGGCCAACGCAACGGTCTTTTATGGCAGAGGTATTTCACCTTCCATCGAATGGCCCCGTCATTTTCTGTCTCTGACTTATGTAAGAGGAAGATAGTAAAGCCATTAAATAGCTTATTAACTTATTTTTGAGTACTTTTTTGTCACTATCGATATTTAAATAAAACACTTCAACGGTTTAAAACGCGATATATTAGTTAAACTTATTTGAAATTTTTTATTTTTCCCCCCCTTTTGGGTTTTTTGCAGCGGCCCTGTTCTCGGGGAGACAAAAGATGGAGGATGTCTCTGACGTCAAAGTAGAAAATTGCTACGCTAGCGCCATCTGTTCCGTCGAAGTTGGTATTTGGCGAAACTGGCCGGGTCCTTACAGAATTATTATTATATAATTCTGTAGACCCGGCCAGTTTCGTTAGTTAAAAATCATTTTCAAATAAGTTTAACTAATATATCGCGTTTTAAACCGTTAGAGTGTACTACTCGCGTAAACTATAGACCGTATTTACTATCAATATTTTGAAATTAGTTGGCGTCATCAAGAATTGTATATTTGTGTTGTTTTCTTTCAATACTTTACCCAATTTCAGGTTTGCCAGTTTCGTGGAAGGTAACTCTCATCTCAGTGATGATGAGATTCTAGGCTACGAATCGTACGCGTTCTCTATGGACCGTCCGAAACCATCGGCCAGCTCTACAGCGAACAGCCTCGAGATATCTGATGACGACTCCTCTGAGGATTATGATGATGAGCTATGAGATTTTTGACGACCCCTACACAGGAGCTGAAGATAAGACTGCTCCAAATTGGAAGGTTTGATTAAAACACGTTTCATATGACAGGAGCATAAGTAATACAAACAAGAACTTAGAAAATAATTGTGATATTCTAACAATTTCTGTATTGATGATTTTTTTGCGACATTATCTCCTCTGCTATTTCACCCTTCTCCCAATTCTTTCTTTAATAGACATTGGGTTATCCAAATCTTACGGTGTCCCCTACAAACCTTCCAGTGTTTGTGGAAAATCTTATTATTTATCCATTGCTTTTTTGTTGAGATTGGATAAAAATTAGATCAAGCAATCGGCTTTCTTCTTTGCCTTTATAGATACTGTCTTTGTTTTCTTGGGCAGATTTGAGAAGGACAAGACTTCCATCATTAGAAGTTATTTAGACAGTCAAGATATTGTGTTGAACTGATAATCTCAATAATTATAGATATTTTCTATTTCTTGACTTATGTTTTAATAAGACCTACTTGAAAAGGCATCGCATCACTTAATCTCTTTATGGGGTCTCTTGTAACCTGCTGTGTATAATGGGGTACAAGTTGTTTGTAGTAAAAGTGACTTTAAAGCAAATTTTGAAGAAAATTTGATACTGTGTGTCTTGAGGATTATTGATTTTCTTTTCTAATCCCAAAGAAAGTTGTAACTTATCGCATGTAACTTTCTACACAATCTCAGATAGTGACTGCCATAAAAATGTACAAATCTCTTTAACTGGCGTAGTTCTTTCCATAGAACCAGTTTCTTTCTTATCCTGGTACTCGTAGATTCTCTCATTGCGATCTCAATATTAAAATGCTTCAATTGCTCCAAATATTTACTTTCTTCCGCGTGTAAATACTTGATTATAATAAGTTGATTATGACATTGTTTCAAATAAAAACCATTTTTGTTAGTCATATTTATTTAATTAATAGTAGATTTTAAAGGTGGTAAATGGACTATAATACTATAGCACCGTGACTTAGTTTAAAATATTTAAGGCACTTAATTTAAATGTGTGAAATGTATTTTTAATAAGACTGTTTTTTAAAATAATTTCTATTAAAATATAAAATTGCATTTTTTTTATTATTCCTTCCATTATGGCACATAAAAAAAATTTTCTTAGTATTTTGTAAAATTTGTAATACTTAAAACAATTTAAACATTTTATAAAGATGTGCTTTCGAACTGTTTTAGCTTTGAATATTCAATATATTAATATGATTTAATATTTGCCAATCTCCTTGGTCTTAGAAACTAACAGACACAAATTGCTTTAACAAAATAACGAGGTAAGATTTAATATAATTTTTAATAAGAATTTGTGAAAATCCAATTCAAAAGATTAATACTTATTTCAGATATTTTCTTATGTCTAAATTAATAAGAAATATAAATTAGTACACGCCTGCATACACATAACACTTAAAAAGCACATAAACAAATATTAGACATAAAATGCATTAAAATAGTCAGTTTTATCAATTATTAGTTTGATTTAACTTTGTGTTTAAAATTTGTGTATTGCTTTCTTCATTTAAATAAAAACACTAACGGTTTAAAACGCGATATATTTCAACGCGTTTTAAAACGTTAGGGTGTTTTATTTAAATGTGTACTACTCGCGTAAACTATAGACAGTATTTGCTTTCTTCATATAAAATTAAATTTATCTTCATTTTTATTAGCTACACATATTAAATGTATATTGTATGAGTATCTACAATAATATGAGTAGGTTAGATAACACCATTTAAAATAATATGCAGACCTCCTGAAGATAAAACATGGGTCAGGTTTATGACAATACAAAAATTTTCTATCGCATTCGGCTCGCCTTTTTGCTTTTGTCGAGTGTCTGTGCTGGTGGTGGTGGCTTCGCAGACATATGCCGACTGTACAGACTGGAAAGTAAATTGTTACATATTATAATATACTTGTAACTAGCAGATTTAAATTAATTAAAGTTATTATGAACTTTCCTATATGTATTAGTTATTATCTCGAGAAAACCAACCTTATAATTTACATATAAAAAAAATATTTATTCAGGCCAGTCCAGCCATTCGAGGAAAGAGATAATATAATGGTAACATGAAAAGAGATTTTCTTAATTATATCACAAAAAGTATTAACACTCACACTCTATAAGTCTCTGAGCGCAGATAGTCCAGAACATGTGAAGGCCCCAATTTGAGCTGGTCTTCAATGGGAGGCACCCAAAAGTTACCCTCCAATCTCAGCACTGATTTATTGCTTGCAAGTTCCAGGGACCCTACATGAATCATAATAATTTACAACTACAGTAAAGAGATAAAAAACTTATCTATAATTTATATGTTGCTTCAGACTATCAAATTATTTTGGTAAACGTGATATATAAAAGTGAAAGCCCATTTCCCCCCGTGGGGCATGGGACGAACACATTTCTGTGTCCGTTTCATTAACCCGTTCTTTTAACAGGCAAGTAGTTGAACAGGCTTCTGTGCCTTGCCTGACCAAACAATTTTTTATTTGTTTCCCTGGGATTTGAACCCAGGACCTCTTACACTCAACCCAATGCTAGGCAATATGTTTAACCATTTGGCTACAGAGGCAGTTCATAAATATAATGCTTACCAATTTCTGGTGGCAGCACAACAAGCCTGTTTCCTTGCAAATGCAATTCTCTCAACCTTGATAGCTGTCCCAGTTCACGAGGCACTTCAATAAGATCATTTTCCCTCATGGAAAGCTACAGGAATTAAAAAGCAAAAATTACTCGACTTACAATAAATAAGAGTGGCAGTAAATTGATTTACCTATATGAGGCTGCTAGAGGCAGACTGTCCTAATAACAAAGTACATAGTTTTCAATAAGGAGGAAAATAATAATGGAAGAAAAATAATTATAACAATTGTGTTTGATTCACAGGAAAACTCATACATACTATTTGAAGATTCTTCAAGTTTCCAATTTCAGGTGGAAGATATTCAAAATCATTGTCACCCAAATATAATGCTCTTAAACTTTCTGCAATTTAAACAATGTGTGGTTAACAACTGCTTGTTTTTAACAATAAATAGAGTAACTGTATAATAGTGTTTTGCAGCTGACACATTATAAGGTCTTACTTACCCATCATGTAGAAGTTTCCAGGTAAAGTAGTCTCTTTCAAGTTGTTGTAAGTGACATCCAATATTTCAAGTACGGGAAACGCCCCAAACCCTCGTGGCAATGTATACAATCTGTTGAGAGACACATTGAGGATGCGGAGTTTGGGCAATGATGATAAGCTGACAGGCAATTCTTCAATATGATTGTTGGCAAGGTTCAAAATCTCCAAGTTTATAAGATTTGCCAAGCCCGCTGGTACTACTTGCAATTTGTTATGACTAAGAGTCAAGCGTGTTATGTTTTCAAGGCTAACTGAAAGGGTAAAATACAATTTATTAAGTGAATCGACTATATAACTACAATTCATTTGACTTATCTCAAAAATGAAGAAGGAAATTATTAGTAGGCGTGAAGTCATCTTTATAAATAACATTTTCGTTTTGTGCGATATTATTCATCTTAAAAAATGTATTACTAATTATTTTCTTTATTGTAAAGATAGTGTAGAAGACTATTTCAAGTTGAATTTAAATTTTAAAATAAATAAACAAAATAACAAACCATCAGTGTACAAACTAGTTTTGTACAAAAAAGGAAAAAACAAGTTTCGCAACGAACTTACATAAGCCTGGTATCTCGTCCAGACTAGAAATTCCTTTATCCACTAAATCTATTTCAGGATTATTAATTTCCTTCGCTTCCTCAATAACTTTTTTAGCTTTCGACATTTTGGCAGTGTTCGGAATACAAGAAACTGGCGGATGACTCATACTGAGGTTTCCCACACGAATTACGGATAAGGATGGTAAACAGAATTTGTACCAATCAAAACTTGTTTTCTTATTGATATTCAATGCCCATTGGTTAAAATAAAATAAAAAACTGTATCACAGATAAAATCATTTTAGATTTTTTGGTGGTGTGATATAGTCTGTGGTCCATATTGTGTTTGACGTTGAAAATGTCATTGGTGACATCTGAATTTTCGTTTATATTTATTATTTCCTCTGAAAATAAAGCAGATATTTTTGTATTATACCGGTTAAACCGTACCGAGATTTTACGACATTGCATAATAAAAACCGATATTTATAAATGTCGTAGTGTCGTGCTCTAAACGGTCATGTCAATGTTCCTTTACGCGTAGTAACAGTAAAACAAAGCCTAGTCCTTGTAAATGGATTTGTTATTTCGCTTAGACAGTGTCTGTTCTATGTTAGACCTGTTAAGTTGTTTCAATCTGCGCATTAAAATCACCAATCTGTGAATAGTGACTACTGTTTGAATATAAGACTTGATATCTTCGTCAGCAGCTGTACATTTTGTACCAACAACGTTATCAAGTAATTAACATGATTACAAAATCGGTACTTTAAAAATTCTAAGGATTATACTTTGATAATTTATACCGTACGATAGAGATATCAAGTGAGTATCCCTTTCTATATTACTATATCTTTAGTGATAATTGAATATTATTAGTTTAATCATTTTATTTTAGAAATGAGTGAGAGACCACAGCCTTTAAAGGCCATTAACAAGTTCTTTGATGGTAAAGAACCATGGCAGATAGTTACAATGACAGCATCTTCAGTGTTGGCGCTGGTTTGGGCCCATAGTTTATATAATGCTAGAGAGAGTGAGTAGATTTAATATTGTTCTTCCTAATATTCCTAAGAGAATGGTTTTCATTAACTATTTGTTACCAATGGTTTGTATCTTTTTTGTTTTACTACTTAGATGTAAAAAAATGTTTATTGTTTGCTAATTGCAATTGTAACAAGAGATAAATAATCACATAATCTCTTATTGTTATTTGAAACATTTATATTGATAAGTATCACTTCTCTTTCAAATTTCAAATCTTTAATTCCTTTTTCATTAGATTTTATCTGTACTCAAACAGTTGTTATTTGAAAGTTATCACTAAAGTAAGCAAAATAAGTCATAATAATTTGTTACTATCTTTGAAGAAGCACTGATATCATAAGGTTTATCTTTTCTTTTTGAAGCTATATGTTGCTAATGTATTATTGTATTGTATGTTAAGCAATAAAGGAACAGATGTTTAGGGTTACAGAGAAAGCTATTTTGGTTTTATGTTAGAGGCCACTTTAGTTTATGTAGTTCAAAGTTTGATGTCTTTGTTGTGCACACAATTTTTAAATTTGAACCAGTACTTCCTGAGATTAGTGTGTTCAAACAAACTCTTCAGCTTTATATTAGTATAGATTCAGAGGGCCTTGAATCCCAACTCTGGGTCAATAATTGGGGTGATATCTATCTTTGTTTTAGGTCGATTTGATGATTGAAGTTAAATTTAATAATTTTGTAAGAATCATAGTAATAACATTTTGTAAGAAATGTATGCACAATGATAACGATATTGACACCTTTGAAACCTTGACTATGATACCAATTCAAGTTCTAATTGCTATTTGTAAATGTATATGGTGCATGATAATGAACATAAACATACAGACTGGCATTTATTACTTGTAATATGTGTGTATACATGCCTATATATAGCCTTATACCTGACTAATAAAATGCAAATGATGGTGTCAGCTGATAAATTTTCTTTTCCTCTTTAGTAACATGTAATGTACTTCAATGAACTGTTAATTTATTTATTATTATTAGTACAAAATGATGTTTATTCTAGATTTTTTTTATAAATTAAATTTATAGTTATCCTTAGTTAGGTCCTAGAGCTAAGGATAACAATAAATTTTGTAAATAAATTAAATCCTGTTAGGTCTCCTTATAGGAGACATATAGGAAGATATTATTTCCTTTATGTAGGAGACTTAAATACTACCCGACGTGTCGGATTTCTTTCATTTTGTATACAATGCTGGAATTTGTATACCCAATTCTTAGAAACATACAGGACACACCATGTGATTCACATTCCAATTTAAGAGAAATATCTGCAAAGTCACGCTGGTAATTTTTGTACACGTTTTCCTCAATGCATCTGGATGAATGTTTTTGTCACGGACAATTAACTTTTACATTGCGCAATATTGAATTCGGCAGTTTTCTTATAAGTAACTTTTCTTTGTCTTCAACTAAACATGTCAATAATTGGATGTGATAGGAGTATATCTATATGAACTTAAATAAAACACTATTAACGCTTTAAAACGCGAAATATATTATTTATCTTATTTTTAATTTCAACTATTGTCCGAAGTTACGGATGCCTAACTGCAGCCATGGATGAGAAAATACTAATCGCGTATTAAGCCGTTTAAAGTATTTTATTTCAATGTGTACTACTAGACTTAATTACAGACAATATGCTATAAGAATTGTGACAAAATCCTAACTAAGTCGGACTTTGAACTCGCAAGTTATTAATAGCAGTTAATACGTAAGAACCAATTCAAGGATGTTTCAGCTATTAAATTGTTGCGATCGTATATTTTAGCTCCCACCACAAGGCTAAGGAAAGAGTTTTTCCGATGGCTTCGTCAAGTGCCAATTGTTCGTCGAAAAATAGAAGAGAAGATGACGGAAATAAAAGCCGATTTCCGAAAAGATGTGGCAAAGCGGCTAGCTGGTGTCAACGTAAATAGAGAGTTACCGGAGAATGGTTTACCCTCGGAGCGAGTTGTAGAGGAGATAAGGGATCATCTAAACTTAGGTATCATGTTTGTAACTAGTATTTGTTGCTTTCGTAAAAGCTTGTTATTATTTTCTCTATTGAAGATACCCATAGAAGGCCTGGTGATCAGGTCGTCTTACCATTTCACCCTTTACTGAGGGCATTGAGTTATGCAACTCCTTCAACCAATGTAATTTCAATGTTTACTTATCTAGATTGAAAATGAATACTAAACATTTAATACACTAACTAACGTTTAAATAAAACATTGTAACAGTTTAAAACGCTGTTAAAGTATATTACTTAAATTTATCTGAAAATGATTTTAACTACAGCCCGACGTTTCTGATCCTTTGCAGTATCGCACGGAGTCTGCGCGTTGATTTCCACATAAGTATATTTTTATTCCGCGTTTTAAGCCGTTAAAGTGTTTTATTTAAATGTGTACTACTCGCGTAGCCCCGGGAAGTAGTTACTCTAACTAACGATTACTTTTTACCATATACCATGTCCTGTAACTTACATAAAATTTAATGTTATTTTTAAGAGCAATAATGATTTATTTATTTCTAGGTTCCTATGATTGGAAGGGAGGCAACGTCTCCGGAGCCGTTTACCACACCAACGAAGATATCTGCCGAGTCGCATGTGACGCTTATGCGCTCACGGCCTATACTAACCCGTTGCACGCCGATGTGTTTCCTGGCGTTAATAAGATGGAGGCTGAGATTGTCCGGATGGCGATTAATTTATTCCATGGAGATGACGAATGTTGTGGGACGGTGTGTTTCTTATTTAATACTCTTAGTTACTTTCAAGTATAGAAAAAAACCTAATAATATGTATATATAAAATACTTTCCGTTATTTACGCGAGTAGAACACGTTTAAATAAAACTTTTTTAACAGTTTAAAACGCGATATATATATTAGGTAAAATTATTTGAAAATTATTTTAATTATGGCCCGTAATTTTGGATGCTTTGCAGCAGCAGTAGTCACGGGGAAATTAGACTAGGTCTAGGTCTCTTTCATTGACAATAAATAATATTTATAATTGTACCTCAAAAATGATATACCTCTCTCAGGTGACAACAGGCGGGACGGAGTCTATAATGATGGCGTGCAAAGCGTTCCGCGACCGCGCCTACGAGATGGGAATCAGCAATCCACAGATGGTTCTGCCCAGCACAGTCCACACTGCCTTCGACAAGGCGGCGCAATACCTCAACATTTCTGTCGTGACGATCCCAGTCGACCCTGATACCTTGATGGTCGACGTTAATGCAGTGAAGAAGGCTATCAGTCGACGGACTTGCTTGGTAAGAGTTCTTGTATTATATGACAAGTTAGAATTAGTTCTCAAACTCTGACATCTCTGCTCAAGCTTTGACTTGTGGTGTAATGGTAGCAAAGTTATAATAAATAATGTGTCATGGGATCAAACCCCACCGGGTCCAATATTTTTCTAATCATTTTATAATTTTTCTGGACTTCTGAATACTAAATGGGCGGTAGGAGTATCAAATTCCGTCCAGGTCACCAACCACAGATGGAAAACCTGTGAAGTTTAATGGTGTTTCGGTTCCAGTATATGGTTTTTGGAACAACCCAAGTGAAAAAAGGTCGACAGCACACCTTGTTTAGATGTTATATGGCTGGAGTATATCACCATTAAGTGAACCCCACGCTGATCTGTCCTCCTCTCATAATAAATGACAAAATGACAATGTCATTAAAAGCCTCACCTATAAATAATAATTCAAGCTTTATATACACATGTTTAATGAGCCAAAACCACTATGAGCTTCATATTGATTTTTTATTTTTCATTTCAGATAGTAGGCTCAGCCCCCAATTTCCCCTATGGCACAATGGATGACATCCGCGCGTTATCTGATATAGCCCTCGAAAACGACGTTCCTTTACACGTAGATGCTTGTCTGGGAGGTTTCGTGGCCTGTTTTATGCCGGAGGCTGGCTACCCAGTGCCAGTGTTTGACTTTAGGCTGCCTGGTGTTGCCAGTATGTCTGCGGATACACATAAGGTGAGACCATCTTGGCGATAATTGAGATTTCTTTACCTCCTATATTGAAAAACTAAACACGTCACGTCATATCGTTTTTTGTATCTTAATTAGATTTCACTTAAAAATAACCAGACGTATTAAACAAGCTTTAAGAATGACTTTTAAAGAGGCATTAGTCGTACATATTTTGGTTTTAAGATCATATTTTTTGCAGCAAGATATTGACTTCAAATAAAAACGCTAGTTTATAGTAAAAATTATTCAATTGGAATGACAAACAAAGCTTCTATAAAATAAATTTTGAGTGCCGGACTTTCCGTCTTTGCTAGTTAATTTTTATTTGTTCCTTCATTTTCTGTATTAAACCAAAAATTTAAGAATTTCCTTTCTACCTACACTTATAACAGCTCTGAAATGTTATTGAAAAATAAAACAAAAAATTTGACAGTTCGTGCAATTTGTATTTTCAGTACGGTTTCGCACCTAAAGGCACGTCTGTGGTGCTTTACCGCCGGCCAGAGTACAGACACGGTCAGTACACCGTAACAACAGATTGGCCTGGCGGTGTCTATGGTTCTCCTACTGTCAATGGTAAGGCAATGAACATTTTTGCATACATTGCATATGAAGTAACTGAATTTAATTTTCTTTGCTATTAATTATTCTAATAAAAAAATTCATAGCTTTAACTAAATTAAATATTTTTGTTTAATGTTAATTGGTCCTTCAAGCCAGAAGTATGTTATACGTTTGTGTAGGTAGTCGAGCTGGCGGACTAATAGCGGCATGCTGGGCTAGTATGATGTATATTGGCCGTGCGCGATACGTCTCTATGACTAAGGAAATATTGGCAACAACAACATATATCTACAACGAGTGAGTACATATTGCTTATTCTTAAGGATCAACTACATATTTCACTTTATTGCCATTAAAAGCCTTATATGTTAATAATATTAAATTTATCCATGATATTATTTGTTAAATGTACTCAAGAACGCTTTTCTTGAGTACTCATCTCTTCTATAGGTTTGGTAACACTGCTTCATTGTAATGCATTTATTTTGAATTTAAACAGATTGCGAAAAATAAATGGCATCTTCATATTCGGGAAACCAGCGACCACAGTGATAGCGTTCGGTTCGAAGCAGTTCGACATTTTCAAAATGGCCGACCTCTTGCACAAGAAGGGGTGGAGTTTGAACGCTTTGCAATTTCCTTCTGGGTGAGTTTTTTAATTAATTATATAAAATTTACCATAAATCAAAATTTTATTGGGATTGAAGATATTCGATGACACGTACGGAATTTGCAGCGGCACCCACAGCGATCCGTGATGCGGCTCTATCTTACTGAGCTATCATGGTTCGTCCGTCATCATCGAATTTATAAACCCTTAATAAACGCTTTTTGGTGCAGCTTATGCAGCAGTTTTGCATTTTAAATCATTTAATATGTAATTATTCCGAAATTACATATTAAATGACTGTCTATAGTTTACGCGAGTAGTACACATTTAAATAAAACACTTTAACGGTTTAAAACGCGATATATTATTGAATATTATTTGAAAATTATTTTTAAGTTCGGCCCGACGTTTCGAATGCTTTGCAGCACCCGTGATCACGCCGAGACTCCACATATATCGCGTTTTAAACCGTTAAAGTGTTCTATTTAAATATGTAATTACAGAATTTAACGTTTTGTAAACATTGTAATTTTTAAGTTTAGGACAAGTAAATTTCAATGATATCATATATTAATACTTTATTTTTCTATTTATTAATACGATTTTTCCACATTTGTTTAGGATTCATATTTGCGTGACTCATGCGCATACAGCGACGGGTGTGGCAGAAAGGTTCGTACAAGACGTGCGCGAAGTTGCCGCTGAATGCTTGCGCGCTGGAGACGCACCTGTCGAGGGGAAGGTATGATGACTAAATATTTTCTTACTGTTTGTATTAATTTATTGGAGGTTACCATATACTCGTAATAAATATTTATTATTTTAATGTGAGTATATGAAAAAAAAAATAACAAACACGACAACATTTCCTTAAACATGGTATTAAAGTTAAAGTTTCTATCTCATTGTAAATCATTCTACCTATTGAACCTGTAAAATGATTTCAGATGGCAATATACGGCGTGGCCCAGAATATTTCAGATCGCAGCTTAGTGTCAGATATCACAAAACACTTCATTGATTCGATGTACTACCTACCTACACCGCAGGATTACGACAAAAACTAAGCTATTGTTGTCCCTTTCAGTATAGGAAGAGAGATAATTTTACAATTTGTTTATCCTTGTCATTCTTATGTGTGGAAAGTATAAATATTCAATTGTGTGATGATTATTTTTATACTTGAAAGTAAAAGAAGCATAATTTAAATCAATTTAATTATTACATTTTTTTAACTACCCTTCGAAATAGTATGTGGGTATTTTATAATAAATATTATATTACTTTGTACTAAGTTTGTATTATGAGTCCTGGCAAACGAACATTTTTATATATTCTAGACAGCTTAGCGGTGAGGCCATAGTAATGTGGCGTAATATTTTTTATGTATAAGTTATTGTAAATTATTATTATTATATTTGTATTGGTAATCAATTCGAGTACATTCCTATAAATCGTGTACACGTAATTTTGTAATTATTAAACATTTTATCAAAAATAAATGTACAACTTAAAAATTGTTTTACTATTTTCGTTATCCTAAATCTCAGTTTCCATAACTGAAATAACCTTTTTTTTATAGTTTAAGTTTAATATCTTGCGCAGCTTTTAGTGCCAAACTTAAAAATTAGATTAACCCAATCAACTAAATCCTTTTGGCATGGATGTCGGTGGTCTAGTAGAGTTTAATGTTTAAAATAATCGAAAATAAAACTTATTAAACAAATCTAAATTAAACTTTATGAAAATAGTGCTGTGGCATTGAAAGTTTTCAAGTCTGTCAGTATGATCAATCTGTCAAAATTGCAATTGAACGTGGGGTAAAACTAAAAAAATGCAATAAAAGTAAAACATGCGATGCTGCCTAGCATTTATGGTCTGTTTGCAAATTATGAAGTCAGATGGATCGGTTAATTATTGCAGCTCTAGGATGTGCGGACATACAAACGAACATACGTTTTGTAGGTACCCGGTGAGTATAATATCAAAACCCAGAATACTATAAAATACTGGTAATTTAAAAAAATACTTGTTTAATGTATGGACTAAGCATCTCATAAATTAATACATCTTATAAATTAATTCACAAATATTTTTAACCAATATGCTTTGCCACGTAAATAAAATGAATTCTTGTTTACGCGCAATTGTAAAAATAATATATTAGCTAAGAAGACAGACAGACAGAACAGTTTTTTTTCTTTGTTTTGAATTCCTTTCTATATTTATTTTCATATCACAAAAAAGATAACTTTCCGTATAAGTTATTTAATTAGAAAAAACATCAATATTAAAAGAGATTCTACAAGAAAAAATATCATGACACGGGCAGAACTTGAACCGGCATCCACAACACCCCGCGCTTTTGTTCTAACCAATTAAACTGTCGTGAAATCCATTTTATATTTATATAGTGCTACTAAAATCCTTAAAAGTAGATATTTCGTCTATGACCTTATATAAATTTGTAATAGCCAGGTCCCGGAATATCATGCACAGGGTACATACAGGCACCTCTGACCATGGAGGAAAAAGCACGAGTGATGGCGAGACTAAATCGGCGAAGAAGTGATATCGCGGTCGGTCTTAATGATTGGCCGCCAGCCGCGGATATGATGAAATTGGTAAAAAATATATTATTGGGAAAAAATCTATGATAGCAGCGGGGCTTGAACCAGTATCCACAGAGTTCCGTGCTAATTTAGCTAATTTAGCTGCCCAGCCAACCTACTAATTGCCCTTTTTGCACAGTGTAATTTCATCTTTACATTAAGGTCTAAGTAGGTTTTTAATTTACTTGATGGCGTTATACTGTGTCACGTACAGTATGATGATAAAAATAATAAAAGAAAGGGTTATCCGGGCTAAACGGATGGGAACTGATCAATTGTGGTGTGAAGATATCTGAAAGGAAGAGTTTCGCTAAAGAAAGTCAAGAATTGTTGCTAGTTCATTTAATTTTATCAAACTTTAATTTGTAGTAAATGTTGGCAATAATTCGTATTTTGAGAGATACAGTTTTCTTAAATAGACAAAATTTGACTATTTAACTCTCAGCTTAGTAAGTACTGTTGTGAGAGTATTTGTAGTTATTAATAATTAATATTTTTTTTGGAAAACAGCGGTGGGTAGAAGAATTGTCTCGTGAAGCTCACCTCTGGGCGGACCAATGCAGACCTCCGGGAAACTCTGAAGAATACGACGTTTGTCGTGATTTATGTATGCTTTTATATGTTATTTATTTTATTCACTTCGAAATTTTTTATGACTTATCGTATTTTACAAATTTAAGTTATTATACAAAATTATACAAAACGATCTCTTATAGATTCGACAACAGTGGGCCAATGTATTGCTTCGATAATTGGTGAAGCGCCAGGCCTTCGGCCCGAAACCATGGTGGATATTTGGTACATGCAACGAATATCGTACGAAGGAAATTTTACATCATATAATCCGTGAGTACACTGTATACTATATTAGCCTTTATACATAATAGGAACAGTTTTTAAGTTTTACCTCTTCACAGACCAACACATCCAAGCCAATATTATGGAGATTTTGCCCAAATGGTTTGGTCCCGGACTTATATGGTCGGATGCGGTAGAAGTAGATTTATGGTAAGTACAATATAGGACATCGCTTTTTTATTAGCATAGAAAAAACCTTACCTCCTGTCCAACAACCTACAGGCACTATGGCGTGGTCGTCTCCGAAGCGTAGAACGACTAGTCTGCAATTTTGCACCGCGAGGTCCTGTACCAGCTCGGGCCTTATGGACTCCTGGTCTTCCTTCTTCCATGTGCCCACCGCGATCCCGTCCTGACCCCCAATTACCGGGACTGTGTACCTTTCGTTAGTAACTTTATTAGTTTAGTTTTACAATTAATTATTATATGCTTCTCCGAGATCAACATCCAAAAAAATACGCCATAGCTAGCTCCTATTTTATGATCTTTCAGACTCTGATCTTACTATAAGTGATGATACAGCAAATATTACAAGTCTAGAGGAAAACCTATTATTGGATACAGTACTAGATATAGAAAATAATGATACCCTAAACTACATTGAATCTTTAGATGAAATTTTCTTAAAGAAACTAGCAGTTGCAAATTTTGATTATATCACCACTGACAAATATAACAATTATATTAACAAAAGAGAATTAGTTGATCATTTTGAAATGAATGAAGTAATAATTCCGGTATCGGAAACTGAAGCAACAATATCTATAATAGAAGAAAAAACAACTAAGAGAACGAAGAAAAATAATATAATTGGACGTCCGAAGTCCTATAATTTGGAAGACTTAGAAGAACTTACACCTGAAAATATAATAAGAAGTAAGTGTAATAAATGAAATGATAACAAACAAATATATTTTTGAAACATTGAAAACTGTTTCAGATGATATAAGTGATAAAACAACAGACTCTAAGGACCTCTATGCTGATTTGGATTATTCTAATGATGACAACTATGGGATTTTGGTCAGAGGTTCTATGATAAACTCAAAATCGGGTAATTTAATTAAAGATGTAATCTTTGAAGAATAGACGAAAGAATAAAATCACAATAAATTTGCAGTTAATAAGGAAAAGACAAATGTATCACAAATAGCTACAACGTTCTTCGAAATGAGTAATATTACAGAGGAAGCAAATGTAGCAACATCTACTAATATAAGTAGCTTTATGAAAGGATCGGGCTTAGTTTCAAATAAAACAACTAAACGCGATGATCTAGAAGACTATCTTTCAGATCGTAAGTGAAGTGAAGTGGCAAAAGTGAGAGATCTAAGAGAATTTAAGAGAATCTTAACTGATACATGGTGTACATTACTATTGGTGTAATATAGTCAAAAATATTTATTGTACTTTTTTCATTTACAGCGGAAACATTTCGACAACTTCAGGAAGCGTTAGAGAGAATGGAAAACAGTTTAGCTGTACCCACCTTAACTGCAGGGAAGGTATATTTGTTATATTAAGAAAATAACTGAATATACTTCCCATTGATTTTGTCATTTACTTAGTTCTATATGTTGTATATGTTCCGCAAATCTCAATTACCCGTAGAGAAATAACTTTAAAAGGTGTTTCTGTAGGTCCGCCGTGACTTAAGAACACCGCCTCCAAACAGGACTCTGGTGAACCGACAAAGAATACCTCCTGAAGTGTTACAAGCTGAATTGGAAAGAAACAAAACGCTTGAGAGAGGTCCGATGCTCAATATGGTGATGAAATATCTGCCATATTTAAAATCTTACGAGAAGACTTTAATTGGTGATGGATCTACGAACAGCGTAGCTAGGCTGATGCCAAATATTCTGGCTATTATTTTGTGCATGTGAATCTAGTGTTATTTTTATTTGTTTAGTGTTTCATAAATGCCATTTAAATATATTGTGGTTTTAAAATATTGTTTGCTTTCTTATTTATTTTGATGAACGACGTTGTCATCTCGTCATAGTCATTTTCACTACTTAATATTGTACTCTTAATATTGCCCTCTACGAAGGGGTAAATGATTAGTTCAAATTATTGAATTTCGAAGGACTTATAAGATTACAAGTAATTTTACTAGATAAAATAAAAAGTAAGGTAATTTATAAGCAAATATGAATACTGCAGAAAGTTTAAATTAAGAATTTGAAACATTTTTGTTTTTTACAAAAGATCTTACAATACATTAATCATATCTGTTTTTTTTTTATTAATATATATATTTGAAGACAGACAGAAACAAATCTATTACCAAGGCCAATATTGAAAGAAATATTCAAGTATTAATACGTGGTGATAGTCTTTGGTCTTGTCTGTTGGGGAAATCAGTAATAAAGAATGCAAGTATGTGCGTATTGAGGCCAGTAAAATTATTCGTCCGGTCATCGTCCGCGAGTAGGCAGTTTAAATCCAGTTATGCATGCATGCAGACGGTCGCTCGTAGACCACGCGTAGCGCCCGCGTAGATGTGCTACGGGAAACAAATTAATCTTCGGTTCAAATAAATCATTATATATAAACCTTTTTGATATCAACAAAAAGTAATTTAAATACCACTAATACATATTTTAAATTTATAATGTTAATTCGATTCTTATTTGCCTGTGTATAGTTGATAAGGAAAATAAGACTTAAAAAATCCTGATTTAAGACATTTTTTTTTAACTTACGTATTATTTGTTAATTGTGTTGGCATATTCTCTATTTTACATTGATAATAATATTTTTGTTACAGTATTTAAATAACTAGAACGTATTTTGGCGTTTACATAGATTTTATAATTTATGTTCGAAAATGTCTAACGATACAAAATCAGCCAGTTTGAACGCAAACTCATCTCGCTCGTGGTTTCGGAGTGCTGATGATGTAAAAATTGAAATTGGTTTCGGGGTTCCATTGGGAGCTATGTCTGCGCATCCGGCGTTTCATTCGGCTTGGGACGTGGGATGGTGAGTTTAAATTTCTACCCAATATTATTTATAACCAGGCATTATAAAGTAAGAATATTCGTGTATATATTACTTGGTGGAACTTAATTTTGTTTATTTGTAACTGGACAGAGTTATGCAAAAACAGTATTGTGATCAGTTAAAATAAGCCAGCTTAGCAGAGGCTTGACATTTTTCGTCGAGAACTATCTTCCAAATCTGAAAGACACATTACTTTAGGCAATTATTAACTAAATAGTCTTTTGTTACTGTAAAAAGTGAGTCAGGTGGACGATAAACCGAATTACATTACAAAACTCTAAAGTTCTTGGCCGCCGTTTTGTTTTCAGCAACTCTTCCAGATTTTCATATTTTTAAAAGAGAATCTTTTTTTCAAATAGTGTCTTTGTTTATATATAAAAACATTTATTTTTTTGTTGTTACAAAATACAAAATAATAATTAATATTGTTGCATTGTATTACATTACTTATTATTCGTATGCAAAAAGTCTTAACTTTCCTCTAATACTAAGTGTAACGTTATTCAGTCATTAATGCTAATGTTGGAATATATATGTTTTAACATTTTTGCTACATTTAAAGTATGACCAAGGACGGTAACGAAAAGGACTATAATAGTGTAGCGATATCAATCATTTGTTACAAACACGCAACGGAGGAAAAATACTCGATATTAATAATTATAACGCTGTGACAAAATTATGCCAAGTAAACCTTGGGTTAAAAAAGTACTTTTCTTGGGTAAATATAAGTCAAGGTGTAAGCCAACATTAATAATAAAATACAATACACAAACTGAGTATGAAACTGTGATTTAATTAAAATCATCAAAAAAAAAAAAAAAAAGTGCACAGATTAAATAAGTTTAAACTTGGGTGCACAAAAGGGCATTATAATGTAAATATAAAAATTGACGACTCGGGCTCAATTTTGTAAATCAATTGGTTAAAGCAGCAGCGCACGCCTTGGATGCCGGTTCAATACCGCTTGTGCCGACATGTTTTTTAAATACTAGAAAGACTTTTTTTTCATTTAAATATCGTCTATTTCATTTTCTAAGCGTTAAAGCGCTCGATAATCTAATTAAGCTATATACTTTTGTCAAACAAAAGTTAAATTCCGAAACAACTCTTTTGTTACTAATTCCTAGGAATTTTGTTAATTAATATAAAAAGCCACTAAGTCTAGACGTCTAACATTGTTGAGGCTAATGTCTGTCCCTAATGCAATTATTGTGGACGGACTTAACATTCACGCGGTAATCGATTGGGTCTGTAACTATCTGTTCAAATTCTACCTAGCCGATGAATACCCGCCATATACATTCGGATTTTAAAAGAAAATGTTTATTTTGGATTCATGAGCCTGCCCTTCAGAAAAAGTGGAGTTTTTCAGAGTTTTGGCTTGGAAGAGTGATAAGTATAAAGTTGCATTACTAAAATTGTCGCAGGTTTGACTTTATAATTTTTATTTACATTAAAAAAAAAGGGTATATGTGCGACGGATTACTCTTAATCTTTAAGTATTAATTAACTAAAATTTCGCATTTGGACTATTGAAGATAATTGTAAAAGCGTATGTTCTTTATCATTTTTATAATGGTTTAACATATAAGAAAAGGTAAATATTGATATAAATTTATATGTTTATACACACAAGATGGTGCAAAAATATACACTAGGCCATATTATTAAATTTATCCAATAAAAGATTTGATCATATGACGAGGAAAATTTAACAATGCCAATTGAAGCGTAGGCGTCGATCATCGCATTATAGGATAAACTAATTTCGCTGTCCGTCCTTGTTTTAAATTGACGACGATAATGATTTAGCATTTTTTTCCAAGGCAGTAAGAATATATGAGCCAGCTTCTTACACAAACTTTTTCCTCCGTTCCATGCTTATCTACATCGCCTCAGAAGGTAAATGGTTGCCTCCATGGCGTCAAGCGTGAGAGCATCTGGGTTCATATCTCGTGCTCAAGCTTAGAGGTCTAATCAACTACTTGCCCGTAAATGAAATTGTTTAGTGGAATGGACAATAATATCCTTATGCCCACAGGGGAAATTGTTTCACTTTCATAAGTTAGCTTTATGTTGCCTGCCTCTACGCAATACTGGGTTTGAATGTAGAGCTTGATAAGTTCTTTAAGTTTGGCGGTACCAGTAATCACTAAAATAAAAAATATATTCCCAATACAAGGGGTATTAGTAAGATATTTTGTTTTCTCAACCTAATTGATATATCGTTTAATCTGAATACGATTTACTTTTTCAGATTAAACGAGACTATTTTAATAGACTGAATATCAGTAAATTTAATCTTATTATACCATACATTTCCATTGCAAGTATTGTTTTTTAAAACTACTTGGTAATTAGTAATTAACAATCATCAGCGTTGTACATGGTTAGACTAATGACAAGGAGAGGTACAATTCGTCAATAACCTTTACCTCTAATTATTTCGATGTCTTCGACCCCATGAATGGTCGCCGTAAGGAATATTGCCCCCAAAGGGTTCGTTCACCCTTGGCACACTTTCGCGCCTGTCAGGCAGCCCCTTCCTGAAAAATGTAAACATTAAGTTGAACAACCCCCTTTACGATTAAGTTTTATTTAATGCTTTAGCCGTTAATGTTTCTGAAGTCCTAGTACAAATTAATAATGTTTGACCATTTTGTTATAACTAAGAATCACACTATTATGGTGGAATTTAATTTAATAAATAATCCAACTAAAGGACGACTTATTACGACTAGTTAAAAAATATATAATATAATATAAAATATAGAATATTAATTAAACAATGTTCTACAGCTGAAATTGGATTTTATTGTGATTTTGAAGGCAGCAGTTCCTTTGATTAACTCTCGCAATAATTAATTTCTTTTTACCACTGAAAGCAAGGAACTATATATAACATGTTAATTGTATCGTGCTATGTCTTCGACGTTTTACATTTATTTTTCAATAGTTTTTCCTATTTTAATAAATTTAGCAATTGAATTAAACCAATTTAGTTCCTTGTATAAAATACAATTGCGTTACAACTACTTTTATCTGTTGGTCATTTTAATGGATGTATAACTAGGTCAGTGTGAACAACCCCTATCATTTGATTTTTCGGATATAACTGACCTTCGTTCTTTATCATTCATTTCGTTTTTTCTGTATTATTATTGGAGTAAGGTTTGAAAATCGTATAATAAAAAAAACTAGGTGCGGCAAAATACGCACTGTTGTTTCCGCTCGCTTGTTACCATGGCAACTGGATCAAAACAAAACTGTCAAATGGCACACGATTTTTGTACCTCCTAATGACACAATAGTAACAATAAGTATGCCCACGTAAATTCAAATTATATACATGTTATCCGCCCGACTTCACTTATGTTACTGAAGGCAATTAGAGTCTTACGAAGGAGTATGGATTTCGGCTTTGGAGACTCACTGGTACCAAATATTACTGGGTTGCGACAATTTTTCAATCATGATCCATTCTTTGGGTATGTACAATTCGTATTAAAGACACGAATATGAACTGATGATTAATGAGGAAATGTAGGATATCGATTTTTATCCCTACTTCTAGGAGCGTGTCTACTGTACTTATGTTAGATTTAGATACCTAACGTGTTTTCCAAAAGCTTAGCTTAATAGCTTAGTGATTTATACACCAATCGTGATAGCCACGACCTATACACGTGTATGACAACTCAGAATTAAATACACAATTATTTAAATTACATTTTTAACACATAGTGTTTTAGACACTACTACACATTATTTACAACAAATATTTTACCTAAAAAAAAGACTAAGAATTCAAACAGCTCACTCACGCAACATAATCTACGATTTGTCCAGCGCTTAGACGTTATTATTCATGCCCACTGGATCGAGACCTCATCGAAACTCAGTGTTATCCGCTATAAACCATAATTAATCTGTACAATGTAAGATTACATATGAAATCAGGTATTTATACCGAAGAACGACTCAAGAATTAAAAAATATCTTTTGTTTCCAAGCCCTAGTTCCGGGTTCCACCATATGGCCAGGATGATGGATCGCATGATGGCTGAAAGTATGCAGCCGTTTGGATTTGCGAGGGTGATGAGTCGTCGCGGTGATAGAAAGGATAGTGAACCTCCCAGGGACGGCATGAAGCCTGATAGAAGTGACGCGAGACGAGAACGCGCGAATCTACCACATACTCACGATGGATCTGGCACAAGGCATCCACCCACTCAAGGTGTTTCTTACTTATTTTTCTATTTGGGTAGCTGTATTGAAAATAATCAACATAAATTTAAATAACACTACAATATATATGCCAACTTATAACTAACTATCCAGGACTTCGCGTAGAATAGTTATTTTGTGTATCGCCAGCGACATTCGCGAATCGGTGATAAGAGAAGTATTCTTTCATACATTTTGTTTAGATATCTTGAACCGTTTTCACAGTGCAGCGATGGAGACCCTTAAAGATATTTTTTCCCTCTCCAAATCCCACTGTTTCTTCAATTGGTCGCTGTGATGTTTCATAGCCTAAGTTTTCCCCGAAAGATCAAGCAACACAACATATGCAAATTGACCCAGTAGTTTCTGCGGAAAGGGCATTCACAAACACACAAACTTTCAGCTTTATATATTAGCATAATAAAAACAGATCAATCTACTCTTTATCCTCAGTTGTCCGACCGACACCCGTCAACAAATTCCAAGAAACCACATTCGACCAAACGCAAGCCAAGCAGACCGATCCTACCACGGAAAAGTGGGCGACGACACTTCGCAAGCGAGACCCTGACATTCAACCTTCGCTACCATCCATCATCAACCGGAAGACGTCCTCGTCTTCCATGGGCAGCGGGAGGAAAACCCGTTCAGTAGAGAGAACTCCAAGAAGAAGGCACTTGGTCCCAATAAAACCAATACCGAGGAAATCTGATGTTTCCGCCGATGGCGATGCTCTGCTAGAGAGGGATGAAAAGGTGTTTGATGCAACTGGTTACGAGATCCACTTGGTTGAAACCCTGGAAAGGGATATCTTGCAGAAGAACCCAGCTGTGCGCTGGAAGGACGTAATTGGGCTGGACGACGCAAAGTCTGTTCTTCAAGAGGCTATGGTTCTACCACTTGTTATGCCGGATTATTTTAAGGTGGGTAATATGAAGGTCTGTTGCCTAGGCTAGTAATATGTTTGTCTACTGACTTTTTTAAGACAACGAAAGCTAAAAATGTAACACAAATAAGATTTTTTATAGTTCTCGCATCTTAAACGGGCTGTTAATTAAAATGATATAATAATCATAATTAGTTTAGACTAATCTATATCTCGAAATTAATGAATTTAATCTGTTAGTTGGGTTGTAAAAATTAAAAAATAGATATCGTTTTTAAGCGAGAATATTGGCATTGAATTGTCACTTACCACAGCGTATATATACATTATGTATACTAATTCTATACGAATAAAAACAATTTGCGGTTTTTGCTATAAAAAATTTGGAAATTAAGATTCGCGTGCGCGATAACATAAGGCTGTCCATTCACGCTGCATGCTTAATTATAACTCACGTTAACGTTTTGGGAAGTGGGTCAAATGGCTCAAATAAGTCCGACTAGAATATATTAGGTATCGAGAAATACATACGATACGAACACTTGGCGGTTTGTGACATATTACAAATAAAAATCATAGAATACTGTCTGTAGTTTACGCTAGGAGTACACATTTAAATACAATAAACATTTTAACGGTTTAAAACACGATATATATTGGTAAATTAAATATTTCAACTACAGCCCGACGTTTCGGATCCTTTGCAGCAGCCGTAGTCTCCCCGGAACCACGTTTAAAATAATATATATCGCGTTTGAAACCGATAAACTTATTTGGAAATTATTTCCCGACGTATCAGATGTTTTGGAACACTCGTGGTCCCCGAGAGACTACGGTCGCTGCAAAATAAATTGATCTAATATATACCGCGTTTTAAACCGTTAAACTGTTTAAATAAACAGATTGTTTTTCCTTTTCAGGGTATACGAAGACCTTGGAAAGGTGTGCTGCTAACAGGTCCTCCTGGCACTGGGAAGACACTTTTAGCACGGGCGGTCGCTACGGAATGCCGAACGACATTCTTCAACGTATCTTCTGCTACTCTTACATCCAAGTATAGGGGGGATTCTGAGAAACTCGTTAGGCTGTTTGATATGGTCAGATTCTACTGCTTTAGTTATACTGTAAAAAAAAAAAATTTTTTTTTTTTTTTTTGATTAGTATAAGTGTCAGTGTTTTTATGTGCCCTATATAAATATTTTCCATCGAAGGCCTTGTTAATTCTTATCTAACGCAACCTTTACTTACTTTTTAGCAACTTAATTGATAATTATAATTTAATAAATAAAACACTTTTAACCCTATAAAGGCGAAACACATTATTAAAACTTTCTTTTTATTTATTTTAACTACAGCTCTGCGTTTCGGACGCTTTGAAGCAGCCTTGGTCACTGGGGAAAAAATCGAATAAAAATAAGTCTAATTAATATTGTTCGCGTTTTAAAAAGTTAGAAGTGTTTTATTTAAACGTAGACTACTCGCCCTACGTACAAATGTGGTCAATAAAATAGATACAGTAGATAATAGATACAATAGATTTTACAGTGATTAGTATGTATTTGATGATTAGGATAATGATAACACGGGCGGGACTTGAACCGGCATCCACGCCGATTCGAGCTGCCGCCCAAACCAATTGCCAACTACTTGGGTCTCACACGTCATTATTATCGAATTTCTTCAACTCGTTGATACATGAACCTTTTGCGCAATGTAATTTAGGAAAGATCGTAAAGAGGAACTGTAACCCTGTAATGATAGGCGATGTACCATCTAGCTCCGGTTCTAAATACCTATAACCGGTCCATTATTATCCTTTCTATTCTATTCTTCTTTTACATTACCTGAGAATTTAAAATAAGTACTTTTTTTCAGGCTGCCTTCTACGCTCCCAGCACAATATTTCTAGACGAAGTGGACTCGTTGTGTGCAGTCCGTGGTGCGGACTCGGAGCACGAAGCCTCGAGACGTTTCAAAGCGGAACTTTTAATACAAATGGACGGTCTAGCGGCGCCATTGTAAGTTTTTGAAAGGCAACAATGCAAAGCTAATTGGGATTTTAAGGTTTCGACCGCCTTATTGATCTCGGTGTATATAACCAGTAAATGATATTACTAGAGATGATACGTGATACGTGGTAGTATCGTGGTACGATTTTTTCGGATAAGCGAATACTACAGAAAGCGTAGTTAGAAAAGTTAGTCGAATAACGCGCAATTTGTTTTATTTTTGTTTATTTATGAAATTGATGACTAACGTCAAAACTGCATCAAAAGATATACAATTTATAAAACAATTCATATTATAATTGAAAGCTATAGCTTAATGATTTGTCGTTGCAAAATATCTTTTTTATATTTATTTTGAGATTTTTTTTTATATTTGCGAACCTCACGGTATCAGAATAAAATATACGACGTACCGCTGTCAGATGACCCGATAGAATTCTTAAAGTAACCGTTTTTTATTTTGGTGCAAAAGACTATTTTAAATAGCCCAAAAAAATTTACACAAAATATACAACTTGGAAATGTGTTTTACATACGACAGTAAGTACTTCGTTTTTATTGATTTTAGAATGATCTCGTTAACCAACAAACACTGAATCGTATTAATAGTTGAATAAAACAGCTCACCAGAAAGACTTTCATTTCGACTCCAATCTCCTACAGTACCGTTGCTCGCTGGTTCATTGCTGAGCTCTGGGCACGTGGATACAGATGGACACCTCGCCAAAATGATATAAGGGTACTAACCCTGAGCCGCATTAAGACACACAAGTTGAATCGTTTTTTCTAAATCTAATACACTCCACTGTTTTCATTGAAATAGCGACGTCGAGATCGAATCCCAATTTCTGATTCTGACTGTTCGTGACTAACATTAACTTTGTACCAAACTACCCGCCAGACATGAGACTGTGTCCTACTGCAAAAACCGCGACGTTATTTCAAAATGATCTGTCATGAATAATTCAGTCTTAATGCCAGCTTGTCAACTGTTAATGACGTTCCCGGTCATATTCACGTCACAAGTGTTATTTGCCGTTTTCGCATATCTCTTATAGCTGTCAAAAAAACTAATCGATTGATTTTGGGGAACCTATTAGATGGCAGCACTGCGACATATACATATAAATATTTTTACTACAAGGCAAAATAAATGTAAGGTTTAATGAACTCTATGAATATTTCCAATAATGAAAAGGAGTGCTTGTGTTTGCTTTTCAGTAATCAAGATAAAGTCGTGATGGTCCTCGCAGCCACTAACCACCCGTGGGACATCGACGAAGCATTCAGGCGACGGTTTGAGAAAAGAATTTACGTGGGCCTTCCTGATGGTATAGTTATTGTATTACATTTTAAAATTTCTTGGCCTACCTCCAGTATCGTGTTTACTACACCAAAACTTTACCCTAATTTAAGCAGTTCCTTTAACATAATATTATTATAGTTAAGTATTCCATATTCTATGTACCTGTTTTTCACAGAATCAACACGAGTTAAACTGCTCAAGTTATGTCTCCGAGAAGTGGCGCTGGCCGATGAAGTGAATCTATCAGATCTTGGTGCTAAATTGGATGGCTACAGTGGATCCGATATTTGTAACTTGTGCAGGTATATTTTAACAATTATTAGATATATACAGTTTCCCAAAGTAAGTAAGTCGCCCATAAATACAATAATACATGGTTTAAACTTCTTAAATTTTCTGTGTCGCCAAATTATTTGAGTCGCGGTTGGAGTCCCAAGGAAACAATAGATGTTGTTGGTCGGGCACAGAAGTCTGATCAAGTACATGCCTGTAAAAGAACCGATCAATAAAACGGACACAGAAATGTTCGCCCCATGCCCTTCGACTATTTAATATATGTTATCTTCTATCTATATACGATATCTTCGAATCAGTTTACTCATGTTCATTTGAAATGGGAGGTAGTTTTGAAAATGTACGCATTATACTGGTAACTAACTACGTGGTAAATGTTTATATCGTTTAAGGCCAAACTTTCTCAATCTCCTCCCCAGAGATGCCTCAATGATGACAATGCGCCGCAAGATAGCAGGGAAAAGTCCAGAACAAATCCGTCGCTTGAAGCGCTCCGAACTGGAAGCTCCGGTCTCCAAAGCCGATCTAGAGGCTGCAATAGAAAAGACCAGGCGCACAGTCACCCAAGCAGATGTGGCGCGTTATTCCTCGTGGATGCAGAAGCACGGCTGCTCCTAGCGTCGGTCTAAAGCGCTTAAAGCGCTTCTCCGACTGATGAGGACCTCTTAAGCTAACGATTACTTTTAACACCATTCCGAATACAAGAAATAGCTTGTACAGAAAATTTTTGAACTGACTAGTAATGTTTTTTTTAGTTGTAATACGTAACCCTGCTTTATAAGGAAATCTAATACTTCCTAATTGCGCGTGCGCGAACTATGTGTGGTATAACCAATTATAAAAAAAATGGAAGCGTTTTTTTTATAGGCAATATTGACCAGTGTAAAAACCATTTAAATTCTAGTATGTTTTTGAATGGTGTTAAAAGTATTTGTTGCAAAGTGAAAAGACTGGAAAAGTATCAGTGTTAAGTGGTTTTGAGACTTTTAATACATTAAAGTTAATATTTGATAAAATGTTTAACGTAAATAAAAATAATACATAATAACGCGACTTTTACTTGTGTTTTTGTGTGTGGATTATTAATGAAATGGTCTTTATTAATGAAATTTAAACTAGACAACGATTTATATGTTTTTTTTAGTTGCCAAGCGTGATTAACAATCTGTGTCTTGGTTAATACATGTATTAACTTCTTACTAACATTTTTTTAAAGATGCAACTATTCTAAAAGCGCTCCTAAATTAACTTTTAGAGTGCAAAATATTGTGTATATTATATAGACTAAGTTCTATAGATAAACATTGTTTATAGAAATAAAATTTTATGTGCTTTCATAATAATAATGCGATTGAATAAAAGTTGTATTTATAAAATATTTTACTGTTTTATTAACGATAAGCTGTAACAGTAAGGCCCTCGATTTGGTCCTAGGTAACAATCGACGCATTAATATTAAAATAATGCTAATTCAAATCGCACAGTATATCCTTTTAATAATATTATAAAAAATGTGTCGTTTTATACAAGTGACTGTCAAGCAATATTTTCTTCGTTTAACACAAAACTTTTCTTAAAACTAATATTTAATAAAAGCAATCAATATTTTGAACATTGAGTATACATATTAAAAAAAATTGATTTGATATACAAGCTAGCTAGCCATAGATTCATTATTTATTATTTTTTACATCGTTCGTTTTATTGAAGCTGTCCTTTTAATAGGCTTATATACGGCCAGAAACGGACAACATACATCTAAAAAGTATAAAGAATACACTAAAAGCATGCAAAAAATAGAAGTATTAAACAAGCTGCTAAAATTCTTTCAATAATTAAAAAAAATTTTTTTGATTATCGGAAAAGGAAAATTTATTTTGGTGTCCAATTTTAGCCTGGGTCATTATAAATAGTAGGCATTGCCAATGGAAACAATTGTGTAATACCTAATTATCATTGTAAGTCCTAATTTTTCTATCGTAGTGCAAATAGAAAAAAAGCTAAGGCACTTTAGATTATACATATTATTATGCAATACAAATCTTTGGTTTTATAAAGGTAAAATTTGCTTATTCTAAATTGTTTAATTCAATTCTAGACCATTAATTAACTACGCCTTATCTAACTCTATCTATCTCTATTAAATAGAAAGAGACGAAAAGCGGATGTAATAATTCATTCCCATAAAACGAAAATGTACTTGACTAATTATTTATGAAATATAGTTAGGATATAAAACATTTTCGACTCTGTACGGCAGTGAGTTTTCATTTATTCCAAGGACGTTTTAAATATTAAAAACTTATTAAAACACGAAATTGAAATACTGCTATGAAAAACTACGAAAAAATAATAAATATAATAATGTATATAATGTTTAAGAAACCATTTCTATTATCGTCGATACCTTCGTTTTTAGTTCCTTAACAACTTTTTTAACAAAAAAAAATGTTTCGAAAATATGCATTATTACAGTTATATTTCTTTTTTTGTCTCAACATACTTCGGTAATAATAAAACATATCAAGCAATTTTAGCGCGTATTATTGCTCTCTCTTTCTCTCCTAAAACAAAAGACGAGGACAGACATAAATAATTAACCAATTCCTAATGGTACGCAGAGATAAAACAATCATTCAATACTCAGCCATTTTCATCTACACAATGTCTCGACCACGTCCTATGTTCAATGTCTGAATGCAGAGTGTCCTGCGAGCTGTTCTCCGTACTATAGATACGCTGTCATTGGGTCCCACTAGTGGGCTTCGGTTTGACGTCATCCTCGTCATGCTCCAAGATGACCGCGAAGGAGAATGGAAGAAAGGCGTAACCCTGGCCCTCGTAGAATTTACTCATGAATTCAACCCTGAAATAATAGAACAATTAATTTTATGTATCGAAAAATATCATCGATTATTAATTTGTATACAACATGTGAAAAATATTAAGTTTTCAAATTAATTTTATGTTAGTCTTTTTATTGTTTAATTTAATATTAGACATTGGTCTCTGTATAATAAATTGAATTGGCTTAGGCCGTTTTAAATGTAATAAATAATTTTACAAAGATAAAAAAGGCTTTGACAGTGACAAGGATGCGAACAAGTGGCCTCGAACTAGCTTTCATTTTAGCTTGTGTTCTGTTTATATAAAGAATAATCCCTTAAGGACACGCCGTTTAAAACCACATCATACTATACCTTAGGACTTGTTAGTTAGGTCGAAATTACATTGCACCACAAGTAAAGTAATTCAAAAGATTCTACTTTACCTATATATTTATAGATACTTACCAATGTAATCTCAGCGTATGTAGAAACGCGGAAAGCCCTTCCATCAAGACTAGTATAGCTAGCGTGAAAAAGGCCCACACAGCAAAGATGGCGTAGAGTGGGATCGCCATTATAGGCCCACCACCACCCAGTCCCATGCGCAGGAGTCTCTGCCATAATACCGCTGATAACTCTGTGGATATAGAGGTTGTTTTTTAAGCGGCAAATTGTATTCGTATGTTAATACATTGCCAGTCGAGATTTCAATTTATCGATAAATAAATTTAAGAAAGTTATAAAACTTAGATTGTCTCAAAAGGCGTATTATTGTCTGAACGATTTCTTTAATGACGAGACCGCCTGGTAGTAATATGAATTTCTCCTGTTAATAAATTTACAAAAATGTATTACTTAATAAGACATATTTAAAAAAGCCGGACTGTGTTTCTTGGGTGTTCTACTCAGTTATGTTGGTATTTTGAACACTCTGTCGAATCACGACGAACAAACAAACGAAAAAAAAATTTTGACTAATCTAAATATTTTTTTAAATTTTAAAGAGAATAAAGTATAAAAACAAACAGTCTGGTGCTAGCATTTTTTATGATTGAGTTTAGTTGATAGTAGATGATACCTCCGCCTATAACGTCCAAACAGAAACAAAAGCGAAACAGTTGACTTTTGGAGGGCGGTTTGTGACCCAGACATAATTTGGATACATTTAAGGCGTGTTTTTGTTTGGAGTAGTATAATTTTAATGTTGAAAGTTAATAAGCAATATCATATCACTGTTATCGATTTCTACAATATTTCTTTTAATAATGTTATAATATATATTCATTAATATTTGTTTACGTTCATAATACTTGTAAAAAGATTAAAAATGAATAAGTGTTAAGTTTGAAATTACAAGTGTCTTAAATTGTTTTAAATTTAAATAGATATTTTATTTGTCAAAGTAAAAAGGAAGTTGATAATGACAGAATCCGACGGAATCCGAAAATAGCGAACTTTTTCTACTTTTACCCGCTCGGAGCGCGAGCGATTTAGGAAAAAGAACATGTACACATTAAATGCGGAAGGTCTGCAACAAAAATTTGACAATAAAAAAAAATGGCGGCGAGTTTCTTGCCAGTTGTTGCAACTGAAAAACCAAAGGAATGACGTGAAGACAGAAGAACAGAACCTTTAATTTGGGAACTGATAGTAAGTATAAATTGGGAGTTTTTAAATTTTTAACTGTAGGTATTGTTTATTAATGTACCTGGCCTCCTACGTAAATAAGTGATTTTTGATTTGAGGTGATGATTTTGTGGTACCGGCATACAAAACATTTTAGCCTTATTTATGATTAAATAAGCGTTAAATGAATGAATAGTATTTACTTTCTGATGCTACTACTAGACTACTGTATGTACAAACTTTTGTACCGCAAAAAAAGTACAACTATACTTACGGGCATGAGCCAAAGATAAAGCCCAAAGACGCAGATAGGACGCGGTGTGAGAAACAGCCCCCAACACATACTCTATCGTGTGTATCGCTTGAGTGATCATCATCTCGCCCATGCTTTCCTCTGCTTCTTCCGTTTTTTGGCTTTCTCCTTCTTCCACTCCGGAACTGTGCTGTAAACAGTCAAATGGGATAGTAAAAATATTTTATTGAGTTAGTTCCATCCTGTGTTACTACTATTGACAGTATATATTCATTTCGGTGTATTTTAAAAAGTGTATTTTTCATTTAAAAAAAAACTAATAAAAAATGCTGCTAATAATGTAAAAATCGTTAGTTCAAAGAAGTTTAAAATTTCAATAAAATGATTTTGCATTACCAAAATAAATGTATTTATAAACACTAGCCCAATAAACAGAAAAATAATAAAAAATACTTATACACTTGAATGGAGTGCTAACAAGAATCTGCTAAGTAATTCAGAATAAAATAAGAAATCTAGTGAATCATATTTAAGATGAGTGAAAACAGACAAAAATAATTAATTGTTCAACATGTAATACTATTAATTTGATTTTTACAAAGTTTAAAGTCCATTTGATATAGTAAAATATGATACAACTGGAATTTCAAGCAATCTCATCAATAACACGCTTTTACAAATGAAGTTACCGTGTCATCGTCGAATTTCTTCAACTTATCTTTAACCAATCGCGAAATAAACATGGTATTAAGATATAATTAGAGAATAAAGTGACCGCATTTTCTATTTACCTTACGTTTCTTCATTTTCTGATACAAGGGTTTGCCGAAGAGCATAACTGGTATGCACAAGAAGCCGACAGTCAAAAATGTCCGTTGCAACGCGTTTTGCCCGTCGTACATGAAGGGCTTGCACGGCGAGCGCACTTCTGTGTCTTTCAGGAGCATCATGTTGATGAACATTATCAACACTGACGGGGCACAGGCGGATCCGAAGGCGGGGTCTATAGAAAAGAGATAGATGCTTATTTTTATTTATTAGTTAACCTTAGGATTTAGTAGAAATAAATCTTTGCATGAAAGCTTTTTTAATGAAAATCGAGGACATAAGCATGGTATTAGCTTGGAAGGTGAAATACCTACCAGACAAATTTTGACCTAACTGACACCCAAATGAGAATAAACTTCACGGCATGTCTGGAAATCTGGATATTAAATGGGTGATAGGAATATTGAAGTTCTGTCCGGGACAAAAACTAACATCGACATATGAAAAAGTGAAGTTAAATCGCGTTCCGGTTTCAGTCTGTCGATTTCCAAATATCCAAAGCCTAAATATGTCGGCAGCGTATGTTGTTTAGATGCTATATGGCTGGGGTATATCACCGTGGTGGGTGCTATACCCCAGATACTACCCAAGTGTACTCCATGCTCGTCTGTTAATTATAATAATAAAAATAAATTGATGACTCACCAGTCGCCTCAGTGGAGTACATGATCCACTTCATGAACATCATGATGCACAGGTACCAGAAGAGAAGCAGAAGGAACAGTATCTGCGGTATGTACTGCAGTAATATCATATATGGCTTCGAGAAGTAACTAGAAACAGACGTGAAAAGAATATAATGGTATAGAATGGTAACAATTTATTCATAATAGTTGTAAGTACTCTATAATTAAAAGTACTTTGTAATTTAATAACTACTGTAACTAAATTCATTAAATAAAATAAATTTATTGATGTCTCTTTGTTTCTATATTATCAAATGCAAAAACATGCATTAATAAATTGGAATTATTTATTTTAATACTACCTCCTGTCTGTAGTTTACGCAAGTAGTACACATTTAAATACCGTGTCGCTACTGTGTGTTAAGTGATATAGAGTTAAAATAAGAATTATAATTTCTATGTAACATAATTACTTGAAGTTTACCACACTCAATGTCACCCCGAAGGCCATGTGCACGACGCCGAATATTATGGACAGCTTCATCTTGAACGAGTTCAGGAATATTATGTTGTTCGAGGCGAACTGTAATAAAGATATAATAATTTATTCTAATATATAAAGCTGAACAGTTTCTTTGTGTTTGAACGCGGTAATCACAAGAACTAATTGTTCGAGTTGAAAAAATCTTTTGGTGTTGGTATGAGAATTTTGTAAGAGATAAAAATTTGTAGGAGAGAAAAAACAGCGGGGAAATGTGGGAAAAAACGGGGGAAATTATTTATCCTTGCAAGTCTCCGATGCGTACGCTGCGAAATCGGTTCAAATTACCAAAATAATATGTACGAAAGAAGGAATCATTCTTTAAACGATTTAAAAAATGTCTGCGACAGTATATGTTTATATTCTAATATTAAATTACTAGAACGACGGGACGTGAACGATGTCGTGGGTAACTTTTTAACTTTCGATGCCCATAATAGCTATTCTACGCGGCCGAGCTCGCTCAAAGCTAATAAATGATAGCTATTGGATTACTGAATAACCTCTTCTATCATACGTTACCTGCCAAGCTGGATCTATTCCCAACGGGTACGGAGTCTTCGTGTACGCGTCAAGAGGATCCAGGTCAAGCATCTTGTACTTCCGAAGCGTCACATTATCATATACGTTCATCCAACTGCTTCCGAAAATATTCAAGGACTTGGAGAATATGTCATTGTATATCAGACCCGTGTACATCGAAAATATGCCCATGAGCAATATGATGTATCGCCCGCCGAAGAATATGTTCCATATCTCGTTGTCCGATTTGTTCTTGGAGAGGGTCTTCTCGAAGATGATGATGATCGCGGCGAAGGTCGTCATGATGAGACCGTGGCCCATGTCGCCGAACATCACCGCAAACAGGAATGGGAATGTTATTATTGTGTATAGTGCTGTAAAGATAAATTATTTTTAAGCATAAGCAACAGCAATAATAGCTATTGGTTAGCAGGAGTACTTTTGAAATAATGAAATAGGGGTTGCTGGTTCGATTGTTACGTGACATACCATAGACTATAGAGTATATGCCTAACATCAGAGTGGCGGGAATAAACAAATTACTAAAATAAAAACCCTGGGAGGTTTATTTGCTATCACAATCACGGTAAATGGTTTACCTGGATTAACTTCTCTATAGCTGGCGATTCCATAGGAATCAATGAGGTTCTGGAAGCCCCTCGTGAACTTATTGGTCCTGTTGAAGGTGGGCGGAGTCTCGTGGGTGCGCACGTGGTGCATTATGGACGGGATGGGGCTGCCGCTTGCTTTCTGGAATTATATTCAAAGGAATAATAAGAAGGTAATTTCGTTAAGCATTATTTTATCAAGCAATTATTGTACTGGGTATAATATATGAACGATTACAACAAAGAGAAGTTATCGATAAACTTTTTAAAATGCGCATGCGCTGCTTTTTTGGAATTATTTTTCTGTGTTTCAAAATTTGTTAAATCAAAAGAGCTTGTTTTCGAGCTGGACAAGTTCGAGGAATAGATGAACGAGATTGTTAACTGCAGATATTACGTGGCAGAAACGTGACAACCAAACCAAAAGAATATTCACCACTCCATCATCCAAAGCCTTCTGTAGAAGCGGCAGATCCTGTCTCGGCACCCAGCACTCAGCTATGAGGCACTTCTTGATAATATCCATACTGAACATATTGAGGGTGTGATAGATGGCCTTCTCTTTGCGAACGGCTACCATCCACGTACTGAGATCTCTTGCTATATTTGCTAGCACCAGTTTTCTGTGCTGCTCCGTTTGCTCGAGGACCTGGAATAAGAATGTTTTTAATGACAGCTAAAATATAAAAAAGCTTCATAGTTACAAGTATTGTTAAAGGAAACGCGTAAGAATTGATGTATAGATTTTTGTTAACGCTAAACGAAAATGTGGTAAACAGATTTTAATAAAGTTTCAACCTATCAGGTAAACTTTATTAAAAGTTACTGCGTTTTTTTGTTAAAATTTGGGATATTATTATTTGAATATTTATTTTCTTCTAATCGATATCGCTAATAAAATCGAAAGAGCTTTTAATTCTGTTTATAAAACAATTGTGGTTGGATGGTGATAACCAAGTTTTATGCAGTCCCATTTGAAATTACAAGCTATATATGTATACTAAATATTCGATAACGACTCAGATTCTTTAATTATAAAAAAAAGATGACGAACACTTGATACATAGATCTCTTTACTATTTTTAATAATACGGTTTACGTCATCCGTCTGTAATTTTCGCTTGACAAAACAGCGATAACTTTACTTCCAGGACGTTAACCCTTATACTAACGAAAAATGAAGTTGAAGGGCAGAGACTTTTTTTTTTAATTTTAATAAATATTAATACATCAATGCGTTTGAAAGGTGACTTTCTACACATTTTCGTTATGAACATTATATCTTATTTGTTGTATGTATTTTGTATATATACAGGTCGACAGCTTTTGACCTGGTTTCAAACAATATAGAGTCGGGAGGTCATAGGTTTGAATCCCGGAAGAAGATGATAAATAGTCGAGGAGCCAGTGAAATCTGTAAATAGAGACACCAGAGAGACAAATACAGAAAAGATCCTGTCCCTACCCCATACATTGAACGGAATTTTATACGGACACATGTATGTTGATGTAACACCACAGCGCGTACTATGAGAGAATGTATTATTACTTTTGTATTATTAATAATATTTTCAAAACACGTTAATGTTATTCAAACAATATTATTAAATGGTAGTTGGCATCTTGACACAATTCTAAAGATTTATCGGGTGCACCGTGAACTCCAGCGCATTACCTATCAGTTACATAAATATTATACGCGTATAATTCAATAACTCGTAACCTCGTTACTATTGTGTGTATTTAATGGAATTAACCTGTGGCTAAGCGTGATCTAGTAATCTTGAAATCGCTTCTATAATATGATTATCTTTATATTTATTAGATACTAGCTGGTACCCGCGACTTCGTCTACGCAGGATTAGGATTACGTAGTATTGCGCATTTAAACTAAATGATGTCTGCACGTGTGAATGCACGCCAGAATACGCAACGCAGAAATTTTTTCCTAGTTACTTGACAATTAATGCTATATTTTGGAAAGCTCACACATTATCTTTATAAATTGTAGCCTGTGTTATTCTGATGTATAAACTATATTATTGGAAAGTTTAATTGAAATCCATTCAGTAGTTTTTGCGTGAAAGAGTAAAACATACACACAACAAACTTTCACGATCATAATATAGTAGAATTAGCGTAGCGTAAATAGTACTAAGATGAATGAAAGAAATACTAACTTGAGATTGCAGGCACAAAAAACACACTCTGCGAAATATTGGGCTTTTTATCTATACTCATATTATAAAGCCGAAGGGTTTGTTTGTTTGAACGCGCTTTCAGGAACTACTCGTTTAAATTGCCAAAATAGTTTGCGTTAGTTAGAGTATTTATCGAGGAAGGCTATAAAACATCACGATGCGACCATTGCGAGTGAAGAAACAGGGAAATAGGAAAATTATGAATCTTTGGGGATACCGTTAAGTGCGCGAAAACTTTAGATACCAAACAATAATGATCTGTCCGCGAATGTATAAGTACTTAAGAAAAACTTGCAAGAACGTCGAGGACGCGACAGACGTAGTGGGTGACAGCTAGAACTGCTAAAGATGAGAGGAAGAGGTTAAAAAACTAAATAAAAAAGGTTTAACAAAAAATTTATGTGTACATGTAAACTAAAAACAGTATTTAAGGAAGAGGTTGGCAAAAAAATTTGATGCCCAAAATAACAACGTAGTATAAAATTACATAAATAAGACTTCAAACAAAAGCTGTATCTTACCATTTCCAAATCTTTAATCCTGCTTTCGACTCCAGCCAGCATGTCCTGCTGGTCTTTATATGTAGCGGGGCATGGGTACAACGTAGCCTGAAAGCCAGTGCACACTTTCTTCACTCTTAACTTTATCTGTTCTCCGTGGAAGAAGACAACGAAAACTGTCTTTTGCAGCTCGTGACCCTGGAATGAGTTTCAATGTTGATAAGAAACCATACCTAACAAAGATTAACTTTGTATTTAAAACTAGTCATTAGGAACTGTTTACAAAAATTAATGTGGAAAGTTGATGTTCTGTTAAATTATAAAGGTGGGTGGGGTAAGACAATTAATTTTCTAGAACTTATTTTCTTCATTCTTAGAACGAAAATATATTGTGTTATTTTATTAATTTCGGTCTAGTTTTCGGGTGGAAAAAGGTCAATCATACATTACACGGTAAATTTCTAGAGACACAAATGCATATTATATCTACTGCTTTTTTGATAATTTCCTTAAAAAGCAACCCCATTTTAAAATGATTAAACACGTTGCATGTTACCGTGTTCCGACTACAATTTTACACCCCAATTGTTTTATATTAGCCCTCATGTTAACAAGAAAATCAATATAAAGAGTGGTACAATGACCTCACTACCCTCGCACGCAAATACTTCACCTACGGTTTTACTGTATTGCAGATATTTTTTCTACCTACATAGAAAAAATATGACACTAATTGTTGAACAGCACTGGACTTATGACTCGTCCTAGTGTTTCATTTTTAAATCATACGCGCCATAGTTCATTTTCTAGACAATGATTGTAATACTATTCTGTTATTTAAGTAAAACACTTTTAATAGTATATATATATACACGAAAAGTATTAGTTAAACTTCTTTACAAGTTATTTTTAAGAACGGCCTACGCGTTTCGGATGCTTTGTAGCAGTTAAAATAATTTGTAGATAAGTTTGACTATTTATGTGTTTTAAACTGTTAAAAGTGTTTTATAACAAAAGTATAGATTTTCAATAATTATAGGAAATAGAGAAGGTCCATAGTCAAATATATAATTAAATGCTGCCATATAAAAATGATCATCCTGGTCGCCACAATAAACAAAAAAACTTACCGTTACGGGGTCCTTCAATGGCTCGTCAATTTGGGCCTGTTTAAAGAAAATGTTGCCATGCGATATCCGCCAAAGCATTCTCTCGAAGGAAGCAACACGAGGTGTCGCCACAACCCCGGCTATGAAGCCCAAATGCCCTGTCACTCCCTCATTATTATAGACCTGGACTGAGGCAGATATCTTTCTATGCGCGCTGTGGTCTTGGAAGAACGTTTGCGTTTTCTCTATTAAGATTTTTAGCTCAATGAGGGAGAGATAATCCGTTTTGAGATTTTGCGCGTTTCTGGTTACCTCTTGAATCTCCGATTCGATGAAGTCTATTCTTTCCTGGAAGAAGAGATTGGTTTAAAAATTGAACATAGTTAGTCAATTGTAGCTGTAACTCTTTGCTTTTAGTCGTGTTTCAGAATCTGTAATAGGTATGTTTCTGACGCTGTATTACAATGAACTACTGTTAGCTTTTTCGATGAAAGAAAACGTATCTATACATTTTTAGAGGGAGAAATTATTCCAATGTAGAACTGAGGGTATGCATGTACAATATTAAAACATATATCCAAGAACGATTAATAATATTTGTATGTAGGGTATATTATTTATCTTGGATCTTTAAAAGTTTTCAACATCTTGGCTTATTATAATATATAAATATAGAGACTACTAGAGGCACAGTGGCCTCGTAGCAAAAAAAACATGATTTTCAATAAGACGGAAAATAAGAATCCACAATTAACTTAGGCAAAAATAAATTTGTCCTATTATTTATGTAAGAATTATATTAACAATTTTCGGTCACTGTGCTTGAAATCTACAAGATATTTTTAGACTATAAAAATAGAAATAACTTTTATTAATCATTATTAGTATTTAAAATAATACAAGATATAAAGAAAATACAAAAACTAGTATTACTAGACTAGCCTACATACCTCTAATATATTAATTTCCCTCGGCGTCATGATCCTAGGCGCCGGCTTGGGCGGGGGCGGAGGCTCCGAGAGTTCGCCACTCACCCATCGCAGCTTCCGTTCCATCTCGCTGCAACGACGCACCTCCGTTACGTAACGCCGTTGGAAGTCGTTGACATGGGGGTTTAACTGTCGAAAATGAACAATTGAATACCTAATATTATATGTATCAAAGGGATACTAGGAAAGAGGGACTCTCACACATATTAAGAATAGTACATACGCGAGAAAACAGGACATACATGTTTTTTTGCAAAGATATATATAACGCGGCACTAAAAGTCAGTTTTGTGTGTATTGCTTAATTTATCATGTATCAGCTCAGATATTTATATTCTAAACACAGTGAGGACCAGTTTTTAGTTCCAATATTCACTATATACTCACAATAACCCTGTATTTGGGTACATAGTGAAAAAAAAACTAATTTGGAAGAATTTGAACAAAATATCGATTTTCTCATATTCACAAAAAAACATGGATCAGAATCAATCAAACCTGAAGATATTTTGATAAAACTTCCGTTACATGAGTTTTCATGCATTATATTTTATTATTCAGCAATTTCCGACCTATTTCTTTCTATAGACTACCAATAAAATGAGCGTCCACGTGTAAGGTTTAATTGTGAAACCTTGGCGCCCGTCGTAAATTATAAAAAAGGTTATTATTGCACTCTCATGAACCGTATATTTCTTCATAAATAATAAAGATAGCACAATTGAATGAAGCGTTCACTATTCAGGGTTGTCACTTGCGGCTTTTTGGATGGCGTCCAAATTTAAGAATAATGTTACAGCAAATGTTTAATACGATAGTATACCATAGGTATTATTTTATTATTTAGTTTTATAGTATTAAAACTTATGTTATAATCAAATATTAAAGCTAAAAAAACTCACTTTTGGTACATTTAGTAATTTTATATAAATAATTATAGTTCTATAGTTAAACTTTCTACATTAGCTTGAAACGTAAGGATAAGATTTCTAGTATATAAGTGTCATTTAAAATTTTCATTAAAATTCTTTATTAGAAGTAATCACTTACTCCATTACCAAAGATATTTTTTATCTCGCGACACTTGGCAGCCCTATCTTGACGAGACCGCACCTTAAGCCAGAAATAGATCCCCAATTGGTCATTCGCAACATCCGAGCTCATCTGTAGATTTTATTGCTTCATTTACGCTTCTGTGCCGACCTCTTTAGTGTTTGTCGTTGTATGACAACAAAACGTGAAATACGTAAAATATTAATTTTGAAATATGGTCGATCTGTTGTGTTAGGGCTGTATAAAATTAATTACATAATAATATAATAATAAATGGGGTGATGCTTTTAGGGTTAGAAATATTAAACATGATATTTATTTTAATTGGTAATTTCTATTAGTTTAGTGAGGCACCAGATTTTTACTATTAATTTAAACAAAATAATCAAAGACTTGAACCGAATACATAAAGTGCCTAAACCCACAACATAGAGATTAGTGGGCTCGATTTGACTGTATCATTTCATGAAAACAGGGACATTTATCTACAATTGTATATAACTGAGGACCATATAAATAAAAAAGAAGAAAAATTAGAACCATAATTTTGTAAGTTTAAACTTTGGACTTGACTTTACTCGTAAAAGATATTATTTCTTTGTCAAGACAATTAATAAAATTACTCGACATAGTCTATTGAACTCAATTAAAAACGTCTTTTTGGCTTAACTACTTTGTTTGTCTTAGACGATTAAAAAATCCAGTATTCAATGACACAGTAAACGGTCCTATACTCATTGCCGTTTCAATTACATTCAATTAATGTACTTGTCGCTTCGCTTTTGTTGAGTAGGTGTCGTAACTCGCTAACGTAACTACACTTCATAAAACAAAATCTAGTACCGTGTAGAATTTGCCTTAAGCTCTAAAGTTAATATTTAGTAGTTAAAAAAAATGTCTGTTCGTTCCGATGAAACTCAGTTACTAATAATGTACAGTATTATCTATAACAATATATAAAGAGTTTGTCTGTTTGCTTGCTTGAACGCGCTAATCTCTGGAACTACTGGTTCGAATTGAAAACATATTTTTGTGTTGATTAGAGCATTTATCGAGGACTGCTGTAACCAATGGGAGCGAAAATATAAAGGGATACGTAGAAACGGGGAAAATTATTCATCTTTTCCGCTTTAAGCAATCTAAAAAATGGCCGCGACACTATATGTTTAACTTTTAAGATTGAGTTGCAGGAACGACAGGACGTAGACGACGTCGTGTTAAATTTATGGAGTTGAACAGGTGATTTGCAAAATTTATGCCCAAAATGAGGACTTTCCTCTGCTGGCACAATCAATCAAATCAATAATAGGAACATGTAGTAATTTCTGGGCATAAAATGCAAAAGAATAAAATTATATAAGACAATTGAAAGGCATTCAGTTGTATATTATGCAACATTGTGAATTGTACATCCTTTGTAGCCTTTTATTAATCTATTGTACTATTGGTCCGGTCAATCACCTGCACTTATTTCGCAGCCAGTTGTCATGTGTCGTTGATAGTCATCTTCCTTATTGTAAGAAGTATTTTTGACGAAGTTCTATAGAAGAGAATAAGTACTAATGTACAGTAATATTGTTTTACACTTCTAGAACCTCTTGGATATCAGTGTTAAATCTATACTAATATATAAAGCTAGAGTTTGTGCGTTTGTATGTATGTTTGAAAGCGCAAATCTCAGAAACTACGGGTTCGAATTTAAATTTTTTATTTGTGTTGGTTAGAGCATTTATCGAGAAAGGCCTATACAAAACATCGCCCTGCGAAATACAACAAGCGAAGACAAGCGAAGAAGAAAATTATTTATCATTATGGGTTTCCGAGACGTACGCTGCAAAAATGGTTCAAGATATCCAAAAAGTATGTATGAAAGAATGATTCCTCTTTAAATGATTAAAAAAAATGTCCACAATACTATAATATGTTTATCTTTTAAGATTAACTTCCAAGAACGACGGTAAGGGATGCGACCAACGTCGTAGGTAACAGCTTAAGTTTATAGAGATGCCCAAAACAACGATTCTCGCGAACGAAGTCGCTGACTCAGTTAGTATTATAATACAATTTTGAGCGCGAATTTAATATATTAAAAAACGCATGTACAATTCTATTGATTCAGAATATTGAGTTAGTATAATCGATATTCGTTTTCCTGTATTTTAATTTAGGCCATTAAAACTAAATGCACAATGCCTCTTCATTTACTATGAAACTAAGTTGTTGAACAGATCGATACAAGCAAGGGAAGATACTATGTACGCCAGTGAATGAAATATATATTATCTTAATATGATATTAGTAAATAATTTAGAGTATATTTTAATACTAGCTCCTTGCAAATCAATAGTCACGAAAGGCACTCCTAGGTCGTGGCACGCAAAATCCACGCAGCGAAGGCTCATCCATTTCAAGGGAAATATTTAGGTTAAGTAATACTATATATTTGCGATAAGCTTTATGAATATAAGCTATAACAGTAATGGGAGTGTCTATCTATGGAACATTGAAACATATATATATGGTTGGTGATGGAGAGGTTGAGTTTTGAGGTTGTTTTATTTCATTTTAGTTATGTAATATTAATCCTAGAATTCAGTTACATCAGGGAATTCAGCTTAATGTATTATGTGGAAATCTATACTAATATATAAAACTTTATTTGTTTCAACACGTTAATCTTTGGAACTACTGGTTCGAATTAAAAAAAAATTTTTTGTGTTAGTTAGAGCATTTATTGAACTGTGACCTAAAGGTGAAGAAACAGTGGAAAATTATTCATCTTTGTAGCGTTTCCGATGCGTACGCTGCGAAAACGCTTCAAGATACCCGAAATATATGTATGAACGAATGATTCCTCTTTAAACGCTCTAAATAATATCAACGGCAATATATATTTATCCTTTAAGATTAACTTGCAAGAACGACGGGATGCGGACGACGCGAAGTCGTGAACAGGTAAAATTTATAAAGTTGAGGAGGAGGTTCGCAAAATAAATATTGATACCGAAAAAAATCTAGCCGTGAACTCTTTACAACGTAAGGAAAGGTTTTAATCTTTTGATGTTGTTCAATTTATGTTCTTCTTAAACATTTTAGTTTCATGAATAAAAATGTCTTAACTTTGAACAGTAAAAATGTGGTTCGATCTACTATCAACCACATGACTATTCAACTTCAAAACCGCAGAAACATCGCAAACAACATGTCATATTTCCAAATATAATTGAAATATTTACGTTGCAATCCATCTTCGTGAAAAAACCCACAAAAATAACATTTGTTCCACGAATACGTTGGGTCTAATGATAGCTATGTATGTCCCGTAAACAAAGGGTCGTGGATTCGATTACTATCAACTCCAACACGTATCACAAAATCAAATTTACAATTGACTTGAAATATGTTAAACGCATTGCTTTAAGCGTGAGGTCTTGGATTCGAATTCGAGGAAAACAATAGATGGTTTCGGTCGGGCATGGCACATCAGTGACACGGATACAGAAACGTGTTCGCCCCATGCCCCACGAGGGGAAATGAGATTTTATTTTTTAAGGCCAAGTCGATGATACCTTCCATCAAGTAAACCACATGCTTGTCTCTCCACTGTCATAAACAGAGTATAAATCTATCTCGACATGCATTTAGGTTATCTATAGACATGATTGCCAGTTTGCGACTTTTCCAAAGAAGTAAAGATGCAAGTTGATCAGAAACATGCGAATTGCGGAATGTTCGAAACCTTTGATGCTTGGCGGATGTCCAGCTATATTAGCCGTTTTACCATTTAGCATCAATCGAGCAATACGCCTGATACACCAATTATGAAAATGGGTACAAGACTGAAAAAAGTACTGTTTTGCAATGCCATGCGCTGCTGCTTTAGATCAAGTGAATATGTTAGTACAAAACTTATCATGAGGTACTGAAACCTGAAATATTATGTAATATGTAGCTTTATTTCTTTGAATTTGATGTTTAAGATATGGCCTACCTTTATAGATGTTGACGGGAGACAAGTATGGGTGTCCCCTGACCCCAACTGTACAACATCTAAACAATATATCTATAAATATTTTGGCTTATGATAGTCGGAAATCAACAAACTAAAACTAAAACGCAATTAATTTTCCATGCTTTTTTTGAAATTCCAAAATTTCCATCTCATTTAGCATTGGATGTTAGCGTTGTTGGGATGGGAAAATTATTTTAGGCGGAGTCTAACTTATTTCAGAATGAATAGATTTTTAGAAACTAATTTGCATCAGTGGGGATCGAACCCGTAGCACTAACGCTGTCGTAAATGTCATAGACAATTTTAAAAACTTTATTACCATCGACATACCCTCAATTGCATTGTCAATACCCAACGAGCGCTTTGATTAATGTCGCTTCGATTATGAACGTGATAAACATTATGTAATACGAGGGAACACTTCATATAGCTATTGACATTATTGCTAAGTACTTTTGGAATGACCTGGATTCTGCCTTATCAGGTGAATAGATTTTGTTTACATTCTGTATGTTATGCCTGGCTGCACCATAAAACTACATCTGTCAAATTTATCTGTGCAACGGACACAAAAATGGGAAAACAGGGAAAAAACGGTGAAACTTACTCTAAATATAAAGTCTTTTAGGTGTATAAATAATGTTAGGATTGTACTATTCATCAATATTTTTGACTATTATTAAATCTAAACAAGTTTGACTCACATAACGTTACTTTATGATAATGGTATCTCAAAAAGAAATATGGCTTTATATGAATTCTGTTGATAATCTACACCCAGTTTGAAACCAGTTTATCAGTTTGAAACGCTCATTATATTAGTCAACTTATTCCAATAAAACACTTTAACAGTTTTAAACGCGAAATATAGTAGTTAAACTTATGTGAACAAAACGTGGTTAAGGGAAGAGGGCAGCTGAAAGCATTCGAAACGTCGCGTCGGGCCAAAATAAAAATAATTTTCAAATAAGTTAAATGAATATACATCGCGTTTTAAACCGTTAAAGTGTTTTATTTAAATGTGTACTACTCACGTAAACTACAGACAATATTTAATTAGTTTACTTTTTTAATTTAATTCGGGTTCTCTCGGATCCCTTGCAGCACTGTGACGAGGAGTAGGATTGATCAACGGTGGTCAAGAGGGACCAAAACGATACATTTCGTTTTTGGTCCCTCGTGATCATGCTGTAGACCTTGGTAAGATAAAATTAAAATTAAGTTAACTAATACATATATTATACTTTTGAGATGCTAAAATAGTTTTATTTAAATGCACTCAGCAGTTCTATAATTATAATGATTTCAAGTACTTACATCTCTGAACTGAGCTATTCCAGCCTCCCCCAGTTCGTACATGGACACGTAAGCGGCTTCTGGCTGCACAAACAGCTGGCACAGCACCATCTCCTCGCTGCGGAACATGGTTGGTATTTCTGCACCTAAAAAGTATTTAAATATAAAATAAAACAATAGACTAAAACCTATTTACATTGTTTTGTGAAAATTATGAATAATTAAGTGATTTTGCGCCAGAAAAGATGTCTAAATGAAACATACAGAAATCCAGTTGTACTATATATCTGTTTCAATGTTTAAAAGATTCGAATCTGAAGAACATACCCATTAATCATTGTCTTGCACATATTTTTAAAATTTAAAACAGTTTTCTTTAAATCCTAGATAATTATATCTTATTGGTAACGCAATTGAAAAAAATAAAAGGTATCACACTCAGGTAAATTAAAGCTACATATCTTTTGTAATGTATTTTAGATTTATAAAGTAATAATAACAAGGACGAAGACTCGAACTCACGCACAACATACCATGGTGTTGCTCTACCAATATTATGTTAAGGTAAGGTGCAGGACGTTCTACTATAAAGGATTTTGGAAAATTCACAAAATCACAGAACAATGATTGGTAGAGAACAGTTCGGTACGATATGGTCGCGAGTTCGAGTCCCGCCCGTGTCATGTGTTTTTTTTATTAGAATTTTTTCATTTATACGATTTCGTGTGCGTACAACATTATGATATTTCTGTATTATTAATTAGTATAAGCTTATTGGGTTCTACATTAGCCAAATTAATTGTATTAACGCTTGTCTATCGATCGATAAAATTCAAAGGTTAAGGTTAATGCGCTTTTGTTCTGCGCCATTTGATTTCGTTCAAATAAAAATGTCGATACCATTTGTATAAACAATATAGCTAAGTATTGTATGTACCTCGTAGGTCCAAAAAAAAGTTAATATGTTTGACGGGATCATTGAACTATAGCTACGAGCAACGTCTACTACGGGACGGGAAAAAGAACGAATTGTTCGGTCGGGAAGGTAGAACGAAGTATTCGGTCGGGAAGACAGTATGAAATGTATTACGAACTCTAGGAATATCGATAGCCTGTACGCCTCTATGGGCACAGAATTATGACATACGATTTAGTGATAGCGACTGTCAATCACATATATTCCCCGGGCAAAACCCGCGTTATTAACCTTTGAAATTCCCCGCGAATGACATTTAACTGTATTTGTGACCTAATAGCAATAGTACACGCGAATGTCCCGGCCAGTCGAGACAGCTTTGTATTTTTGTACCTGGCTGGACGCCAAATAGTACGGGCGTTATCGTCTTATCGAGATTCACTTTTATCAATTGCAATTCGACTACAATGCGAGCTCTTAATGCGCGGGTAATGCTCAGATATTTCACAATACACGGCCATCGTAATGATTTATATGTTTCGCTTTGCTCAGATAAAATAAATTTACTAAGCATTGTATTAACACACCATAGTTCCCGTGATACCATTATTATTCTAAATCTCCATGTTGCTTGAAAGAAATCGATTTTTAATGATAAGGCAGCCGTTTCTCGCTACATTTGTTTTTTATTTTTTCAAATTAAATCTTATATTTGTAAAATTCTTGTGGTGACAATAAAGAATTCTTAAGCTGTACTGAATTCTAAAGCGCTCGTTACTGTAATGGTGGCAATGTTTGACGAATAATCAACAACAAGGATTACAATACCGTTATAATTTATATTTTTTCTAAAACATGGCCGGCGTCTGGAAATCTAGATATTAAATGGGTGGTAGGAATATCAAAAAGTCAGGGCCACTAATCACCGTTCACAGATGAAAAAGCCTTCAAGTTTAAACGCGTTTCGGTTTTAATCTGTAGATTTTCGATTATCCAAAACCAAAATAGGCCGAGTTATTTCACCTACCATCGAGTGAATTCCATGCTTGTCTCTCCTCCCTTTTCATAGAAAATAACTTAAGAGAAATTCTATACAGTTTATTCATTAATATTTTGCAAAATGTTTTTACCAAATTTGCAGCTAGATGAAGAGAGAGAGAAATAATGAAACGGCCTTGGCTTAAACTCTTACGGCGAAGTGTGTGCACTTTCTCCATAGCTTATTTACCAATATTGTAGAAACTTATTCTAACAGTACATGAAATTTATCAATAGAAAGATTAAAGTTGGCTACGTAAACACCAATGGTTAATGTGTAATAAATTAATGAAAAGAGTTGTTTACTTAATTTAATCAATAAAGTTAAACAAACAAGCAGTTTAAATTATTAAGCTCCTAATTTATATGATTATTACTCTTAATGCCTGTTTTATGTTTAATGAAAAAATGTTTGCGTATTTTCATTTCATAGGGCAAATAGTAAAATTTACTTACAATGATACTAAATTCCTTAATGACTAACCCATGATAAAGATTATGTTGATCGGTGAAACATAACTATCATATGAAGCATGTTATCTCAAGTTACAGAATTGCAAGGAAGGTCTTTATTAATAAGGTCAGAACAATGATATAGACATATTATGTGGGTTATATATATACAATAAGTAGTTTATCGATAATGACAACGGTGTATAATATTATATGCACTTAAGATGTGTTCATATTAGTCTTGTAACGAATATAATATAGTATTCGTTACAAGACTAATATGAAGTATACCGAATACAGAGTATACGGCAAAACTTTTACAAAAAGAAAGTAAGTTACTTCCTACTAGCTAGTCTTTTTGCAGCAAAACCTCTTATATATTTGGATTATAAACATTATTCAACTTTATAGAAAAACTGTTCTAATAGAAAAGATTATACACCTACCTGTTATATATACTAATGTTAACTTCAATGATTGTAAAAGAAATAAAACCTTACCTTTAAAGATAAATTATTTGAATTAAATAAACATTTGCCTTTTATAATCGTAACCCATGATTATTGTAAGCGAACCGAAAAAGGAAATTATTTCATTTTTCATTTTATCAACTATCATGTCCCTATAACTCAATTATCCGGTATTCGGTGGAATATAAGAATAGACCCCGAATAGGCAGAGTACCGAATAGTCGTCGCAAGCCTAGTTCATATAATTTCGTAATTAAATCTACTCGTACTTGTAGTTTTGCGGACAAGTATGAAATTCACTTGATGGAAGGTCAAAAATTCTTTAACATCTACTTTTCGCTTTTAGATATACGAAAATCTATAAATTTATAAAAAAGAGCTCTACGGATTTTGGATAAACCAATTTAATATAGTTCTTTTTAAAGCTAAGATTTTTAGAAACATCTTGAAACCGTCGGGAATCAGCCCTAACCAGCGTCAAGAAATCTCAACCAGACTAATTTGAACTCAAAATTCATTTCGGAATCAAACTACACATTTATTTATACAAAACACGCCCTTTTCTTATGAAATTTAAAGACGAGACGAATAATTTTAAACTAGAAATATCCCCGCTTACTGTAACGCGTTATAAATATGGATAGGTATTTTATCGTTAAGACATTGAGTGCTAAATAAGTATCGCTTTGTTTCTTGTTATGTCACCACATCCCCACCCCAATATGTTTGTTTTGAATTTTTAAGTACTGACAAATCTTGTTGTCGATTATTTATAAACACAAAGTTGTAACAGCTGTATGCCAATATTATATTCGTCTATAGAACATCCTAGGCTATCAGAAAAACAGCAGTAGGTCATTGTGACACACATCAAGATCTGTCCATTTGTTTTGACTATACGGGTGTGCCAAATCAAACATACATACTTTACATTCGTCAACGTCTGTTAGTCTATTTATTATCTAGTTACTAGTAGTCGCGCACAGTAATGTAACTATATAGTGAAAATATTTGGTGTTTGATGATCTCTTAAATAAAAAAAAATATTGTTTATATATAATAAGTTTCGTGGTAACTTTTTTTATATTAAAACTATCGTATTGAAATACTGTCTATATAATATAATATGTCTATCGTATTTGTTTATCTATGCCACTTCCAGAATGTTTAAAAACCGCCGATAATATTATCAATGGGCATCAAAGTTCAAATGTCAAGTTTTAAGTGTGTTTAATATTGACTAATGCCTTTTCTAAATTCCTGGATAAATGTTGTATGTAGTTACAAAAATACTTACAAGCACACAAAAAACACACAATAGCACTTGGGGATTATATTTTTAATGTATCACGCTAGAGCGACGGGACATTTTGTTAAAATCGTTCGCACAACGCAGCGCGACTCTACTACTGAGTTAGTGCCCGCTCGTAGTCGTTGCATAGTAAAATGAAAAATGTATGGTACTTGTGTAATTAGGGGTTGAAAAAGTATTTATTATAAGGTTTAGGAATCGACAATTATGCCTGAAAGCTTATCTTTGTAAGTAGGTTTTAATCTACAGCTAATCTATATTATAAAGTTGAAGAGTTTGTTTGTTTGAACGCGGATACCTGAGAATCTGGTTCAAATTACAAAAATATGTATCGAGGAAAGATTTAGGCTATTAAACATCAAACCGCGACCAGAAGAAGCGAAGAACCAGTGGGAAATGTGGATAAAACGGGAAAAAATATTCCGGAGTTTCCGTTCTGTGCGCTGCGACATATGTTCAAGATAACCAAAAAATATGAAAGAATGATTCCTCTTTAAATGGCCAAAAAAAATGTACGTGATAATAAATGTCTATCTTTTAAGGACTATCGACTTGCAAGAATGACAGGACCTCGACCGGTAACACTTAACAGAGATAATTTGTAAAAGTGACAAAGTGGTTGCAAAAAAACAAATTTTGATACCCAAAAAAACGCAACGACCTACGCAAAAGACAATAATTGGTGGTACAGCAAATAAAAATAAAATGATAATGATAACGAACAGATCTTCTGAAAGCATGCTTTAAAAAAGTATTAATGTTACGGTTAGTGTACGGTGTGTAGTAAACAACAAAATTTAAAAAATTAAATGTAAATTGTTCCTTTCCAAGACGACTAACCTTTTTAATTAAGTTACATCATTTATTTTACTATACTCATACTGTTTGTTTCGTTTTCGTAACACAATACAAATTGGATACATCCATTGCTCTTCAATACCCGGCTTTCTTCATTGCGTTGTAGCGATGATTGAAGTTAGAGTGCAATGTATAACGTTTATGTAAAACATGTGGTATGTTGTGATGATGACGAGAATGTATGTATATCAAAAGATACTTTTAAAATGTGAACAATAATAATTCATATTACTGTTTACAACGTAAAAATAAGTATTGTATGTAGTTTAAGCGAATAGTACACATTTAAAAATGAAATAAGTTAAAACGGATTAAAATGAAATATTTTTTTTATTTTACTATAGCTCGTTATTTCGACTGTCGCACCCATTAAATATAAGTTACACATTTTGCATTTCAAACCGTTAAAAGTGTTTCTTTTTTAATAGATGTTATGTCTATCTTTAAATGTACAAGGTTATAGGGTGTCGTGTGAGACAGTTAAATATACATACTTCCTTTTTTGAAAATAAGTCTGCATGATAATATATCACGAAAATAAATAAACCTGTAATTAATACATAGTATTTGGTTGTTTAATTTCTCACACAAATTACAAACAAATAAATGCCTTGTAGAAATGGTAAAATAGCTAAATAGATCCACATCTGCAACGCGAAGATGGTGATTACAGAATACAAGCTAATTAATAGAATGATTTAAAAATAAAAAAAAAACTGAAAAATGTTACGACTCGGAAGGACTTAACCGGCATCGTCAGCGTTACGTGCTGTTGTCTAACCAATTAACCTACAGTCGTAATGAATCCGCTCAATCTGCCCATGTAATATTTTTCATTTTTCGATTTTTAATTTACATAGTGCCATCGCATGCAATGCATGTGAAAAATATTAAAGTTTTCAAACATAATAGAATGAAATCAACATACCTTCATCTATATAATTGTCTAAAACTTCTGCATTTATTTGCACCATCTTCATGTAAAATTCTTGATCAGGCATATTTTAATTATTATTAAACTAAAACGTTCATTTGCGGCAAACGTTGCGGTATGAAATGAAATCTGATAGCTTTTCATAAGAGTCTATTTCGATTGGTTGACACGATAAGATATATTGTATGAGACAAATCGTAGGTCGTACCGATCCTACCTGACCGCCGTTTTTTAAATCGTAACATAGTGTTTATACGTTCAAAGTTGCCATAAACAAAAAATGTAAAAACGAGGTTTTGAATGCTTTGCAACAACCATAGTCACGGGGTAGGCGGGAAAATGTTTTTTTAATGCACTACTACAATACTAAACTTAACGGACGGACAACGGACTAGAAAGCATGTAAGTCGAAGTCGAGTTTCTAATATCTATTATTACTATTTTGGCATGAAGGAACACAACGTGCTTACTTCTAACATTCTTCTTACGGTTTTTTTTTTAATCTCTTCCTGCTTTTATTTCTTTAGTACTTTATTTTGATTTTTGTACTTTAAAATATAAATTAGAATTTCTATATTAAAGTGTTGCTTGTAAAAGATTATTTATAAAGAAAGATCAAAGTTCTAGAATCTAGAGAAAAAAAAAAAAAAAAAAAAAAAAAAAAACCCAGGCCCGGAAAAAAAAAAAAATGCCCCAAAAAAAAATTTGGTAATAGTCTTTGTCGTAAGTAAGTCGTATTAAACAGCTGTATAACAAGCCTACAGGATCTATTTAATAAAGGAGGAGATAAGATAATAACTTAAGAGCTGCTTACGTTATCGGATTTAATCCGAGCAAACAATAGCCGTTCAGTTTACTGGTTATACCACCAAATATAGGATTTGAATTTACTAGTGCACTGCTGTTTATATCTTTATTTTTAAACTCTGTACTTTATAGAAATATCTCTATCTATATTTAATAAATAATATTATATTTAAATAAAGCTAGTATTCAATCAACAAAATTTATTTACATACAGTATCAAATAATCAACAAATAATACACGAATAGTTCTACTACGAAAACTATAAAATATATGAGCGTAATTATAACAACCACCGTGTCTAATTAAATATTTATATTAACATATAAGAAAATACATACAAAGGTAAATATCATATTTATTAACTATACTAACAATTACCCATTCAGCCTTGATCCTACAAAACTGCTAGTACTGACGTTTGCTGGAGTACAAATGTACACCATGAAATACAGCAATATTTCTAATTTACAAAATATTTTTCGAACCGGAGTAAATTATTCTGTCAAAGCTCTGGGTAAAGTTGTACCGCAAGGCCCTTCAAAGTAGTATTGAAAGTCGGGAGTAGCGGGGGTAGTTTCTATGTTAAACTCTGCGACAACAGCGCCCCTAGCGGCAGCCTGTGGAGCGAACATCGCCGCTGGGTAAACGACAGATGATGTACCCACGACTAAGCATATATCACAGCTTTCCATTGCTTCACCTGAAAGAATAATTGATGATTCTTTTAAAGATGACAAGTTTTTTTACAAATACTTTCTTATCTTCACATAAATATACACTTACTTATATTATTCTATACCAAAAACAATGCTTCATTAATTTAATAAAAAATGCAGCCGATATTTATTTAAGCAAAAGTTACTGAGGATTTTATTTTAAATAGACAAATTTGTACTACCAGCTCTCTCCAACACAGCTGATTCTAGACTTTCACCAAACCAGACAATGTGGGGTCGCAATAAACCTTCACAGCCAGGCTTTTTGCAATGTGGCAGAGATTTAACTGGTATATCAGATCCGACAACCTTTTCATCTGGTGCACCACGGCTGGTTAGAGCCTGCAAATTATAAAATAATACATACATAACTCCTTGAGTCATAGTTACATGAATTATACATACATGTATGTACATGTGTTTACATTACATATCTACAAATGGTGCCTGTAAAGTTTAATTAGCAGTAGTAATTTGTTTTTATTTCTACACAAAAGGTACAAAAATCAGTTTTTAAAAAGGCGGAAAATTCCCACAAAACATACCTATTTATTTTTAAAAAGTTAAAGTAAAATTCTGAATACCCAAACTTTATATTCTCAACGAACTCCCTTAGTCTCTGACTGAAAAGGTTCTGATTTAAATTTTGAGCAACATGTTTCAGCTAGAATTTGAACCAGAACTCACTATTATAACAGATTACAAAAATAATTGTTTAATTCCCACCCAGTGAACCCATAACGGGTTGTACTTACCCATAACTTGTGTCTTACCTCACAAATTGGACTATCAAAATTCACAAGAACTTCTTTACATTTAGTGCAGCGAGTTTTATACAAATTCCCATGAAGTTCAATAAGGTTCTTTGTGCCAGCTCTTGCATGTAATCCATCCACATTTTGAGTTATTACTGTTATCTTTTTATCTGCATGTTTTGCTTCAAAATTAGCAATAGCTATATGACCCTGTAAAAAATTTGTAAATAAAAATAATTCATCAGTCAGTAGAAAAGTTAAAGACAAATTTTTATTGTGCTTAAAAAGTTTAGAAAATAGATAATAAAAAACCTAAAGCAACACACTAGACTGTAGTGCTATTTTTTTCATACATATTTTTTATATTATTTACTAACTAGCCAATGCATGGGATTCCTGAATATAATTAATCTGTTACTTTAGCAGTTTAGAACTTTACTATCTTACTATCCAAACACACCACAACTAATCAATAGACATCATTGATACATTGATACTGTATAATTAATTAATTCTACAAATATTAACTATTCTTAACTTTTATTCCAATTTACGCTTTTATTAACCACAGAATTATTATCTTTCTTTCTCAAATTGCACTCAAATTAAGAGATGTAAATTTCTCATAATAATTAATATAACACTAAACTCAGCTCCTCTTTTCCTTCTAAGATTAGGAGTCACCAGATTATATTAAGAGGCTGTATTATAATTATAATACACCCTCATTTAGTAAGTACTTTTAATATACTAACTGCATTTGGTTGAGCTTTGGCTGCAACCTCTCGTCTATAGTGGTAAAACTCCCAGACCAAACTTGGACTAGTTTTAAAGGCCTCTGGTGTGGCCAAAGATGAAGCCTGGTACTTCCTCCAGAATCCGCCGGCACCTCTAAAAGTAGGAATACCAGATTCTGCGCTTATCCCGGCGCCAGATAAGATTACAACGTTTTTAGCAGTTTTCAAAGTCTCTTTAAACTTTGTCAAGTCACTAGATTGTCTTACCGCCATGATGTCTCTTCTACATATTGATAATAAATTTGAAATTCGTAATGCACTAATTTGCATATTATTTAATAAATTGAACTTTGGTTTTAAACGCTATATTTACATTTTGATTTTGCTGGATTCTTTGGCGGTAAGTACTCTAATGTTAATTGTCAAATAAAACTGAAATCAGTAAGTTTACTTTTTTATGGCAAGTAGGTATAGCTTTTTACCATTTGTCATGTAAATATAAAAAAGGATATAAAAGGATGTTATATAATCTTATTATTCTTTATTTACTACTACTTAATTTAAAACATCTATAATTTAAAATTAATTATATATAAAGCTGAAGAGTTTGTTTGTTTGAAAGCGCTAATCTCAGGAACTACAAGTTCGAATTGAATAATTCTTTTTGAGTTAGAGCATTTATCGAGAAACTCTATAGGTTATATCACATTGCGCTGTGTTGGAATATTATTATTCTGTGTGGCTCGGCTCAGGGAGGCGGAGGAGGGATATATATTAAAAACACCCACTCGATACTTTCACATATATTTGCACTGTTTCACTTTTAACATAATTTTGTATAATATACAAAACTCCATACAAAAACCTTGACGTGTTGCACCCCGCGAAGAATAGATGTTACTTGTTTTCTAACATAAAACAACATCTTGTGAATTTTAAATAGAGAATCGAACATCTTTCCAAATCAAGTGTTGCCAACCAATATCAATATAAATAAACTCCAACACGCTATGACTAATAGAAGCAAAGATGCTGCGGGAGATGTGAACAATAAAAATGTGTAAATGTGTAAATTTATATAGATGAGATAGAGGTTTGCAAAAACCGATTTGGATGCTCAAAATAACTATTCTACGCGGACGAAGTCGCTGACGCAGCTAGTATTAGATATTTGTTATTAACTGTCAACAGTTTACTAGTTTACTTGTCACTCGACTTTGACAAACGAATGAGTTGTGCTTGTTACAAACACTGATTTTCTTTGCTTCAACAATAACGAGGCTTTTTCAGTATTTTTATTTTAGTAGTTTTACAAACAAAAGTGTAGCTATTGAATCTACTATGTGCACAGTTTGTTTCAAAAAGTATTGAATTTTACATCACAGCTTTTTAAGAACATCCCGGTCTGCGCTTGTCTATACACATATTAAATGTGATTTTTTAAATATCTTCTTGCATAGCGGGCCTTGTATCTTTTTCGAAGCTCAGCGTACTTTACATAAGCTATAAGTATGATGGCTACAGGTACACTTAATCAATATATTCAATATGTTGAGCGAATGTTTAGAACAGCTAATGGAGAGAATTTAGCTCGTCTTCTATCGCTAAGGGATGACCATATTAACAATAGGAATCTTCGATCGAGTGATATTGCTTCTCTTGTAGAGGGAAACTGTGTTGCACCTTTGGATGAGATTATAATTTATCACCTATCCTGTGTCCAGGTAAGCAAGTAATGTATTACGAATATTCTCCTACGATGTCAGTTCTATGTTTAGTATTTAAATATTTTATATATGATTAGTTTTTACAAATGTTGCATATTAATATTTTATATGATATTAGTCCTGTAATCTTAGATTTTTTAAACATTATATAGATTGGAAGTTATTATGGAAAGAGAAAGATATAAAATTTAATGTTTTTGATAAACTGTTTTATATAAACAAATCCTATATTATTATTATATATAGAACAATTGAAGCACTGATGAAATAAAAACTAATTTCCAATTTTTTTTAGGCATTATCAGTCAAAGATTACATAGAAGCTTATCACCAACAGAGTTTGTGTGTTGCTGCCGTTGTAAGGTTACTACAAGCTCAAAAAGAGGAAAATTGGAGTCTGTACCTTATGTACACAGTTTGTTTAGATTTGCGGCTAGTTGCTCAAAAGGCAGAATTATGTGATCGTGAGTATTAAGTGTCATTTTGTAAACAGTACATATACATTTTAAGTTTTCAATGATTGTAAGGTATTACTTTAAAAAATGTTTACCATAGCACTGTCTACATGACTCCCGGTGCCTTGCAACTCACCCTAAAGGGACTGTTACATCTCTTACTGTTGTATTTCTCCCTATCACCAAGGTTGGAGTTCCCTTAGGAAGTGATTGGGAAGTTAAAACATTAAAAATAATTGTGTTACAATAGTACTATTATGACATCATTTTTGTTTCAGCACAAAGCAATGGCAAAATATTAGAAAAGGCAGCAGAAAGCTTACTGGCATGTTTTAGAGTATGTGCTGCTGACAACAGAACTGCAGATGAGGATACAAAGAGATTGGGAATGTTGAACCTTGTCAATCAGCTGCTTAAAGTCTATTTTCGTATAAATAAACTTCATCTCTGCAAACCTCTTATTAGAGCGATAGATTCTTCACCATTCAAAGATCAATTTCCACTAGCACAGCAAATTACTTATAGGTACTTTGTTGGACGGAAGGCCATGTTCGATTCAGATTACAGATCGGCAGATGAATATTTGTCATTTGCTTTTCAAAACTGCCACCATGAAAGCATTAAAAATAAAAGGCTAATCCTTACATACTTGATTCCAGTAAAAATGCTGCTTGGTTTTATGCCAGCTAAGCATTTATTACATAAGTATGATTTGCTGCAATTCTGGGATCTGGTATCGGCTGTGAAGAATGGTGACCTCAGAGGTATAGATCAAGTTATGGAGGAACATGAAAGCTTCTTCATAAAGGCTGGGATATATTTGATTGTGGAGAAACTTAAAATAACTGCCTATCGAAATTTGTTTAGGAAAGTGTATTTGGCTGAGAATACACATCAAATTGATATCGCTAGTTTCCAAGCTGCACTTCAAATAATGGGCCAAGAAGATGTAGATTCCGATGAGACACAGTGTATAGTTGCTAATTTAATTTATGATGGGAAGATCAAAGGTTACATTTCGTATCAGCATAAAAAGGTTGTTGTTAGTAAGCAAAATGCATTTCCACCTCTGTCTAGTTTGTATTAAATGTTTAAATCCAAATAGTTTTTTTTATTACAAAGAGTTCACAATGAAAATGCCACTAATTAATGCCTAATAATTAACTTTCCCGGGTTTGAGTCTTGGGGAACCTTAATAATTTTAATTGCATAACTCACACAGAGATAAGAAAAATCACAAAAAAGAAAAAAAAATCGCTAAATCGTTCACTAAAACAGACACAGAAATGTGTTTTCTATCCATACTAGAAAGGGAAGATGTTATTTGAAACTAATATACACTTAAAATACTAGAAACTAATATACACTTAAAATACTAGAAGAGGTTTGGAAGATTTTTTTTTTTATTGTCAGAAGGTCTTCAGATAATTTAGTGAAAACCACTGCCACACTAGTCACTTGACATATATTGATATATATACTTAGTCAATCTAGTATTTTTTGCCTGAGTGCTCTATTGGTTGAAAAGATGTTTGCTGTCAGGTAAACCATCAGAATTATATAGATATTGTCATACACACATTCCAGTAAATATTAGTTAAGTTTTGATTTTTATAATGAAATAATATAGTAGCTTTAATATATACGCGCTTGAGCATGCAGCCCGTGGAACCACCAATAGAATCTCCGATTTTACCTCCAGGAAAAACACATTGGCAATGGATATTTGGTTTAATAGGTGTGATTTTTGTTAAAGCTTCCTTATCTATACTCATATTATAAAGCTGGAGAGTTTGGTTGTTGTAACGCATTAACATCAGGAGATACTGTTTCGAGTTAAAATTTATTTTTGTTTTGACTGGACTTTCGAGAAAGGCTTTAGGCTATAAAACACAAAGCTCAATAGGAGCAAAACGGTGAAGAATGTGAAAAAAGCGGGTAAAATTATTCATCTTTGTGGGTTGCGTAGGTACTCTGCGGTAACTGTTTAAGATAAAACTATGTATGAAAAAATATTAACTTTTAAATGATCTATAAAATATACACAAAGAGGACTAGTGTAGGTAACAGGTACAGTTTATAAAGATGAGGAGGTTAGCAAAAATAAATATTGATGCTCAATTCTACGCGGACGAAGTCGCGGGCACAGCTAGTTCGTAAAGAAGAAGGCACTTGATTAAAATTAACGGTGATTATTCCATAATGATTGTTTGTTACGTTTTTTCATATCTTCCTGAAAAATAAATTAGTAAGTCGCTTAAGAAAGTCTTCTAGTTTCTAAAATAGATCCGAATAAAAACTCCTCCACTGTAGTCTGACGTCATTATCTATATATTTATAATACCTGATTATATAAATAGAAGAAAAATGTTGCAGTAAGCTCCACCTTCTCATTATACGGCATGGAGGCTGGATGGATGTCGCCAATGTCCGTTGTCTTGATGTCAGATAAGTCGCCTCTCGGATACTCCTTGTCAAACTCAGCCATATCCTGGTTGGCGAGCATAGTTGCTTTTGTTGCGGCCTTTTTTGTACCAATTTATTCACATCTAACCGACGATTATGGAAGGAAATGGGTCATTTTTGCGTCTACTATACCACAGATGGTAGGTTTTATTTTCATACATACGTACAAGGTTATATAGGTCTCTTTTAAATAAAACACTTTAACGGTTTAAAACGCGATATATTAGTTATAATAGTTTTGAAAATGACTTTTAACTTCGGCCCGACGTTTCGGATGCTTTGCAGCAGCCGTGGTCACGGGGAGACTTTAAAAATCATTTTCAAATAAGTTTAACTAATATATCGCGTTTTAAACCGTTAAAGTGTTTTATTTAAATGTGTACTACTCGCGTAAACTATAGACAGTATTTATATAGGTCTCTTACAAGAAAAACATTGTAGAACCTAAGAATCTATTTTTTGTAAATAATTTTTAATAGTTTTATATGTATTCGAATCTTATCGAAAGTCTTATGAAGTGAAGTGGTCCAAAAAGCTCACGAAGGATTTTAAATAGTTCATTCAAATTATATTAGTGTTCGTGAAAAGATTGGTAGGATAGACTGGTGTGCTCATAAGATCAAAGACACTAGCAGATGTTTTTAAAGGTTGTAATAGAACCGAGGCTAATTTAGTATTATTTTCAGATATCAGTTATTCTAAGAATATTCTTTCCAAACATAATAGTGCTGGCGATAGCGCGCGCATTATGTGGACTGTCTGCGAGTGGTTCTTTTACGCTGGTATCGTTATATTTACGAGAAATAAGCCAGCACAACGTCATTGCGGCGATCGGCTCGCTGCCTGTCTTAATGCAGAACACAGGGGTTCTAATAGTGTACCTGATTGGGGCATATTTTGACTACTTCACCGTCCTTTGGATTATGTTGAGCGCGCCGATTGTACTCGCAATATTAATATGGCAAATCCCTGAGTCACCGGAATTCCTCGTTAAGGAGGGCCTGATGGATGTAAGTCTTGTTTTTATGATAGGTAGAGGAAGAGATACACGAGCTTCACTAAATGGAAATTGAAATAATCTTAATTCACATCTAGTTAAGGAACGCTATTAACTGTTGCTGATATTTGATCCACAGAATGAAGCTACACACACAATTTAATTAAAACACTTTAACGGTTAAAAACTAAAAATATATTAGAAAACTATTTTAACGTTGCGCCGTAGTTAAATTACTTTTCAGATACTATATCGCGTTTTAAACCGTTAAAGTGTTTTATCTAGTTTACCGTTCACAGAAGGCTCGCGATACAGTAGCTTTCCTGAGAGGTTTGAAGCCGGATGACGAACGAGTAAAGGCTGAGATTGAGTTCTTAAAGCGATTGGAAGATCAGTTTGCACATCTGCCTAAAACCAATATTTGCATTATATGTAGGTGTTATTGTTAAACGTTAACTAAGAACGAGACAACATATTTTCAAGAAAAAATGTGTTTATTTTGATATAAAAGAAAGGTTTTCACCTTACAACAATGAAATTGAGCCATCGTGACTCAAGCCGATGCCGATTCAAGCCCTGTACGTGTCGTAAAAAAAATTCAATTATAAATCGATTTTCAATTGTATAGTACCATCATGTGCACAAACAAAATCAAAAATATAAAAGTTTTCATACATTACAACTATGCAAAAAAGTTTTGTTGTTAGATGTTTTTTGTGGATATCTATTAAGAACACGGTAGCTCAATTGGTAGACCAACAGGCCGGCATGCTGTGGATGTCGGTTCAAGTCCCGATCGTGTCGTAAATTTTTTTCAAAATAAAATCGATTTTTACTTTAGAATCTATTCCCGTTAACCATAGTGTCATTTAAATATCATTTTCAGTAAAAGACAAAGCGTGGCGACGTGGCTTTGTACTTATCATGATATTATTCACGGTCCACGCGTGGAATGGTGCATTTGTAATTGTGACCTATGCCTCAACTATTCTATGCGTAGCAGAGCACGGACATTTTACATTTCTTCGTCCCGAGTTGCAGTCACTCAGCTTTCCTATAGTAATGATCACAGCCTCCTTGTGCTTCGTGTTTATAGCAGACAAGTGGGGAAGGCGGGTGAGCTTAACGATATAATTCATGTTTAGATCGAAAATAAATTAAAACATTTTCGGGTAGGACTTGATCCGGCATCGTCAGCGTCCGTGCTGTTGCTCAACAGCACGGATTCGTGTTATAAAATTTTAATAATAATATAATATTCAGATTTTCCAGGTTTAACGTGTTTATCCCCCAACGAGTGTTTGTATGACCGGTGGCGATCGAACCCACGACCTGACTTTGACGCATTGTAAGACAAAATCCAGACGGACATGAAAATTGTTTATATATATATATATATTATAGAGATAAGTTTATATTAAAAAAAATGTTTACACCTGCAAGATTCGAATCCACGATCTAAGTCCCGTCTTTGTCACTAACTCCCTCAATCCTGATGTTTTTTTCCTTTATCGACGCTTTAATAATTTTTAATAGTTTCGCTACTTTTCAGCATTTACAAGCTGGTGCGTATTCCATCTCTGTAGTTGCGTTCACGACGCTCGGTGTAACCCTCTACATTGAAGATATATACCAGGAAGGTCCTAGTTGGCTTCATCTTCTATGTATGACAGTCGCAGTTGCTATGTACTCTGGTGGTATACGACCACTGCCTTGTATCATCGCCACAGAAATGTTCAGCTTTAAGGTAGGTACCAGTTGTCTTTGACCGCCTCTGTAGCTAAATGGGTAAACGTTAGGCAACACGTTTACCCGCATTGAGTTAAACGCCGCAGATTCGAAAGCCGGGGTAACAATAAAGTCTGATTACTACTTGTCTAAAAATAAATCTTTACAGCATTTGGGTGTCAGTTGTCCAATTATATATTACTTGACTTACCTACGAAGTGTTGAAAAGATTTACCCAAAAAACAAAATAATATATAAATATCTAACAATCTATACTAATGTTATAAGACTGAAGTTTGTTTTTTTGTTTGAACGCGCTGATCTCAGGAATTACTAGCTCGATTCAATTTTTTGTTTTGATTGGAGTATTTATTGAGGAAGGCTCTAGAGTTTAAGCTATAAAGCAACACGCTGCAACAAATGGAAAAAAAAATCTTCCAGGAAACCAAAAAATATTTCTGAAAGAGAATTTTTTTTTTAGATCCGAGCAAAAGTGATGGGTGTACTGATCACGTACGGCTGGTTAGCTGTTTCATTACAGCTCTTCTCTTATGGACCCCTGGTAGATGCGTTTGGTTTATCCATAGTGTTCCTTATTTACGCTGCAGTTAATGTCTTTGGGCTTATATTCGCTCTCCTCATTCCGGAAACTAAGGGCAGAAACCCGGAACAGATTAGGAATATTCTACTACATAACACAACGAAGACCACTTCTTAGGAAGCTTGGTTGAGTCGTTCAGTACCATCCAATTCATAGATACAAAGAAGTAATAAAAACGAATAGAAGATCGCAGACTACTATACTATAAGATTCTATTGATCATTTAAATTATAAAAATGGCTGAAGAGTTTGTTTATATGTTTGTTTGAACAAGCTAATCTCTGGAACTGCTGATATGAATTGATTGCACCATTTATCGGCTATTAAGGCTATAAAACATCAGGCTGCAAACAATGGGAGCAAAGAAACAGTAGGAAATATGAACGAAACGGGAATATAGCTTCTTTAAATAATTTTTAAAAATCTCCGAGACAGTATATGTGCCTCTTTTAATATTTAATCGCAAGAATGCGACAGATTGCGGTCGATGTCGTGGGAAGAAGTTATAATTTATAAGTAGGTTGTTTGCAAAAATAAATAATATGTTTCCCAAAACTATTCCACGCGGACGAAGTCGCGTGCACAGCTGGCGATTGTATATAATTTTCATAATTAAACAATTTATTGTCATTTTGTAAATGTATTTTTACTACGTGTGTTTATTTAACGTTTGAAAATATTTTGACAGTTGTACGCTGCGTATTGAATAAAATAAAGGCAGTTACAATTAACGAGTTATTTGTAATTTATTCATACGTACACGTTTGTGATCCAATTGAAGGGTAAATGACGAACATATCAATTTGTGTGAACCCAAAAATTTTTAGTAAAATACAATTAAAACTTGTTCATTCGTCAATTCCTCGAATAAAATTTTAAAAAGGGAATGACGTCAATGTAACTAACGAATATTTGTACTTATTCTTCAATTTCGCATTGTTGAGTCTTGTTTTCGTTTGTGAAATGTTTAACGTAAAAATTGGAGCGAAAAATGGGGGTACTGGTCATATATATTGGCAGTGGACTTACTCTGGCATTGGTAAGTGAAATTTCACCTTTAATTTCTTATTACGTTTCACAACATAAGTGTAGCTTTATTTGTAGGTTAACAGCTTATATCTATCGTATAAAATTTGAAGTCCTCCTGCGACCACGGCTACCTATACACCACAGCATTTGTTACGGTTGTTAAAATAAATTATAAAAACTTAAAATATTTCAAGTTCTAAACCGTTAAAAGTTCTTTACTAAATATATATATACCCGTATCTAACTTCCCATGATCTCAAAAATGGGATTTGTTATGTATATAAAAATATTTTGCTGTTAGTTAACGATTTTACACAATAAACAATTTCTATTGCATATCGCATGTATAATATTAAAAATATATTGAAATTCTTACCGTTTTAGTTCCGTAGTTAGCTCAAAAAAGGTCTAGACAGATTTTAATGGAAAACTATAACTGATAATAATGAGTAAAACAACAAGAAAACGACGTAGCAAAGTAAACTTACTTAAATTATTTCTAGCTAGTCTAGGTTTCCTCATATACGGCGTAGAATCTGGTTGGCTTTCTCCCTTCATTCAGGAGTTGAAGTCACTCCATACGCCGCTTAAGACGCCTGTCGATGACACTACAATAACCTGGTGGGCAAGCATTTTGCCAATGTCCGGAATTTTCTTCGTGCTCTTATTTTCCCACACTGCTGATGTTTTTGGAAGAAAGTGGTCTTTAATAATTGGAACTTTGCCAGAAATTGTAAGTCATCTTTTATGGGCTGTATACATTTTCGGTGATCGATTGAATCGAATACACAGGTCTACTATCGGACTTGATCGGATCTCGGGCAAACGATAAAAAGTTTCGTTTATACAGGGCACAGAAGTTGGATTAATACTTGTCTGTAAATAAAATTGGTCAGAAATGAAATTTTACTTTTTATATATATGAATACTTTAACATAATAAAACGTATGTTTCTAGGTTTCAATCATTATAAGGCTCGCTTGGCCTACGCCGATGTTTGTGATAGTAGCCCGTATTTTTAGTGGCATATCGGCAGCGGCATATTTCGTCATCATCCCAGTTTACATAAGAGAAATCAGTGAAGATGGCATGCTGGGAAGGTTGGGATCTCTCCCGATTTTATCCCAAAATGTTGGCTTCCTGGTTGTGTACGCGGTTGGGGCTTTTTTTAATTACTTCACGGTTCTATGGATTATTTTATTCTTTCCCATTATCATGGCGTTACTCATGCTAAGTAGCCCAGAGTCGCCGTCCTACCTGGTGAAGAGAAATAAAATTAACGTACGTACTCCTATGTATGTGAAAAATCTATTTATGTATGTATTTACAATATATTCTTAACAAATCCCTTAAAATGGGTGATAAATGCGTTGTTTATTTTTATTTACGACATACAATGAATTAAAAAGTAAAAGTACATTTACTTTACATAAACTACTTAATATCCATATTTGATTATAAATGACGTAATTTTTTAGAAAGATATAAAATACACTGTTATTCTTTCAATCTTTTCTTTTTAACTAACGTTTAAAATCGGTTATTTCTTTTAATTATTTTTAGTAAGTACACCTTTATAATTGCTAATAGATTCATTGTTTATTTAAGTTTTTTGTTATTGATCAAGTTAAAGGCGAGTTTCCTTTTTAGGAAGCTATTAAAAGTATTGCGTTCCTCAGAGGATTAGCAATAAACGATGAGAAAGTTGTCATTACAGTCCAGCATATGCAGTATCACGAAGAAGGATTTAAAAATATGTCTAAAATTAGCATGATCACTATACGTATGTATTTGGCATTCAATGATACTAATTATAAGTACGGACCAGAATTGTGTTCTTAAAAACATTCAGCATAACATTTAGACAAATTTTTTAACCAATTTTTCTCCTTAACAATATGTTGTTGAAAGACATCAAGAATGTCATCGATTAATCGTATCAAAATCAGTATAATCCTTTCAGAGACAATCTAAGTAAACAATACAAATAATGATTGTTGCCTCTTTCGTTACATTGTGCAGAATACAACTGACTGATCACTACAACAACAAAAATGAGTATCTGTTTTCTGTATATTTTGTAGTTATATATTTCATACATAAACATACAACTAGCTAGATGACGTCGAGGACCTTAGGATTTTTAAATTGGAGACCAGTATTTGGAATTTGTTATTTAATCTAGCCCAACATAGGTCGGTTTTAAAGTCCAACTTGACCACGCTTAGGCCCGAGAGATTGTAACGCCTTATAGATAGATAGACAGTGTTGTACTTTAACTTAATAGTTTTACATTTAAGGTTTTGTTCGTTATATAACAGATCCATTACTTTTGTCGTAAAGCATGGACAAAATTAATAATTATTTAATAAAATGCTTTAAATTTCAGTTCGTGATAAACCACTACGCAAAGGCGTTTGCCTTATTTTACTAATCTTGGCGACACACTCCTGGAATGGTGCATTCGCCATCGTGACGTACGCTTCAGCTGTTATGCTCTCAACGGGAACCGAACTGAATATAAGCCCAGAACTGCAAACGATTAGCCTACCTATTGTCATGATAATTGCTTCGCTTACCTTGACTAGTATAGCTGAGAAGTTTGGTAGGAGGGTAAATATTTTTATATATATAAATGTCTCGTCGTTGTTTATTGTACTCGACTGCGGACCGCGAGGTCCCGAGTTCGAATCCTTTGTTTAGCGATATGTTGATTCGGTTTGGATTTTTTCTAGAAATTACTACTAGTTATAAACCCCGTGCCCGAGGGTACGTAAGGCCGTCGGTCATGGGTTTTCCTCTAATTTGGTAGCGGTAAGCCCATCAACCCAAACTGGAGCAGCGTGTTGGGCTCTTTACACCTTGTTGAATGGGAAAAAGGTTGATTGATAGGTTGAAAAATAAACAAAGCAGGCGATAAAATATTTATATTTTATTGCGACGTTTATACAGCTGCTGCATAAATTATGTTTTTTTTTTATTGTATGTTAAGTGAATCTACTGATAATAAATATGGGGCAACCACATTTATGTGTCCGTTTCACTGAACGATTTTATTTACAAATCGATCGAAACAGTTTTTTATCTGATCTAAATGGCGCATGTGTAGAGTATTAATGTAAAATGGTTATCTTACCCCACGAAAAATTATGAATTTAGCTTCACGAGTTGTTTTAGACCAATATATGTTTGCTACCCGCTTCGTTTAAATGGCTAAGGTGGTGCCCAGTGCACAAGAAACTCTGGGTCCGAAACCAAAGCAAATGGTATAATTAATATAACATCGACCAAGGAGACGAGCACAGAAATATGATATACATGTAATTTTCACTATCCCTCAACATGCATTAAAGCATTGTATATAGTGTGGGCGAGTAGTACACATTTCAATAAAACTCATTAACGGGTTTAAACAGGAAATATATTTAAATAAAACACTTAAACGGTTTAAAACGCAATATATTTTAGTTAAACTTGTTTGAATTTTTAAATTGTTTTTAACTAAGGCCCGACGTTTCAGATGCAGCAGCCGTGGTCATGGGGAGATTTTTATTTAAATGTGTACTACTCGTGTAAACTACAGACAGTATATTACGAAATATATGTTGACCCGCCCACTGTTACTTAAAGTTGAATTAAAACATCTAAAACACCCGGCCGTAGTTAAAACGAATTAACCAATATATTTCACGTTTAAAACCGTATTTAAATATGTATCTTTAATGATGATTTATTATTTTATTTGATTTATTATATTTGATGATTTATTATATTTGATAGTTTTTAAAGTAAAACGATTAAAAAACGCTGTTTAAGTCTTTTATAAATACTAAAATGCTCAATCTCAATTTTAGCATATCCAAGCTGTTGCATATCTCACTTCCGGAATTTCTCTAGCTATATTAGCTGTATTCATCTTACTTCAAGACTATGTTTATTCCACCCCCCCTTGGCTGCCTCTTACATGTATGATCGTTATCGCAGCTATGTACGCTGGTGGAATACGACCCTTACCGTTCGTGGTGGCTACAGAAATGTTTCAGTTTCAGGTAAGGTATACTTAGAAGGAACTTATTCCAAAAAAGTAATACTCCAATTACGTTTTTTAATTTACATTTGATTTTTAATTAATACTCCAATATCTATGTTTGTCATTTCTTTTATGTCAGGAACAGTCTACGAAATACGGTTTGTATGATATGAGTTGGTGGTATCTTCGATACTTTGGTATGATTCGTGGATTTTTTTTATGAGAGAGGAGGACAGCTAAGGATGGAGTTCACTTGATGGTAGGTGGTGGTGGACCCCAGCCATATAACATCTAAACAAGATGTGCGTGTCTATAGTATTTTGTATTTGGATATTCGGACATCCACAGACTGAAACCGAAACACGATTAAACTTTTTTATCTGTGGACGGTCCATGACCCGGTGACTCGATATCCACCACCCATTTATAACCAGACGAAGTCCAACATGTTTAAAAAAAACTTGGACAGGGTGGGGATCGAGGCCGCGGCACCAACGAGCTCGTCAAATATCTATAATTCTGCAGAACTTTATCAGTATAAAAGTACTATCTAAAATATTATATTGATTTGTTGCGGATCCGACCACATACAAGAGAATTTATAAAATATTGTCTGTAGTTTACGCGTGTAGTAAACATTTAAATAAAACACTTTAACGGTTTAAATTATTTTAAAATTATTATTTCTTTTAACTTCGGCCCGACGTTTCGGACGCTTTGCAGCAGCCATGTTTGCAGTGGTCACGGGGAGACACAAGTTAAAAATAATTTTCAAATAAGTTTAATTAATATTGCGTTTTAAACTGTTAAAGTGTTTTATTTAAAAGATAATTTATATTCAATAGAAATTAAACACTTGCAAATAAAATATTTCAAAACCCATAATGAAAGTAGGTACATATGTATAGGTACGAAAAAGAAATTGCAGTTTTATCAATTTGACAGTTCATTATTGTGACAGACTGACAGCATTGATTTGCAATATGTCAGTTTATGATCTTGCTTAGTTAGTCAACAATAATAGGGTAAATGCTATGCAAGTTGAGGAGTACTTGAAAAATAAATCACTATATTTTTAGGTTCGAGCAAAAATAATGGGTTGTCTAACAGTCTTTGTCGGCCTGATGAATTCAACACACCTATATGCGTATACGCCGATAAAAAATACCTTTGGGTTGCCAGCTACGTTTCTCATATTTGCACTCTATAATATAATTGGAGTTATATCTTCTCTACTTCTACCAGAGACGAGAGGGAAATCAGAAGAAGAAATTCGGGAAGAATTGGAAAATAAATTTAAAATCCGTCTATGATTGGAAAGGATTGAACTTAAAATTTAATAGCGAAATAAATAAATATTTTCAAAGCACGTTTGTATCTTTAAAAATAGTTGTATCATTTGATGATCTTTAAACATTTATAAATCTATTTTCAATTGAACGACATGGTGGGTAGGGTGTAGGGGTCGACCAAGCATTCCGTGAATCGCGGTACTACTTTACTGTATCGCGTTAGTTCTCATCGAATATTTTCGATCGAAAGTAGATTTATTATGCAATCATGGGATATGTATTTTCGACTCTGATTATTGCCATACACTAAACACGATTAGAGACCTTGTCCCCCCTCAATTTTTTGGGGAAACGGAAAGTTAGCATCTCTGTTATGAAAACTCTACGTGATGGTAAGGGAGTGGAAGTCCACTATTCACAATGGATAAATAAAACATTGATGACATCAAAACTTTTTTATTAAATTCATAATACAATTCAAAGAATAATATAAATATAATAAATTTCGCAGATCACTAATGCAGCTTATATTTATCAATTCAAATTACAATTTACAAGTCTTAAATATGTCTTTTATTACGACAAGTACACTAATTTAATTCCTAGTTATGGTAAGTTATGTATGTTAGGAATAACTACTATGTTTTGAGATATTAAAGTATTTATTATGTCTTTATAAGTGTAAAAATGTATATAAAAAGTAAAAGCTGCCGTTTAGACATATTTTTGTGTCTGTCAAACAAACGATTATGTGATCAGCCTTCTGCGCCCTTTCCTTCTCAATTTTTCCCGGATTTTCACGTTAAAAATAAATATAATTATAGGGAGTTATAATAATTGATAAGGTTTTTAAATTTTGTACAGACGGCAAGTTGCATTACCTCATCTTATCATGCTTATCTGGGTTAAAGATGGCGTCACAGTACATTTACTACAAAAGATTTCCATTTTCATCACATCAAAACATTTGTTGTTCGGTTTTACAACAAAATATGGCGCCACAGTACAAATACTTTTAATAGGACAGATTACCTCTGCTATCATATCAAATGATCGGTTTTTCCGTTTTACCGTTACAATTCCTAGATGGACAAACAAACAACCACACTATTGTATTTAGGATATCGATATAAGAAATTCCAGACGTAAAACTACGTCTTTCTGTATCGTATATATGCCGATATTTTCCTAAGATATAAGATGTTTCATAACATTTTATTAGAATACTTGGTTATAAGTTTCTCGATTTATTAAATAGCTAGAAGGTTTTAGCGTCCGATGAGATTGAATATTTCTATACTTAAGTAAATAGAAATGGGAATATTTCAGGTACAATATAAATGATTTACAACTATCAAAGGCATGGAAATGTAAACATCTAACTTTACATCGCAAGATATCGGAAAATATTTTACAAAAGGCGCCTAATATTTGATTTGTTCTACACTATTGATTAAATACACTAATAGAATGCATATCAATTTAATTTGGCTTTTCTTTTATAAACATACTTGGAATATAATTGTTTTCCGGGCCATTCGCGCGACGTGAGCGAGAAGAGGTTCTTGACGTTTCGCCATCACGAGTGGACGGCATCATCAGGAGATGTTAACTGAATGATGGCCGTGAAAGCCTTACACAATTTATTATACTTGGAATAGCTTGAAATAGCTATGTGTTGTAAATAATTTGGCCTTATTTTACCTACACGAACTATTGATATCTTTACTAATGTACAGTCGGATACAAAAATGTGTTCTATCAAATAATTTTAACAATATACAGTAAAAATCTTACAAAAATTACCTTTAAGTGCGTTATTATTTAAAGTAATCTCTTCCTTTCGTCAAAAATTCCTTCCTGTAATTATTATCGTGTTATGATTACTTTGAGATGTCGGTACGATATCTTTAAAAATGTTTTTTGTATACGACTGTCCACTAACTGAGCTATTTGAGTTAAAGTTACGTTTGGTATGCAAACGTGGCACAATCGACATTTTGCTGTCATATTTCATACTTTAATAAACATTTATTTTCGGGTGTACATAAAATGTAGGTTTAATGAAAATGCTTATGTACATTTTCAAACCCCTAACCTTTAAAGTTAAATTGAAAGTGAAGCCACATTTATATATGTAATCGATTGACGTTAATTTGGAATAATTTTTGAGCGATTTTAGAGAACTAAACACCAAAATGTATTGAGAATGATGCCAAAAGTTTGATTAATGGTGAGGTGGGCCCTTCAAGAGTTCGTGTTTGTAAGCCGAGAGAATGGCACGGTTGAGTCCTGTTGCTGGCGTGCCATCTCCAAGTTGCCGCATTATCCTGGTCACATAGCATTATATTAGAAAATTCAATAAAATACTGTCTGTGTGTTTATGCGAGTAGAACACATTTAAATGTATCATAAACTGTTTAACAGCGAAATTTCAGCTTATTTACAGATTATTTTAACTACGGCAAGACGTTTCCGATGCTTTGCAGCAGCCCCGGTCGCGAAAGTCGTAGATAAAATAATTTGTAATTTTAACTAATACATTTCGCGTTTTGAATTGTTAAAAGTGTTGTATTTAAAAATGAAATTGTCACGGGTGCTTTAAATGAGCTGAAACACTGTAATTAAAGATTCTTATACATGGAGTGGTTTAATCTGAGAAATTTATCGTATACTGAAATTCAGACAAATAAAAAAGTATCTAATCAAAATGGTGTTACGTAAATTTAATAAAAAAACTGGAACAAACTATGTATATGGAGGTTGTTGTTGACGTATTATATGTCTGTACCTGTTAGCTGGGTTGACGGTCACCCCATCTCTTGCTTGCAATAGTTCGGGGTGATCACCAATTGTGTCCGTTAGAGCCGCAATCATTACGTCTGCAATTTAACATTAACGTTACCTTAGGGAAATATTTAATCATAGTAGTACTTTTTCATGTATTCATTTGTCATAAAAAATTAGATAGACCCATATTAAGCACTGTCTTTGGGGTTGACTGACCCAGAACTTTCTTCTCGATGTTTCTAGAGAGTTGTCCCCTCTCAGCCTCCATCTCCAGGAATGTCATGAAGCGTTGCATCGACGCACGCGCACTTGCCGGCTCGCGAGATAGCGACTGTGAGAACATCATCTGAAAGTACGAAAAGCCTATACTGAGCTTCTTCCAAAGATTTTTTACGTTATTGTCAATCGCACGTTGTGGCGAAACACTGAAAACCGTCAAATTACTTGTTCGTTGTCAAAACTATTAAAATAATGTGGCGATAAAGGTGTCTGGTTATAAGCGTTAATCTTGAGAATATTTCATAATCGTTACAAATAGCAATTCAAGATCCGCCATTTTGACTACAATCACGCGTACTCAAAATGGCGGATGGATTGCGGGGTACGTTAAATAAAATTTTTAAAATTTTTGTCTACTGCTTGTAAGGAAGCAGTTTTTAAACCTTGGCTAGTTGATATATGACCTCCTCCAGGGTGTACTCCGTGTAAAGGGTGTCTGCAGCTCGAAGCTTGTCCATCATTTCTTCATACTCTTCTTCACTTACAATGGGCCCATCGCGGTCGTAGTCCGATGTACCTTAAAGTAATAAAGAAGGATGAGTACCTACGACTTAACACTGTTTTTGTGAAGAAAAGACCTTACCAACAAAGTAGACATCTTATACGAAAACTATTTTTGCTTTGATTCTAAACAGTTTAAAAAAACACTTTAAGGAACGCGTATTAAGTTTAAATTTATAATTTTTGAATTAGAACATTTGAAAATATTTTGAACTTCGTCCCGACGTTTCGGATGCTTTGCAGACCGTGGTCAAATTGTACTACTCGCGTAAACTATTGACATATTTCAAAGTACTACGAAAGTTTAGGAACTATTATTCAATCGTTATAAACAAGACAATATTAAGCAAGTTATAAATGTAATTTGTAAAGGACGTCAGTGCGTCCTTTATAAACGTTCGCGTGCTAAGTTGAGACTTTGAACATTTTTTCCATTACCGAACGACTTGAACTTTTAGAGAAGCTTTTTAGCTTTTAAGGGAAAGTTCTCAATTTTCGATTCGTATAAATTGGGTTTTTTCCCAGCGAAGCTGTAACTTTATTATGTACAATCAATAGATGGACACATTTTATCTTAACTATACTTTCTTACAATTCGGAGCGCATGTTGATTTGACATCTTTATATTTATGACACAGAAGCAAAGACGTAAGGGGTCGCTTGATGTATAATAAAATGCCCTAGCTCTAACATCTGACTATTTAGGCTTTTGTCATTCGAATATATACAAGCTAAAAATCATCCTACATAAACATACATTTCATAATAACTAACTTATAACTAATAAGTTATATCATAATTTATGTGGTAATAAAAAACCCTTACATGAAAACCTATCCTATCCTCAAACAGCACACAGGCACTTTAAAACTGCAATATACTTCATAACATCAGTTAAGATTAAAACTGTAACTATGAAAACATGTTCCCAGTACCCGCGGGTTCAAAAGGGTACGGGTCACGTTAAGTAATAACAAACAAGTTTTTGACATCAGGCTATGTTTGAACAAAAATGTTTTAACGGTTTAAAATGCGAAGTAATTTAATTAAATTCAACTACGTTCCTACGTTTCGGATGTTTTGCAGCAGTATTGGTCACGCGTGGGACCTGAAGATCCATGTTTTGTCGTGTCGTAGTTGGTACTTGAAGGAATTAGCTGTTTCCTTAAGGACGCTCGTTAAATTAAAAATAAATTAACTAATAAACTTCGCTTTAAACCCTAAAAGTGTTTATTTTATTGTATATCTCTAATCACAGTTACGACCTGAGTCCGACCGCTTATCCGCTTCCGCTATCCGCGGCCATTCGGTCTGCACAACATTTATTAAACTCGTTTTCAGTTACGGCTATAAGCTCATAAAAGTTAAGCGACTTACTAATAACGTTAGTCTGTAGCATCGGGTCGTAAGCGCGCTTCGCAATCTCCGGCCTTAGGTCTGTGGAGACAGGCAGGGCTGGCACCACGCCGAGATTGTTACTCATATCCCACGACTTTCCGGCGATCGAGCGGACTATATCTGGGCTTCCGCCGAACGGAAATGACTGCAACATTGGCCGGTATTGGTACATCTGGAAAATACAATTTTAAAGATGTAATTTAGTCTTCTGTTTTCCGATATGAATAATCATATTTTTCACTAGTATTGCACATGATGGCATTATATACCTACGCAAGTGTTAAGGTTGTAATTGCGCGAGAAGGCAGTGCATGTATCAATACGTTGAAACACTTCGACGATGACGGTCACAGCTCAAATGGATAGAGGAGCAACACGGAACGCTGTGCATGTCGTTTCCAGTCCTAACCGCGTCATAATTGTTTTCAATGTTATTTTTTTAATTTGATGATTTGTTCGATAGTCTATCACGTTAAAAACTATGTAACAAATATGTTAAAGTCCTGTCTACAAGTTGTACCAGGATTGGTTAATTGTCCAGTGTAATCATAAAATTACAATTTAATTACGTCTTTTAATAGTATTTTATATTTTAATTAAGTTCAATAACATTTTTGTTTACTAATAACAATGATTAAGGAGGGTTAGTTAACTATTTTTCTCTTTCTAAATAACTAAAAACTGAATAAAAAAGAAAGAACACCTTATTTTTTGACGATAACATATTACACAAGTACTGTAAAACCTTATCCCATACTTATATAATGCTGTCATGTGCAATTACATATGAAAAGTATAAAAGTTTTACAACCTACACATAGTTAAGGAAAGGTCAAAGTCTATGACCTCCCAACTCATAATTTAAGTTCCATATTATGTCACATTATTCAAATTACATACGTGCTATAAATCTAAATGCAAGCAACCTTAATTAGATTTGACTAAAATTATTTTATATATAACGCAAACCCTCTTTTCCTCAACGTAGTTTTTAAACTAAATAAATGCTGGCTTTTGAATAGTTCTCGACGGGTTGTTTATGGGTTAAGTTAATGAAACCTCACGAGCCATTAAATAACTTAAATGAGGCTTAAATTAATTAAATCAAGTATTGAGGCCATTAGCATTTAAATTTGTATAGAAAACAGTGAAGAGTCGAGTATTTAATTTAGCTTAGGTTTAAGAGTCATTAAGCATTCTAAATTTAAAATCCAAATTTATACGAACAAAATAAACGAAGGTACAAAATACAATATTAATTGTTAACTAATTTAATTCTAACATACACAATATGATTTACTGGCAAAAAAAAACAAAAAGTTTAAAATTTTACTTTCAAAATGTTTATATTTGGAAACAGTTTTTTCAACATATTTTTATTTATTTGTGCTCAACCGGGAATCGAATTGCTGACCGCAATTATAATACAAAATAATACCTTCTTTGTATCTAATTGTAACTGGAAAGCCGAAACACTTTTATTTTATTAGTGTTTTCCCTGATTGAACTTAATGTAAGTTGGTTTGAAGACAAGTGCAACTGGATCGAAAAAAGTAGTTATATTTTTTTAAATTAAAAATAAACGTATTAGTACTTGCAGGTTGTAATTATAGTAAGAGTAATTAGATCTTTCAATAACAATAATAGTATTTCAACGCAATCAGAACGGTACTGTCTCTAGAAGCAGTCAAGCTGAAAATAGAAAACCAAGATTGCTCAAGACAGATTTCAAGCAATTCTCTTCATTATACGCGCATTACACTGAAACAATATAGTGAAGACAATGTTTTATCTCAAGACTGTCGGCAGCAAAATCAGCAATTTGTGAACAGTAAATAAAGGGTTGCGTCTCCCCCACGGTATAAATAAGAAATGCCTGTAATTACGATTTACTTTACGAAAGGTCAGCCTGACGTCTTTAATTTACATGCCGATTAGGTTAATTAAAAAAAAAATGTTTATCTACGAAACTACTATGTACGTTGTCTATATAATGCAAGTTTATGAAAGTGTAAGAGGCAAATCCACAACAATACTTACATAATAAATGATATGCAAACGCAGAGTTTGTGAAGAGTGTAAACATAGTGAAGGTTAGAGGTAGTGAAGGTACTGTATAAATTAGATCGACGAACAATACATCCTAAATAAACAATGTTTCATTTGCATGATTTACTCTGCAATATTACACAGCTAAATCGCAATTGTCTTGGAAAACGTGACGTGGTCTAGAAGTAAATATTTTACAACACTTAACACGAATTAATTTGACACAATTACTCTTCTACCGTCTCTGTAGCCAAATGGTTAAACGTATTGCTTAGCATTGCGTTGAGCGCGAGAAATCCTGGGTTCGAGTCCCAGGGAAACGAAAAAAAATGTTTTGGTCGGGTAGGGCACAGTATTCTGATTAACTACTTGTTGATCAGAATTGATCAGAAACTGTGCCGTTAAAAGAATGGATCCGTGAAGCGGACGCAGAAACGTGTTCGCCCCATGCCCCATGAGGGGGGAAACGGGCTTTCACTTATTACTCTTCTTGTTTTTAATCTGTATATAATTTATAACCTGTGTAATCTTTGGTCTAAATGTTCCAATCATATTTTATTACTTAGAATTACCTTAAGCTGCTTTAGATAGATTAATTACAAAATAAATACATTTGGATTTGGGGGTTTTTTTTCTTGTGGTATATACTTAGTGCAAATTAAAGGTTAAAACAAAATACTTGTATCAGTTGGTATGATTTCGAGTGAAACACCTTTAATAAAAAATGAAGAACTTCATTAAGAAGTAAGGCGACTTTTTAACCGTTAATGTGTTTTAATTAAATTCAAATACGTTTAAACAAAATAAAATATAAAAACAGTATTTCATTCTAGAAGACTTAGATAATAGAATTTAAAAATATTTGATTTAAGACGAAATTTTGTATAAGAATAGATGAAATAAGCCTATTTACAAGTTTTTGTTTTATGTAACTTATTTTCCTTAATTGTGTAAGTTTAATTTTTTCGTTGCGAATATACTTATTCTGGTATAAATATAAAAGTGGACGTCTCATTTATGCACCTTTATGTAGAATTATTTGCGAACGTTTAATTTTGGTATCCTACTATGATGTAAGAGATAATATTATAATTTAATATAAAGTAAATTTGGAATCTGGAAGGTTATTTCATTTAAAGGCTTCATCATTATAGAGTATACAAAGAATTCAACCATATTTATAACCTTTTGGTTGCGTACAAATTGATGGCTACAAATATGGTCTGTAGTTTACGCGAGTAGTATACATTAAAAAAAACTTTAACCGTTCAAAACGCGTTCTTTATTTGATATATATTTTAACTACGGCTTTGTAGCAGCTCCCCGGAACACGGCTGCTTTTTAAACGGTTAAGTGTTTTTTAATGTATACTATTTGCGTAAACTACAGACCATATTTATAACCATCAATTTTAGGCAACCAATAGCCATCTAAGTTCTCCAAGAGTACTCCCAACAAATTCTTGAACTAAAGTAACACGCCATATTGAATGCAATATCGTTGGTAATAAAGTTTATTGTCGCGCTTTCGTTTTATGACCAATCTCTGCTGATATGACGTAGCATGTGTCTTACATTAGTTCCGGTCACAGACGTAGCAAGGTTTTATTGACCTAGTTTTCCTTATGAATGCGATACAGACCTTCGGCGTGACCTGGCGCTATTGAAATATTCCTATTTATATACAGTATTCATTACAAAGGCCGAAGCCATCATAGACAAACAGACTGCCAGCCTTATTTGTTTTGGCTTTGGATATTCGGAAATCCACAAACTGTAACCGAAACGCAATTAAATTTCACGAGTTTTTAGCTGTGGACGGTGGTTAGTGACGATTAGCCGAGCCGACAAGATTTCGATATTCCTACCACCCATTTAATATGCAGATTCCAGACGAAGTCCAACATGTTTTAATATTATAAATGGAAGAAGAAGAATAACTGATGGGGATCCAACCCACGACCTGTTGTTTATTAGGCATACATTGCTATCGTTAGACCAACGAGTGCGTCAAAGGCTACGATGTAGGAATTAATACGGACATAAGAATGAATTACTATAATTGAAAACTTCGAAGTAGTATAAAACACCATCAAAGGTGTTGAAAAATTACACGTTTTGATCTCTATATTTCGTATGAAAAATGTTTTTTTTTGACTCTCATGTAAATAAATTTTTGTTTTAGAAAATAGTTATATAACAACGAGCTTCATGCACAGGTAACATTGATGACATAATTCTGTATAAATTATTGTATGTATTTATCACCTGGATTGACTGTGGTAGAATAAAACTACTTGTCATTTGTCTGTAAATAATGGATATATTGTGAGATGTGTTGTATTCCAGGCCAGGTTTTGGACCTCTACTATAAGGTCTAATAAGTGCTGCTTTGATTTGTATATCTGATTAGTTAAATAGAGAACGTAATACGCCATTTACATACAGGCATTGCTTACTCAAAAAAGTTATGTCATCGTCAAAGATAAATAAAAGTTGACGACACATAGGACAAATATGTCAAAGACAGTTATTTCATGAAGATTCAATAATGCTACGCCGTGCTACGTGTTGCTACGATATTCTACGAAATGTTACATTCCGCCACGAAATATATGTAGCGTATTATAATACTTGATGATGCATTTATTAAATAAAACACTTAAAACTTGAAATTAACGTTTTACAATTTATTTACTTTTATTTAAGTATATCTCGACCCTTCGGGTGCTGTAATGTCATCTACAATTTAAGTAATTTATTTTACATATTAATCAGTTAATTCTTTAATTGAAATATGTACTATTTGCTACAGACACTACTTAACATGATTTTTTACATTTGAAATTTAATTCGTAAAAATTCATTGCAGTGTACACAGCAGTAGTTTCAATTAATTATTTTGAAAGCAACGAAATTTTGATTTGATCAGTTTTGCAACGAGAAGAATAAATATCTTCTGGTTGTTTTTAACTTACCTTAGCGTTCTGTTCAATCAGAGCGTTTCTCATTTTCTCCTGCTGCGCATTTTCCGCATTTACAGTCTGAGCGTAGTGGGCTCTCAAGTAGTCGATGTTGAACTTAATTTCCTGGAGAAACGCTATAGCCTCCTCTTTTGTCATCTTACAAAAAAAAAGTTACATAACATTAAATAACTTTCTGCGACTTTTAGCTATCTACTGTTAAGCTGATTAATATGTATGTTACCTCTTTATTTTTAACAGAGGTGTATGTAGCATGGTAAAGAAATCAGACGATAACATGGAAGACACTGTAGATCGATGGGTCCCGGCCGTATCGTGAATTTTCTTTTATTTGTTTTTAATTTAAAATAAACTGATTTTTTAAGTTAGATATATATAACGTAATAATTATATTGAAGCTATGTTTAAATTATTAAATAATTATTTCGTTATTTACTAAAACTTCATCATAAAGCTAACATACCAAGCCCTCTTGTAAGAACTCTTCTATAGCGTTGGTAACTCCGTGCTCATCGCCAGTCCAGAAGACGTACTCAGCCATATCCAAAGGAGAATACTGTACCCCAGCATAGGATGAGTAGTGATCCATCTAATTAATAAGAAACAATGCTATTATTGATACGAATAAACAAAAAGCATACAATCACTTGTTTCACCTGATCTTATTACAAGTTAGTATTATCCGTAGTAAATATGCCGTTGCAACAGCTTAAAAGTAAATGTTTTTTAACAATGACCCAGTGTTACGTATGATAAGTAGCATAGTACTATTAATAGTAAGAAATAAATTATAATACATTTCGCCGTATTAGAATTGTAGTATGAATTAGAATTTAAAATCAGACAAAAAATGGCAAATCAAGGAAATTTAAAACGCGTTAGTTTTTATATTTGTTAGAAAATAAAAGAATAAATATATATAAATAAAGATTTAGCCTTTAAGATTATGAAACAATAATAATTTTATTTCTAAAAAGTCTTAAACATGAGAAAAATCGTTCAAATTCGATATAAAAAGTCTATTAAAATACCGCACCCTTACAATTGACAGCTATACTTCTAGAATTGACATCGAACATGCATCGTTAACTTTACGAGTAACAGACGTGAGGACTCGTAAAAGCTGTGCTTTACGGTCGGAATGCATTATTTTATGTCATATAAGCAGCTGGGTGTAATGCGATTCGTAATTAAAGCTCTCTTGTAATTACTGGAATCATTTTAACGGAGTTCTTATCTTCTTAACCCTCTAGTTAAGCGTGTAGCATTAGGTTAAGTACGAAAGAACCTGGGTTCAAGATCCGGGAATATGAGATTATTTCGGTTAGATGGAGCAGCATAATGATAGTTAAAAAATAGAAAAACGGATACAGAAGTGAGTCCGCTCCATGTCTCTGAGGAAACTATACTTCACATATCATTTATATATTGTCTATAAATTATATATTATGGTTGTTATATTACGGTTGTGTGGTATTGTAATGGTTGTAAGGTATAAAACTATTTATAGTACAAGTCTTAGAATAATAAGTTAGACAGATCAAGTTGAGGGGACAAGTTTTATGAACTATACTAGCAAAATGGACAAGCGTGTCTGCTAAATCCTTAAAGAAAATAGCATATTACTCACAATCTCTTATTTCTCGGAAAAATATGGCTTAATAATACCATTTAAAAGTAAAATCCCGTTTCCATCATGCCTCTAGAGGCATGGGGCGAACATATTCGAACGCAGGACTTCTCGTGTTTAACGTAATGCTTGGTAATATCTTTATCTATTTGGCTACAAGGGGGTGAAATAATGTATTACATTAAATTTATCCTTACGTTATTTTTGGTTTCCTTAGTAATATCAGCGTTGAAAGCGCGTCGTACAGCTGTGTGGCCGTTAGAAGGATTTGTTGTTGCGGAACCCGGTTGAATTAGACGAGCTGCTCCGTGAAACACCTACGAAAATAACGCACATTTAGGGACAATGTTCCCAGCAGAACCCTATTTATATAGAGGTCCTTTACGTACATAAAAAGGACAACGGATGTCAAAGGTATTAGAAGTAGTTCTATCTATATTCTGACCTAACACATGTGTGAAAAACATTGGATTAGTTTGTTGGGCTCGTTGGTCTAATGGTAGCAATGAATAATCACCGGGTCGTGGATTCGATCCCAACTGGGTGCAACACGTGTATAATTTTTCAATGTATAATTTTACTGAAACATGTTGGACTTCGTCTGGAAATCTGGATATTTAATGGGTGGTTGGAATATCGAAAACTCCGTCCGGGTCACAGATAAAAAATAAACACAAATACAAAATATATTCGTTAAATAATTTTTAACTTTGACCTAACATTACACATGCTTTTTAGTAACTGTTTGAATGAAAACTTTTAAAATTTTTCACATGTTATGATGTGAGCACTATAAATTAAAATAAGATTTTAGACTGAAAAAAGAACAAAGCGTGTGATTTTTTTTTTCAATTTAAAATGGATTTTTAGAACTTTGAACTTTTAAATATAATTGCAATAACACAAAACATATAATTGACTTTGTATCAGCAATATGTATAGTATATATAGTTTATGCAAGTTATACACTTTAAGTAAATAAAGTTAAAATATAAATATTATAGGATGGTATACACTTACAAGTTTCTTTTACGTTTCATTATATTTGACATTTAATAAGAAAAAGATACACCGGCCTTAGTTTAACTTCTTTATTCGTGATAAGTTACACGTGTGGCGTTTAACATTTTCGGGCAAGATCAATATCACCCACGCAATCTTACTTCAGCAAGGGATGTAGAAACAAAGATACTGTTTTATGGAGATTGAATCGTATACTGACTTGATAAAAAATAACTACTAACGATGAGAGTGTCACAATAGCACTTTTACGCAACAAACGAAAACAATCTTTCATTTTGGATTAAAAAAATATAAGATTTAATAAAATTATGACACAGACCAAATTCAAAATAAGTAAAGTAAAAAAAAATTGTTTAATAATCTGTTCTTCAGAAATAAAAAAAGGTCTATTAAAAAATATGACTTCTTGAGAAAATTAATTTTCTTGTCTCTCATATCTTGGCTTGAGCGTGTTAAATCTTAACTCATCAACTTAATGTGATCGTAAAAAAATAGTAAAAAAAGATGCACGGCAAGTATAACGTCAATAAAATATATACAAAAAATTTAACGTATTAAAAGAAATTTTATATTAAAGTATCATAAGTTATGAGAAAATATAAATCAAATTTATGTTACGGTCCGAATAGTATAATTAAGTTGAACGAACTCTTAAATAGTTTTAAAATTCCTTCTTTTGGATTATGAATATGATGGTTTTACTGTCCTATTTTTAAATATTTCTTGTCCAGTCTATAAGAAATACTTAATTATAGTTACTACTAAAAGGCCTACTTAATTGTTAAGACGAGTACCTACATTGGAAAAAGCTTTTAGAAAATTTAAGCTCCGTAATAAAAAAAAATAAGTTACTATATATACTTGACCAAAAGTGAATTTGAAATAATTGAAAGCCTTGATATACATGAAATAGTAATAATAGCTATGTAATATATATTTTAATTTCTTCCTTCAGATATCGACAAAATTTAAAATAAGCAAACAAACAAAGTCTTTCTTTTTTTAAATCTCAAAAATTTTAACCAAAATTTAGCGCATTTTAAACCGTTAAAGTGTTTTATTCAAATGTGTTCCGTTTTTCTGAAAATGGTTTTCTTGGCAAAGTTGAACAAACAAAGTGTTCATATCGTGGGTTGAAGTATTCTAGCTAAGCTTATGTTGTATGAAATGTTCACGAATCGCATAACAAAACAAAAGTATTAAACAAATTATTGCGTGGTGCAGATTTTCATTGTATTATTATATATACGTTTTTCCTTTATTGTTGATAAAATAATGTATTATTTATACTTCATAAATAATTCTTTATTAAATTTATATTATACGCTCTCTAACAACTTTTATTGTCAGAACTTAAGTTTAAATAAAACGCTTTAATGTTTTAGAACGCGATATACATATATTAGTTAACGTTAAGTTAACACTTACTTACACAATGGTATTTTAAGCGAAACATCGGGCCGCAGTAAAAAATAATTGTCAAATAATTTTAACAAATATATTGCGTTTTAAACGGTTAAAAAGTTGTATTTAAATGTGTACTACTCGCGTAAACCACAGACAGTATTTAAAGAACCGATTTTGTGTTCATACAGATTTTGTAAATAGTGAGGGTAGAGAGTTCAAACTCTAACCTACCACTAGAAATATCATAGTAATCACCTTAGCTGTTTGTTCCTCGCTTGGAACCGTTGTTGTAGGAGTACCATCCACAACGCTCAGACGGTCTCCATCCTGTACCAGAGTTTTGTGGATATCCTTAGCTGGTAGATCCACTTGAGTCTCGGAGTGCATTCGAGGTTTCTCATCATCAACTGCTTCGGCTGATGCGTGCTGTTCCAATCTTGATACTAGTTCGCCATTTGCCTGTACTGTATCTAAAGGGTTTAATAAAAAATAGGTAATTAGATTTCACAATAGATTAACAGAGGTTGCTAGAGGCAGAGTAGCCTAACTGCAATGTCATGACTTCAGTTATTTATATTTTTATAGTCTAAAAATGTTAATCTACAAGAGCACGGTGACCGAAAATTGTTAACTTGTTAATTCTTACACAAATAATAGTACAAATTCATTTTCGCCTCAGTTAATCGTGCATTTTTACTTTCCTCCATAATTAAAATCATGTTTTTTTGTTATTAGGCCACTCTACCTCTAGCAGCCTCAATTCGTAAATGAACCGACTAAAGCAGAATTGTTGAACTGTTATTTATATTTATAAAAATAAGTAATTAATGTAACGTTATCTAAAATAAAATTGTTGGTTTAAAAATTATTTACTATGTCGACCAATACCTAGAGAAAATGTAAAATATTTATAGTTTTTAAAATCTTACCTAGTCTATGGTACTCCATATGTTCACTTTTCAATTCTTGGTTTTCTGTGGGTAGATCTTCTGTAAAGTGAATGAAATACAAAATAATCGTCGTACGCCTTTAGCATCTATTTTGAATCCTATCTATTCGATTGCATTAATTTGATAAGAATATATTAGCTAAAAATCAAACCTAATCTATTAAATAAGTTGCCAAATTTGGCATCTATAAAGAAAAATGAATTCCAAATTTTTATTTAGGTATGTCGCGTTTTAGTCATGTAAACTTGTTAAACATGTTGAGTGAACACAAAAATCGTATCAATGAAATATTTGTCCTGGAAATAGGATCGTAACAATAAAACACCGAGTTACGAAGCACTTGTTATACATCAAACGATTGTTATCTCAGCTACGCACGAGTAGGCATAACTTTTGGCCTTTCAAACTTCCATCTAATAAAGGGCGAAGATAATAATTTCAACGTCAAGAGAAATTCTTCGACGTATTACGAAACTGATAGCCTATCAAAAGATCAATACGAGTGTCAGATAAAGTTTTATCGTTCTACCCGAATTGTATGGACCACTTAAGCAAAGTAGATTGTCGTGTCTATGGGCTATGGGAATAATGAGATATTTAATAGTGGTAGGAAAGAGAGAAAGGCTAATGGAAAGATCTAGATGCCTAGGCTACAAAATAGCCTTATTAAAGTGTTTTGATTTGCTCGTTTGTCTAATGGTAGCAATATTTGGTTAATAATCAACGGGTTGTGGTTTCGAACCCAACCGGGTCCAACTTGCTTCTCATCAATGTATATTTTTCTGGAAAATTGGCCGCGATTTGAAATTCTGGTTATAAAATGGGTGGTAGGAATATCGTGAATGTCCGGCGCACGAACCACCATCTTAAAATGACAAATCCGTGAACATTAATCACGTTTCCGTTTCAGTCTGTGGATATCAACATAGATTGACAACGTAACTCGTTTAGATAGAAAAAGTTGCAAATACTGAGCAAACTTAAGTGTTAATGACCTCTTTTATTTTACACAAAATTTTGGGACATGATAAATTTGGTTTTATAAGCATACCCATTTTAAGTTTTTCGAGTTGTTCAACCGGAACATCCTGAAACAAAAATAGTCTCATTTAATCATTTCGACTTATTTACCACACAGCTATTTTGAATAGGATGGGAGTTTATGTGGGAGTTTAAGCCTACCACTCCGCTTTAGTATGATTAGAGAGCTTTCTTTACCGAATAATTATAATCAGAACCAACAGCTTTTCAAAGAATAGAAGTGATAATACCACTTTTTTTTAACTTCAACGGTTCAAAACGTGATATATCCGTGATCGTGATAGCCGTGGCCACAAGGTAACCGTTTTAAACCATTAAAGTATTTTTTTATTCATTTATTTTGTTTCTTTATACATTTGTACATATATTCGGCGGGCATGCAAACCGCATAGCGGATCACTCGTTACAATACCTAACCTAATAATTAAAATAAGTGCTACCTAATTTACGAACTAACTTAAATGTCTAATATTTATAAATTTAAATGTGTACTTCTTGCGTAAACAGAATACCACCTTTTTTCAAATTCCTGGCTGTTAAAGGAATTTCTTAGTATTGCGGATATGATTGATACCGCAATTGGTTTATTTATTTATTACCAACTGATAAACATCATGTTTATAATAACAATAGTTTCAAGTATTAGGAATCTAGCTTATATATTAGAGTACAGTAACACAAAGAAGTGGGAGATGATGTGGTACGTAACAACTATCACGTCTCTGATTCTTGCTGAATCTTCTATATTCTTAAGGCAGTGATAATAACAATTTATTTTTTTTTGGAAGAAGTACGTGTTATTTTTACAAATGTTACAATCGTGCAGAGTTAGTGTGTTTGTTTATATACGCTCATCTAAAGGGCTACTCGTTTGAATTTAAAAACATATTGTGTGTCGGTTGGAATATTTTTCGTGGTGGCTTTAGGCTACAAATTATCAGGCTGGATCCAAGAGGAGCGAAAAAACACAGGGAAATGAGGAAAATAGAGAGACAATTATTCATCTTTGTGAGTTTCCGCTGCGTGCGCTTTGCAAACTGTTCAATGTACCAAAAAAAAAAGGGGGCAAGAATGATTTCTCTTTAAATGATCTGAAAAAATGTTTGTCTATCTTTTAAAATTAACTTGCAAGGACCACGGGACGCGGACGACGTCATCGGTGACAAGTAAAACTTATACAGATGAAGAGCAAGTTTGCAAAAACATGCACATTTTTTTTATTTATTTATCGTATCAACAAAACGACTACATTTATTTAAATACTGATAGCAATAAAATATCACTAAGGTTTAAACGGATGCTATCGTGAGTTTACATAACATCTATTTATCTAAGTTTATTTAATAAATATAAAAGATAACTAGCAAGCTACCATCTTGTCTACTTATGCATTAAGAGAAAAACAATAACGCTTAAATAACTTAAGGAAATGATCCAACTACCAAATTGGACGGCAAGTTATTGATAAAAAAAATAATAATTTGATGCACAAAATAACTATTTCACGCGGACGATGTTGCGGGCACAGCTAGTTTATAATATAGTCACGACTGCCATAATAAAGAATTTACAAGCACTAAATTAGTCCGACATAAGACATAAAAGATAAATTGCTTTGTTATTTATATTTAAAATTTATAAAAGTATTATTCACATTTGCGTCATTCATAAAAGAGTAATGATGTGATATTTTATTTGCGAATATAAACTTTCGTGTCATATGTACAAAATATGTAATAAAAACTCACTAAAACCTCAAAATCCCCTTAACTCAGAATTTGCATTTATCTCGTCGGCACGCCGGAGTTGGATCATTATAAATTATTCTCCTCATGAATTTTATATCTCAACACTACAATCCTAGCTTTTGACTTAACACGTAAAACCTCTCATCATTATGTACGGGTTCATTTTTTCACACCTGTCTCGTGATTCAAATCTAAACTTTTAGACATTTTCATAACATACGCAAACAATATAGCAAAGTCTAAGAAAGAAGGTTCACTGTAGCAATGTATAGCTAATGAGCAACGGATCGTGGGTTCGAACCCTTTTCATCATGTTTCAAAATAATTTATAATATTTCTTAAACAAGTTTTCGATATTCCTACTATCCATATAATCCATATCATCCAGATTTTCAGGAACGTAGTAGGAATTTCGAACTACCTACTATCGGTCTGGACTACTATCGGTCTTCGGTCTACCTACTTGGTTTCGGACTACCTACTATCGGTCTTCGGTCTACCTACTATCGGTATAAGTTTGACTATCGGTCAAACTACCATCCACAGATGAAAAAGTCGTGAACTTTAATCACGTTTCGGTTTCAGTCTGCAGATGGTCGAATATCCAAAGTCAAAATAGGACGACAGTGCATTGTTTAGATTTGACTGGAGTATTTCACCAACCATCAAGTGAACACTACGCTTGTCTGTTCTCCACTATCAAAAAAAAAACTACCCAGCTCAACTCAAGGTTACCTCTGCAATTACCAATAAACATACTAATACACCCCCAACTTATTTTTTTTATGCAAGAAATCGTCACAATTTTATTGCGACATATATATATTTCTCAATAGAAATTTAAGTCTTAGTTTTTGCAACCCTTAACCTCATTGTATTTGAAAAATCCTTTAAGCGCCAAGATATAAAGCCAGACAGAAAACATTCTCTTCAGTACGGTATCGCTATTATATCTTCAAAGAATACATTCTTTAACAAGCGAAGTAATATTCCCATCATGACTTGATGTTGTAAATATGCAAAGCTTGTACTTTCATCTTGTAGATATATTAAAGATATTTTTATTATTATTTAAATTTATACACTACTAGCTGTGCCAGCGACTTCTTATTTTTTATTTTGGGCATGCAAATTCGTTTTTGAAACCTCTTCATCTTTATAAACTTAACCTGTTACCCACGACGTCCGCCACGTTCCTTCCCGTCATTTTGCAACCCTTCCTGAGATTAGCGCGTTCAAACTAACAAACTCTTCACCTTTATATATTAGTATAGACTAGCTATGTCCACGACTCCGTCTGCGTGAAATAGTTATTGGGGCATCATATTATTTATTTTTGCAAACAACTTCCTCAATGTTAAATATAAATAGCTGTGCCAGCAACTCGTTCCATGCAGAATAGTTATTTTTCGTATAAAAATTTCTTGTTTCCAGCCTCCCTCTCATGTTTATCAATTAAAAGCTGTTACCCACGTTGTCCGCGTCGCGTCGTTCTTGCCAGTTAATCTCAAAAGATAGACATATTCTGTCGCAGAGATTCTATAGATAATTAAAAGATATTTTTTTATTTAATACTCATTTTTCAGTTTCTTGAAGAGCACACGCAATGGAATCCCCCTTAGATGAATAATTTACGCCCCTACACTCTTCTATTTATTGCAGCCTTATGTTTCCTCGATAAATGTTTTAACCGACACAAAAATATTTTTTAAATTCAAACCAGTAGTAGTTCTTGAGATAAGCGTGTTCAAACACATTAAAAAACTGCGGCTTTATAATATTAGACTATATAAAGATTAACTCTAATGAATATTTATTGCGATTTCCTTATTGGTGCTTATTGTATTAGCTTCCATGTAAAACGTATGTAGATGATACTAAAAGTACTTACAGACTTTTCCTCATTCGATTCTGAAACAAAGAAATTTTAATTAAAATTTCATACAATTTAAAAAATGCGGGATATTTAAAATTCATTTATTGGGTCTTTTCATATAATGTAGTGTAATCTTAACTTATTTTAGAGGACTTAATAAAATATCAAACTCAACATATGGACAATTATTGTCTGTAGTTAACAAAAGTACAAATTTAATTAAAAAACTTAATTAGTTACGTAATTTTTAATTTATTTCAACTGCGGCTCGAAGTTATGGATGTTTGGCAGCACACGTAGTCATGAGAGGACTAAAAATGGAGGATATAAGTCAAATCTGCGCAGGATTCTTGTTCTTAAATTTCTTAGTTACTTATTAATGAAAATTTAATCATAAAATATTCTTTAATAATTGATTTTAATAAGTACAAATACAGTTTGAATAGCACACAGCACTTTCAATACTAAGAAATTCCCATCCCAGCGACAGGTCGATAGTAATTCCAGATTTCCGTGAGAAGTTTCCGAAATCCCCAAACACGTACTATTGTGTTGACTCTATAAATAGAAGCCATTAAGCGATAACCGAATAGGCTGACCTTATTTGCAAGTTCATTGCTCCTAAACACTTAAACGCCCACGAAATTCATCAATCACGTAAAAATTCAGGTCGTTAATCGACTGTACCCAACATAATAATTATTAAAAAATTTATCATTTATTTAGAAGGACAGACAAGCTTCACTCGATCGAAGGTGAAATACCCTAGCCATTTAACATCTAACACGATGCGTTGACGGCCTATTTTTTCTTTGGACATTCGGATATACAGATTGAAATCGGAACGCGATTAAATTTCATGTCTTTTTTTACAGTGGTACGTGGTCCGGACACGATCGACCACCCATTTTACCCAGATTTTGAACGAAGTCCAACATTTAAATAAAACACTTTAACGGTTTAAAACGCGATATATTAGTTAAACTTATTTGAAAATGATTTTTAACTTCGGCCCGACGTTTCGGATGTTTTGCAGCAGCCGTGGTCACGGGGACACGGGAAACTGGGATTTAAAATATTTTCAATAATTGTAGTACTACTCGCGTAAACTATAGACAGTATCGAAGTCCAACATGTTTTAGAAAAATTTAATTGATGAGAAACATGTTGAACTATGGCCGTGAAAGGCCTTACACAATTTATTCAAAGTTATGCTGTCTGTATACAACTTATGTATCTACAATGTTTAATCACATTTAAAGTTTAAATAAAACACTTTAACGTTTTCTTTAAATGTCTCTCGTGACCACGGCTGCCGCAAAGCATCCGAAGCGTCGGGCCGTAGATAAAAATCATTTTCAAACAAGTTTAACATAAATAAATCTCGTTTTAAACCGTTAAAGTGTTTTATTTCAATGTGTACTATTCACGTAAGCTACAGATAGTCAAATCACATTTAAAGGTATCTAACATTTCTATCTCAGGCAATTTGTCCTTGCAACTGGAAAATGAAAATAAAATGAGTGCTGGCACAGTTAGGTTATTAAAGTTAACGACGTTTTCAACAGGTAGGAACTTTGTTAATTGCTCACGAGGCTTTTATTAAGCTAAAGGTCAAGTGGTGTAGAGTGTTGAAACTTTAGAGTCTTCAATTTAATTTAAAACGCGTACGTTTGTAAGAATTGTATTCTGTTCTTTATGTAAAAAATGCAAAGGTTTAGGGAATACGTGAATTACGTTTCAAAAAAATTTTGCAACTTGCATTCAGCAATTTGTCTAGTTTGTTTTTAAAACTGCGCGTTAATACTTTCATAAATCTCAATGTATAAAAAATAAATTTAGAAAAATAACAACATAAGGTATTCTCTGTAGTTCAGAACACATTTAAATAAAACGCTATAAAATGTGTCAAATGCGAAATGTATTCATAACTTATATTTAATTAATTTATCTACAGCCCTAAATTTCTAATGCATTGCAGCATATACTACTCATATATTCCCCGTTTTAAACCGTTAAAAAAGTTTTTAACTTTTCCACTATATGCATATTTTAAACTGAATATTATGTAATGAGATGTTATAAAAACTTGAGATTGACATCAAATTCCTTAGTCATTATTATTATTTAAATAAAACACTTTAACGGTTTAAAACGCGATTTATTTTTAGTTAATTTAGGTAACTTGTTTGAAAATTAGGGAGACAACGGCTGCTCCAAAGTGTCCGAAACATCGGGCCGTAGTTGATAATAAGTTTCAAACAAGTTTAACTAAAATATATCCCATTTTAAGCCGTTAAAGTGTTTTATTCAAATATGTTCTACTAGCGTAAACTACAAACAAAATAGCTGAAATTGTGTTTTAATCACTTCTTTTTATAGACCTGCATTTACTTTGTTAATAACTCGTATTTTTTTTACAACTTAATACAATAAAATTACTTAGGACCTACCTTACCTAATGTTGATTCTACAGTTTCAATAAATTGCACAACATAATTCTGACTTTGTTCCGAATAACGTAATATTAAATCATGAACAAGTAATTAAATCTCGAAATATTAAGTCACTTTAGCTTGAAGTAATTAATAACATATGAATATGGTATCACCAACTTGACTTAATTCATTTGGGAATAATTACTTTTATAATTATATTTTGGTTGGACTTATTAATGTTTATTAAAACATCTAAACAATATGCGCTATCGACCTATTTTGGCTTTGGATATTCGGGAGTTGTTCTAGATAGAAGACCGTGTACTATTTAAACTTATGAACCACAAGATCAACGAGGCGATTACACTACAATACAATTAGCTATAGCGATGACTATAGTCGATACATGCCTACGATGTGCTACGATATGCTACGTCGTGTTACGGTGCTACGGCGTAGACCATAAGAGCACTCTACGCTTTCACGTTATGTAGGAAGTGATGCGGGGTATATTGCTTTTAACAGAGTAGCTATTGTATTCATTCAATAGTATACAAGTTTATATACTACTTATATGGTTTCAAACTAAAACTTAGTTTGCACAAGTTAATAAACTAGTATGAATAAAATAATATGAAAGCCTTATAAAAGCCGTTTTGTGAATAGAAAATATTTTAGATGCAAATAAAACGTTTATTGCCGTTTGAAATGCGAAATATATACAATTTTAAATGTTTTACATTAATGACAAAAAATACTTAAGATTTTTATTGGTATTTTATTGACGTTAATATTATAAAATTCAATGAATGAAAGTATATTGCGTATTATATTTTTTTATGTACTTTAACGATTGTTTACTTTTTTTTATGATGGAGAAGGACAGACAATTGGGATGGTTTGTTGGTATTTGAAATACCCCAGCCTATTGTAGTTTTCGATATTCGGATAATTTCGATTCCGATCAGTCCACAGGCTAAAACAAAAACGGTGGTGGTTCATGACCCACACGGAAATTTCAATATTCCTATCACCATTTTGACCACCTCTGTAGTCAAATGGTTAAAAGTTTTAACTTAGCATTGCGTTAAGCGCGACAGGTTCTGGGTTTGAATCCCAGTAAAACAAAATTTTTTTTCGGTCGGGTAGAGCACAGACGTCTTATCTACTTGCCTGTTAAAGAATGGATTATTCAATATATATATATACATAAAAAAACATTTTTCATTCTTTATCTTTAATACAATGCTTAATTAAGTAAAAGTAGCACTGATCAGTTCGAAGAGAATAAGCAGCTAATCCGATGACCTCTATACAAAGTTCAAATCGGATTCACATCACGTTTTAGAGCTTTGGCTATTTGCACATGGAATAACAAAGGATTGGACACGTGGATAATTGCTTAGCGGTTTTATTCTCGATAAAATTTATTTCATTTTCATGGTAGAGGAAGACAGAAAAATGTGGAGTTCACATGATGGTAGGTGATATACCTTAGACTATAGCATCTAAAAAGATTAGCTGTCGACTTATTTGGCTTTGGATCTTCGGAAATCCACAGACTGAACCTGAAACGTGATAAACTTCACGGCTGTTTTTGTCAGTCGATGGCGGTTCATGTCTCGGACGGAATTTCGATAATCGTACCATTCATTTAATTTTCAAATTTCCAGACAAAGTAAAACATTTTTCAAAAATTATAATTTGTTTAGAAACACATTGGATCTGGTAAAAATGAGACCGATGAGCCTATTTATTAGCTATACATATTAAATTAGACCGACGAGCCTGTCGTCGTTGTATTCATCTGTTTTATTTACAGACAAATACATGTGTCGATCTATGTCCTAAGTTGGGATAAAACTATTTTGTTTTTTTTTAATTCAAACCTCTTCTTGCCCTTATCAAAAACCAATTAATCATTGAGCCACAGAATAGATTTTAGTAAAATATTCCCTTGTCCTAAATTCCAGCGAAATATATCATCGCATCGAACCTTATAATTTAACATAATGCCAAAATTATTACGAGGTAAAGTTATAAAACGAAAACTTCGACCGGTATAATTGAAAATTGAGCCCCAAACTCACTGGGGCGATTCAAATTCCTAAAAATTAATTGTGAATTTCTACTTGCGAACTTTTTATATTGTTAGAAAATATTATTGTAACGTTTTGGGCATTACTTTTTTTTATTCGACTTTTAAAGTCTTTTCAAATAATTAGAAAACTTTAAGATTACAAAAAAGTGGATGATGAATTATATAGATATGTTCAAATTGATAGTAAATCCATAGATCAAAAAGCCGTTAAGAAATTTAATCGCGTTTCGGTTTCAGCCTGTGAATTTCAGTGAAAATAAGTCGACAACGCATCTGGAGTATTTCACCTACCATCAAGTGAAACCCAAGCTTGTCTGAACTCCTCTATTATAAAAAAAATCGGATCAAAATTGCTTCCGTATAAATAAATAAAAAAAAATACAAAAATAAAATAATTAATATAATACCTACGACGACAAAGTTCAATATAAACTTTTATTTATTTATTGCTTACTTATATATTTATTACAGAAAAGCATAATAAATTCAACAATAG